CAACATTTCTAAATGACAGCGATACTGCTAGAGGCAAGCTCTAGTTTGGTGAAGCGCCTGGGAGGAAGAGTGCCGCTGCAAACCATTCACACCCGGGCCGCCGATCGCCTCCGACTTCTTGTTTCGCACCAGCTCGTGAATGCCAGCCTGTTTTCGAAAAAGAAACAGCATTTGTTAATGACAGCGATACTGCCAGAGGCAAGCTCTAGTCTGGTAAAGCGCCTGGGAGGAGAAGTGCCGCTGCAAACCATTCACACCCGGGCCGCCGTTCGCCTCCGACGTTTGTTTCGCACCAGCTCGTGATTGCCAGCCGTTTCTAAGAATAATTAACAATTGTTAAAGATAGGGATACTGCTAGAGGCAAACTTTAGGTTGCTGAGGCGCTTGAGAGGTTGGGAAACATTTTGCTGCTTCTTGCTCCTTTCTCCGGAAGCAAACGCTTGGCTGCCGGCTCAACACGTTCAGCTTTTCGCTGTTAGATCGAGTCTCCTTCCGTGCTTGTTGCATTGGGACCAAGCTGAGAGGAGAGGGCCCATCAGCACTTGATCGAGTTCGGGTCCGGATTAGCTGCCGGCGATCGGCTGGCTGAAGCAATCCTTGCTTACTCGTACTGGCAATTCCCTTGTTTTCCAAGGAAACTTGTCTCCTAACATTCAGAAGCCCCGGGCAACTCAACTGAAAACCCTAACCCAAACGTTATGCGCTCCGCACCCGTACCCACCCTAATCACCAAACCAACCCTACCCGTCCCCCAGGCTGTAAACCGTATGAGACAAGCCCATAAGGAGACAACGGAGTTGCCACAATTGCTTACTCGGGAAATTGAGTTTGCAGGAACTTACCGGTATTATACCCAAGCAAGGCCCGTCCATGATTCCCCAGAATCCGACCCGAACATCGTACCTGCGGCATCGCAATGACGTTGTCATACAAACCTCGTCTTTTTGCATGGGTTTTTAGACCAAAAAGGAAAAAGAAAAAAGAAGAAAGGGATCTAAGCTCCACCCCTAGTAAATTCAGATTATCCTGAAATGCCCAGTAGCATTCGTGGAAAGCCTGCAGACAACTCACAGCTCAAGACTTGTAACCCCTGGTTGCTCAAAGTTGGATAACCAGAATTCTCTTAAGGACTCGAATAACATAGTGCGAGGACATTGCATCCTGGTTGAAATAGGTTTCGGCTCCAAAAGGCTCGTCACCAGCAACCACCCAATTATCTCGAGAGGAGCATTTCCATCCAGATCAAGGGAAGGCACCGATCTTCATATCCTCAAAAGGTTATTTTCCGAGGCCCAAAGACTTCTAGAGTGAGAACATGAGACGCTCACCAGTAGTCGCCTGGTTGTAGGGGCCCCGACCGAGGCTCCGCCTTCTTGACTTGGGAGTCGGGGACGGGGAAGCCGTTCACCTTGACGTCCAGCTCAAACTCATCCTCCTCCTCGAACTGCCTCCTGAGCTTGTTCAGGAAGCTCTTCTTCTTCTTCTTTTCCTGGGGTGCGAACGGAGCAGGGCCGCCGACGCCTGGCGGGCCTGGAAAAGTCGAAGAATTGTAGCGGAGAAACCGATCTGGACTTAAGTCGTTTCAGACCACTTATGTGAAAGTGAGTCTGGGGTTTTGGTCCACTCTAGTCGTTGTTACCCGTTTCCGCAGGCTAGCTTTGGTTGCACTATGTTGAGACATGAGGCTGGCATCTCTTTTCTTCGGACTATGCCACATGTTGAACATACAAATTCAAAGCATGAAGCAAAGTTGCAACCTCGTAAAGTGGTCGACCTTAGCCTATCGCAACTTCATTTCATTGGGGCATGCGCACAGAGACTTGACCAGGTTCGTGAAAGGCAATCATTTCAAAGCAATCCCTTTGCAGGAAAAACCTAGACTCGAAGGACCCGCATGTTTGTGCGCTGTCCAATCATGCGAAAGCAAGCCACTTACCGACCCCGCCAGGGTACGCTCCGGGCTGCACAGCCGCCTCATGATAAGCGGGCGGCATGCTGTACTGGTAATGCATGGCTCCAGGCTGCTGGTATGGCGCAGGCATACTGCTCTGGTAATGGAGTTCAGGGGTGGATCTGCCGCTTCCAAAATTTGGCGAGCCCTGATGTCCTGGAGAAGGGGTACGGCGCTCGGGGTAGGGGGATGGAGGCCCTGGGGGGGTGGTGCTTGGTGGGGGGGGAGGAGGGGGATGGTCTGCACCAGCGGAGAAGCAGAAGCTATGATGCTGTGAAAGCGAAGCGTGCTTTCGGCAGAATCAGGTTCATTGGACGTGTCAGAGAGGTGGCCAAGAGCCGAAGTAGCACAGCGGATCTTCAAGATCGTGCCAGGAGAAAATCGTATGCTGGTTCTCGTGCTATCATGTGAACGCCGAGTCCACTTTGGGGAGTCAGCGTTTCTGTCCTAAATATGAGTTGTTGCAAATTTTACGCACATAACAACCCCCTGAAAATGTTGGAAGTTGTTACGCAAGAACCTCCCTTTTCAGCCCAAAAACCCGACCGAGGCAACTTTGACCGGAAACCCAACTGACCTTAGTTCTGTGGTTTCTACATCCAGGTTGCATAACCCTGCTTCGAGCTACCAATCACGCGGGACGGCTTCTGATCATGCTTACTTTCCACAGGGGGACCTTGGACTGCCTCCGCATTTTCGGTTGCGTAACAAGGTGGGTACTCAATCGGGCTCGAAGTTTCAAAATTACTGTTCCTGTTCGCACATGAGGGAATCTATCAGACAAGGCATCAAGGGGAGGTCGCTGCCACTCAAGGGATCAGTAAGTACTGACTGGATTTCGAGCAGCTTCCGAGAAATCGACTAACCATGCTGCTCCCATGAGTAAGGGCTTGTGCTCGCGTCCGCTGCTCCCGTGCCATATTCCTGCTGCTCATAAGCGAAGGGTCTCCTTCCTGAGGGGGGCGCGAACTCCTGCTTCGGTGGGGGGGCCACCTCTTCCTGCTTTGGCGGGGGGGGGACCGGTTCTTGCACCAATGGGGGAGCAATTCCTGGAGTCTCTGGCTCTGGATCAGGGAACCGGTTCACTGACTGACAGCTGCCGCAGCGCACCAAGCGGTTCCCTTTCCTGTCCCTTGGGAGATTATCTGGCAGGTTAAGGAAACCCCCGCAGGTGGAGCACTGGTAGAATTGCGGGCCAGGAGGGGGCGGGGGTGGGAACTGCGGAGGGGGAGGGTATTGCGGAGGAAAGCCGCTGCTAGACGAGCTGCTAGGACGCCGATCGTGCAGGGAGAGGGAGCTCATGTCGGGGGGGTCGGAAGCAGCGGACTGAGGGCGGCTCCCGGAGCTGGGCGGGCGGTTAGGAGGGGGAGCATAAAATTCACCATTGGAATGGTTGTGGGGTGGGGGACGGGGAGGGCTGGAGAGGCTGGGGGGCGGTCCTGGGGGAGGGGGTACGGAGGAAGCTGCAAGAGGAGAAGGTGCAACTGAGCACTGCAACATTTTATTTGGCCCTGTCTGCAACGTGGCGACCAATTTTGCTTCTACAGAGAATGACAGACGAGAATCTCAGGAAATGTATCGTCAGACAGAGAAGGAATGTGTGGTCAGAGTTGCTGCAGCTGACTGGGTGCAACTCAAAGTGTCAGAAGGCTAGCAATGAGATCTGCGGGATGTCCATGACAAGTTCAGATGCTTCGGGACTTTCATTAGATTCCTTGGGAAGCCGGCAGCCAAGAGAATGAACCCCTTCTTTCACTGCAGGAGCAGAATTTGAGAGACCCAGATACTGCACTGAGCCAGTGGTTGGTTGCAAACAGATACACCAGTCGAATTTTCTGAAGGCCTTAAGGGAATGTGTGACACACGCGATTTTTTTCCTTTGTATAAAGTCACTACTTATGAGCTGATCACATTGCGCTCATAAGGCATGCCAAGACCTTCTCTTGGAACTGACACAAGTGGACATCCGGTTGCGACTGCAATAAGTAGGTTTCTTTCAACTCTCCCCTTGCCCTCTTTGCATGCAGGGCAAAACTAATCGAGTGTTCAAAACCTTTTCCTTTAAAAACCAAGAAAAGTGGGCCGAACTACATACTGAACGCCCTCCATTAGAATAATGCTCACATTGCAGAACTGTCCCGCAGACGCAAGTAAAGAAGGGGGCCCCAGGCGGCTCATGCAGCTGAATGCGGCAAACGGGGCACTGCACGATGGCCATCTGCTCTAGTTGCAGCACAATACCCTAGCTCGTACTGTTGGTCTCCTAAAATCCTGCACGGGAGATCGGAAAGTTGCACCATTGTCAGCAAGAATCATTGTCAGATTGGTCTACTACCTGTCAAATGGACTCCAATGAAACGGCAAAATTTTCCAAGGATGATGATGCTGCTTCTCTGATTTGCATTGTAAGTGTCCAAGCACGGCAAGCATAGCAACAGGAGAAACTTATGTACACACTCGCACTTGCCGAATTTGCTGAGATCTCAAAACGGATCAGTGGCTGCATCAACAAATAAGCATATCAGAGCTGGCGAAGACGACATTGACAGGGTGCAAAATTGCATAGAGTGAAGCGTATATGAAAGCACACAGAGGAATAAGGGAAGATAAGGAACCCTAACCTCCTATGGCATTTTGTCCTTGTTTCATAGTAATTTCACCATCTTTTTGGTTGTAAGTGTTACCGTGATATTGTCATAATGTGAACAGTGAGCAAGTGCTGACCATCTGCAGATTCGGGTGCACATTAGAGAGGTTTGAAGGATGCTCAAAATCCAAGGGTTGGTCCTAGTTCTACAGGATTCACCAGGGGTCGAGGAGAACCATGACTAACAGACTGGGCGAAGCTGATGCAAGGGGTTCCTTGACATTGAATCCTCATTCAGGAATGCAGATCAAAATGGCGTTTTTCTGCCATATTTTAACAAGCTGGGAAATGTTTTCGAACAGCACTTTGAGCCAAAACAAACTTCTTTGGTTGTTAATCGCAGAAAACCATACCTTTGCAGCACTCTTCTGCAAGCTCTTGCAAGAGGCTGGCAACCACTGACGCGAGCAATGCCCTTCACGATCTGACAACACGGTACGCTGGGTTCAGAATCTGTCGCAGACTGCAGAGCCCGCTTTCGTTTGCGGAAACCTCTTGCCTCGCTCAAACCTCAACCGAAAAGCACGAGTTTTACCTCTGTGATGCGGCTTCTTTCTTCTCCGAAATGGCTTCTGCCAGGTGCCTGGGCTACTTTTGGTCCTGTTTGGAACTTGGACCTTGCTTGCCTGCAGCTCTGGCATCTGCCTAGCGCCCCTGCAATCCCCGAGTACAGAGCAAGACTTGAGTGTCGAAGCCGCAGCCCACGAGCAGATTCGGATCTTCAGGCTGCATGGGGTCAAGGTACTACTGGTCCGTACAAGGAAGAACCGTACATGGTGTTTGAAGAACAATCGAATCGAATCGCGATTTGTCTATCAGGGTGATCAATGTTCGACGCACTAAACGGCACCTTCGACAGGAGATTCCGCCGAAAGCATCTCTAGAGTTCCTGCCAGCTTGGTGCGCCGTTCTGCAGGAGGGAGTTCTCTTCGACGCGAACATCGAGCTTGCGACTTGGCACTGGTGGGCACTTGGGCGCCTTTCTTGCGCTGTGCGCAGCTTCCCATCTTTGCCATTGGTCATGCAGCACAAGTTTCCGAAGTGGCATCAGGAAAATCAAGAGGGGCCTTCAGGTGGTCTCTCAGAGACAGGGCGTTTGTTGAAATCATTGTGCTCCTGCTTCTAGTCCGATTTGTTGTGACGGTGGTTGTCAGCAAAGCAACCTGAGCAGGGGACATCTGCATTCATAAGTTTCGGGTTTCAAGTGGCCGTTCCTTCTGACCAGATCGGGTTGGGGTTGCAGCAATTGGTGAATTGCTAGAGAGGAATTTTTTGGGGCCAACGAGTGCTTTGGTTGGTGCAGAATGAGAAACGTGTAGTGTAGGACTGCTTCGAAGATGGAGAGTTGGATAGAAGCTACACCAAGTTGTGTAGCAAGAGTATGGTTTTCAGCTGGTTAGCGCACTTCGTTGCACCATTCAAGACAACACCACCGTAAAAGAAAACTCCATTTGCTGCGACAAGTCTCTGCCTGTGCAATGCAAAAGCAAAGACAATGGGCGTGCAGAGCCTGTTTCTCTTGAGCGATACGGGTGAGGTTCTCTTTGAGAAGCATGAGAGAGGCAGAGCGACGGACCGGGGCGTATGCAGCTGGTACTGGACGGAGGTGGAAAAGTTCAATGAGCAGAAAGAGGTATGGAATCGAATGCTGTGCATTTCAACCGCTTGATGCCCCTATGTCTTAGCGACATCATTCCTTGCACTGCAGGAACCATGAGCCGCAACAGGAGCTAAAGAGTATCAACTTTAGTCATACCACCACTTCTTTGATGATTTCCACTCTGTTCCCTTAGTCCGACTTTGAAAGAAATCATACCACTTCTTTTGATTCCTTTATGACACGGAAACTGCCGCTCTTTGCATAAATGTCTTTGTCATCTCGACGCTACATTTCATAACTGGGGACTGACAGCTGCTTCCCAAAGAAGCTCAGAGCAGCGAGCCGGACAACGGGACACATGTTACGCTGCAAGGAATGTTGCGCTTTCTGAATGACAAATGGAAATCAAACCCCCCGGTCTCGGCTGTTTTGCGGAAACGTGTGCGAATCCTTGATCCTTTGTTTTACAAAAGCAGGTGGACATTCGGGTGCTAGTTGTTTCAAGTGCCCTGGTATTTACTTCACTTCTCTACTCAAGGACCGTCCATTGCATCAAACAAGACACTCGCTGCCCCACAAATGCTGGCAATAGCAGGACAGTGTACAGGATTAACTCAACTATGTACCAATTGGTCTTGCACAAGTAGACTTCTCAAAAGATGCGAGTTGCTGAGAGAATTGGCTTAGCGAACTTTTGTTTCTTACTTAAGAACTTGAATCCATCTTGTACTGATCCTTCTACGATCTTCATCCTCCTTTAGGTGCCGCCACTTTTAGTCCCTCCACTGTACAACATTGCAAATGAGAACTTGAATCTAAACTTTGTCTTGATCCTCCTACGATCTTCACCCTCCCCCAGGTGCCGCCACTCCTGGTCTCTCCAACATACTACATTACGCATATTGTCCGTGATGGCATCACTTTCCTCGCCTGCACTCAGGAGGAGACGCCGCCCCTGCTGTGCTTAGAAGTGCGCCTCATCTGACTCCTTATTTCCTGAGACATTGTCATGTCCCTACGCGCAACGCCTTCTCTCTCATGCATCAACTCACACCTGCCAAAAAGTGTCTTTTCACAAAAGCTGCAACCTCAGATCAGCAAACATTGACTGTAAGAGCGATGGAGAAGTCGTCTTCCAGGTTGCATCGGTCATTCAGTTGAAGTAGTGCCTACTCAATCTTCGTTCCGTTGGTTGTTGTTTCTTATTCAGAAATTCGTTTCTGTAAGTGACTTTGATGCACCACCTGTGCTGCAGCATCCTTCTGGCTGCATGAGCTATGAGCTTATACGGGCTGTCTATCTGAACCAACCTCGCCGTTCTGCAGTTCCTGTACCGGGTCGCAAGCGTTCTCACAGAGTACCTGGGAAAACTCGACGAGGATGCACTCAAAGATCACTTCATTACAGTTTACCAGGTAAATCCGGGGCGCTTTATTCTTAACCAAAATTGAAAGGTCTAAATTCGCCAAATTTATAGATTGTAGTTGCAGAAAGGTCACCCGGCGACTCGCAGAAACTCGACCCTGACCTATGACATACTTTTCACGTGGCTTGAACATCTCCGCCCCTTACACCAGACATCAAAAGGTACACTTTTATTGTATCCAGTTGGACACGGCTTTTCCAAAGCCAGGACAGTGTACGCAGACAGCTCTTGCCCTTCATGCTTCTGTACCCTTTCTCAAACTAGAGTTATTTCAAGCTTTTTGCATCCTTCTTGAGACTACTTCGATTCCAACGTTGTTTCAGCCTGTCTCTCCTACCTATCTAAGCCCTTGTTTGCGGATATACCAAACAATCAATATTTTTTGGTGAGACCGACAAGTCTTCCAGGCTTTCAGAATCCGTTTATCTCTTAACCTAACCCTTCCTTTCGGACAGCTTTTGGACGAGATGATGGACAGCGGCCTTCCTCTCACCACCGAGCCAAACATCCTCAAGGGCCTCATCCCCCCTCCCAGTCTTGTAGACCTGGTAGTTAACGCCCTGGTTCCGAGTAACCCGGCGTCTAACCCGCCTTCCCAGGGAGCAGCGGTTCCCTGGAGGGCCTCCGGGGTTAAGCACCCCAGTAACGAGATCTACTTCGATCTCGTGGAGGAACTAGATATTGCGATCAACAGGTGGGTATCCCCCTGCTGCTCACAACTTGTTCAAGAAGCTGGACTTCGTACTTTTTCAACTTTAAGTTTGTCCTTTCCGGCTTAGGAATCAGTGATACTAACGCTTTCAGAGCCTCGTTTCCAGCTGATTGTCACGTATCTCGAGGATTTAACGAAATTGACGAGGAGGGTGGGTCGTTGCACCTGCAGCGCCTATCAATGGAGGGAGCCCTCACTACCTGCTCATAACGGGGTCGAAGGAAACTGCACGTCTGTCCTTCCCTCGCTGTGTCTGGAAGTGGAGACAGTGAGGCCGTAACGTACTTAGACGAATCAAGATGAGGTTTCGACGTCCGAGAAGGAGTTAGCAGGGTGATAAAAAATTACCGCATCACAGCGCAGGCACTGCGTTCGGTTGTGACCACAATTCATGTCCACAGAAAGCCCAGATAGCATCTTTCTCTTTGCAAACGACTGACAAGTAAGTTTGCTTCCATCTTCCTGTTACTATCTGGACCTGGGAAACTTGATTAAGATTTTCTAGTCGCTTGAGCTATACAAGCTTGCGCGTTCGGAACTCCTCGAAAAGTCTTTCCAATAGTGCACAGATCACGCCGCTGATGCCAGTCTTGTAAGGCTGCATTTTGAACACGGAGGCCTCAGAGCCACACTGAAGTTTTTGCAACCTGCAAAGCTCGGTCCGCCGCTTTTAGATCTCAAGCCAAAACTTCTGTTGAAACGTCCCCGCTCAGCTGGTGTGAAAACATTCGGGCTTCAACTGCAGGGACGGCAGCACGAGCGACGGCGAGATCTACGGCGAGGTTTTGGCCACGTCCCGGCTGTCCGGCATGCCCACCGTCCTGGTGTCGTTCGGCGAGCCGGCGCTGTTTTCGGACGTCCGATTCCACCCGTGCGTCAAAGTGAAGGCCTGGGAGGCGGACCGCGTGCTGACGTTCGTACCGCCAGATGGGGCCTTCAAGCTCATGTCTTACAGGTGGGGAGTTGAGATTCAGGGTTTCTTGTGTTTTGGAGTTTTGGACGTCCGTTCCATCCGTGCGTCAAAGTCAAGGCCTGGGAGGCGGACCGTGTGCGGAAGTTCATGCCGCCGGACAGGGCCTTTAAGTTCATGGCGTACAGGTGGAATGCGGGATTTTTTTGGTCATGGGGATGTTTTTGGTACCAAATCTGCGAACGTCGGACCCTGCCGTCGTTCCGTTTCTTGGACCTTTCGGATTTAGCAGGAAGTGCGGTTTCACGGCCTCGGATAAAAAATCGAACAACTGGGGCGTGCAGGTCACGAACTTTTTCAATGTTGTACGGTCGTCACCGGATTTGGACTAGACGCTGACCCTGACAGCGGTCTGCTTGTTGGCGGACTGCTGGTCCTGTGAAGTCAGAAAGCCCGACGAGTTGACAACTGAGATCACAAGCAAAGACAAAAGGAAATGGACGGAAAGACGAAAGAGACAGGAGTATTATTCCCCCCCATTTGGAGCACATATCTACCCGTCTCCCCGTTTCTCTGTTTTGCAAGCCAAAAAGGGGAAGTCGTCAAAGATGTACCCTATCGACCCGTGAGAAGTGCCTGCTCGATGAACCGTCCGGTGCAGGGTCGAGGGCATCCGGACCAGCCCGCTGTACGTCCGGCCGCACTTACCGTAAACTACTCCCCAAAGGGGAGTGAGATCGCGAAAGATTATGTTTTTTAGGTTCAAGGATAAAGAAAGAGGACTAAGCCGGAAGAGTAGCCTTTTTCAGATCCATTTACTTGAATTTCTTGCAGGGTTGAGGGCATCCGGACCAGCCCATCCTGTCCGTCTGCAGATCTCGTAAGCTCCCCCCCAAAGGGGAGTGAGATTGCGAGGGGTTAAACCTTCAGGTTCGACTTTAAAAACGAGGACTGAGGCGGAAGAGTAGCCTTTACTAGTATTCACTTAAACGCAATTTTGCAGGGTTGAGGGCATCCGGACCAGCCCGCTGTACGTCCGGCCGCAGTTTTCGTACAAGGACGGCGCGGGGCGCGTGACCGTGCTCCTCGGCGAGAAGATGCCCAACAAGGTCGTGGACAGCATCACTCTAGTTCTCCCGCTGCCACAGGCGGTGACGTCAGCCGAGCTGGCGGCCAACTGCGGGAGCGTACACTACGACGCTGCGTCCAAGGCAAGTCTGTCTCCGTTAGCAGTCTTCCCCACGCGCCTTTTCACATCATTTCCCTCTGATATAAGGATAGAGTTTAATACCTAGAAGGATTCAAGAGTCATAAGACACGCCCGGGGAACGGGTGGGGTTGGTATGGTGGTTAGGGTGGGTTCGGGTGTGGAGTGCGTCATGTCTTTTAGTTCGCATTTTCAGTTAGTCTTCTGTCTTGGGCCCTTTCTTAGGTATACTTGATGGGTATCCTCTGTTGGGCATCGACACCGCTTCGTTATGGTCCCTTTCGGAAAGGCCGCGGCGCGAGCCGATCTGGCGACGTCCCGCGGAAGCGCACTTCGATCTTTGTTCTGAGTTTTTTGCTGACTGGCGTCTACTTTTTGGCGAAGCTTTTTCTGGACCGCTTACTCCTGGCACTTATCGCCGGCAGTGGGCTCGGCCGAAGCCCGCAATTCTCTCCCCAACATTCTGCGGAAAGGAGCTGACACTTAAGCTTTATAGCAGATGCAGTTTGCTTACTTATACCTTCCCCATTGCAGACATGCACGTGGCAGCTTGGCAAGGTCCCGGTCGACAAAGCCCCGTGCCTAAGCGGGAGGTTGACTCTAGAGCCGGGATGCGACCGCCCAAGAGACTATCCCCCGATGCTTCTTGGCTGGCGGCTGGTCGGTACCGCTCTTTCAGGAGTACGGGTAGGTACTGGACAACCTCCGACTAGATCTTCACAATTTTCTCACTGCGTTTTGAGCAGATGTGACTGCTTCTGCAGAACCAGAGGGGTTTAAGCCCTTCCGTGCAAATCTCATGCGGCCCAGTAGAGTTCGGCGAAAGATAAAATTACGTTTCGGTCGCTCAGAAGATCAGACTCTTCGTTGCCCGTCCCGTCACCGATGGGCGCGCACGTTCCGTCTTCGCTCACAATCACCTCAAGAGCTGACAGGCTGCCAATCACAGCAGTCTGGTAGCATATGGTTTTTTTGTTGTTTTTACGCAAAAAGCCATCTCAAAGATTGATAGGTTTCCAAATATTGGTACTGATGCTGCCCTTCTCAAGTTTCCTGCCAATGTTGGAAGCTGCAGACTGCCTGCTTGAAAGCGACCCGGTGCTTTTGTCCTTTTTCTGATTACCCGCCATTGTCCTCGCCTGACTTGGTTCCCGCCTTGCTGAACACAGATCGACGCGATGAACATCATGCACGAAAGCTACAAGAGTTTCAAGGGTGTCAGGGCCCTTACAAGAGCCGGAAGCTACGAGATCAGGGTTTGACCATTTAGGACCAACCAGGCTCCGAGACTCGACCTATTCGGGATTGTAGAGCTTCGCGATTATACCAGGCAATACGTTTGCCATGATGCAAACGGGCCTCCGTTGGCGCCCTGGCATTTCTGGCGATGCCAGCGCACTTGGCGTAATGCAATTAAAATTGACCTTCATCAAGCTAGTAGCGCTCGCTTCTGCATCTTCGATCGGAAGAGCCGCGCAGGAGCATCAGCAGCTGCTCAGTCCTTGACCGAATTGGTTGCCAGGTTATGCAAGTAACGATCATGTTTGCGTTGCTCAGACTCAAAAGCTATGATTTGTTGTACTTGTCCTACTTTCCGAAAAGATTGATCGCCCTTTCTTCGTCCTGTGTTTGCATCCACTGATCTAAGTACGGGGTCGACGCGCAGTGGGAGGAGCATGCTAAGTTTGGCTTATACGGATCAGCCTGTATGGCTCAGTGCCAGATCAAGCCGCCGGGCCCATAGTTGTAAAGTAGAGAGCCTCGGAGCAGCTGGGCCGCTTGCTGCACTGCCGCGCCGAGCAGTCTGGTGGCAGCCGTGCGCATATGCTTCCATGCAAGTTACATGATGAGCTTGTGACAGCAACGGCCGGTGCACACCGTAATATGTGTCCAGCACGCGAGCTCTGGCCCGCATATGCATGTGTGGCATGCGATCACCCGGCCATGTGGGGCGGCTGTGAGTTCATGTGCGTTGGCCGCCGTTTGCAGATTAAAGCTGCCGCCGGTGAGCATGATGCACAAATTTACGTCGAGCTACTCCACGCATGCCTAGGGGATGATGGGACATGCTCGATCATACCATGATCCACATTTGCAATATCACATACGGATGCCATGGGCCGCCCAGTCCACGTGCACCTTTGAGTAAGGTTTGACGGCGCAAGGCATCCAGGGCCGGCCAGATCGAGACTTTTTGAAATGCACTGAAGCGGTGGTGCCCGCGCCTGGCAACTAAGATGTTTATCGGCTTTGCTCCGTAAGCCGATAAACAATGAGGAATACGAGAATGTGACGGCATGTGCCACTGGCCCACAATGCGACATTGTCACTGGGTCCGACCTGGAGGATCAGATTGAGGAAGAACAGTCGCTTCAACACTTACTTGATTTAATGAAGTTCGTTATAAGCTGCTGATACTGGACTACATCCCACGAGGCCAATATCTCAGGGTAATCACTATCTGTCTCACTTGAAGACGACTCTTACGTTTGACTGTCTTCGATTGGATAAGCTGCAAAGAGAGCTACTCAGCCTAACCTACTTCCTCTGATCACTCTACTCCAAATCACCTTGGCTACGTTTTCAATCGCCCTGCCAGCGGCGCAGGCCTCATCTCATGCCCGCACGTCTTGCACTTCCGCGCATTCGCGTTGTTCCCGTGCGTACACTTTGGACACGTATTTCCACTGTACTGCGCCACCCGCTTTGCCCGCAGCTCCGCCCCGCACGCCCCGCAAGTCCGTGCATTCCCGTTGTTCCCCCGTCCGCATTTCGAGCACTTGTTGCTGCTATACTCCCGCGGAAGATACGCATTGCACTGTATGCACGTGACGAAGCTGCGAGGATTCATTGTTCCACAGCCCCCGCACTTTTGCTCCAAAAGCGGGGGGAGCGGCGCCACCGGTTTTGGCCCCCTCTTCCCGCACGAGGGGCAGTGGCTCGCATTTTGCGGCAGGATTTTCGTGCAGCTTTCAGTCCATGGGCACTTTTTGTACCCCGGTTTCTGGGATGCTGGGAGTTTGAACACGGGGCGCTCGAGGGAGGCCGGAGGATCCGCTCTGGCTTTGGCGCGGGCTTTTTCCTTAGGGGGCACTGTGGGGGGGGCTGGCTGTATCGTGTGAATGGTGACTCCAGGCGGGGGCCAACTGCTGGAGATCGCAGCTGGAGTCCCATTTTGGAGGATTGGGGGCTGGCTTTGGGAATCGGTTGGGACAGACGGTGGCGGATGTGGAACTGGTTGGGAGACTGCTGGCGTTGTCGAAGCTTGGGCCGAAAGGGAGGGTTCGGAGGGGGCCGGAACCTGGAGGGTAGTGGAGGGGTTCTCGTTCTGGCTTTGCTGGGGTGCTGAGCTTGGTTCCTTACCGCCCTGGATCTGGTCAAACTGAAATAGACTATTTTGCGGCAACTGCAAAAACTGCGACACATCCACGGGTTTTGGCGCGATAGGCGCCGCCCCCCCCCCTCCGTTTGCCTGTGCACTTGGGCCCCAACTTGGGCCACTCCCATCTAAAACAACAACCGTTCCGTCCCCTGGATCCCGCTTCCGCTTCCCCTTGCCCTTCCCCTTCATCTGCTGCGCAAACTGCGCTTGCGCCTGCAACTCCTCGGCTGTCGAGAGCCCCAGCGCCTTGGCCTTCATTGCGATCGCCCCCTTTGACGGCTTCAGTTTCGGTTGCCCCCGCTGATCTTCCGCCTGGCTCGCCAAGAGCAGCTGCGCCCGTAGCCTCTGCATTTCTCGCTCGAAGTACGCCCTCTCCCCTGCCACAGTCACCTCGTACTCTCTTTTCAGCTTTGCGACCTCCGCCGCGTGCTTCGCTTCGAGTGCGAGGAACGCGGGCCGCATCCGCTGGAAGTCGCACGCCTTGAGGTGCGCCGCCATCTCTGGCCGCCGCAGCTTCGCGCCGCAACCGAGCTTCTCGTGCGGACACCGCACCTCCGTCCTGGTGCACGACAATAGCTTATGCATCTCCAACTCGCGTACCGCGACCGACGCCCCGCACTCGCACTCGCAGCTGAACGTGCAGCTCTTCATGTGGGCCGGGAGGCCCCACCTCCAAACAGAAACCGGGCACCCGTTTGCTGACCCTGAGCAGAGGACAGTCTGGTGCGTGCATTCTGCCAAGTGCGCTGGTAAGTCCTCAAATCGCTCTTTCCAGCCACACCCCCCGGGGACCGCTTCATACTCTGAGCTGACACAGTTGTAGCTCAGATTGGAAGGGCAGTTGACGCCGAGATCGTTGACCAGGGTTTGCAGCTGGACGTTCACGCTGACCCTATCCTTCTGGATCTCCTTGCTGCACGTTGGACACTGAGCAGTGTCCAACTGTCCGAAACGTCCGGCGAGACACGCAGCACAGAAACTGTGACCCTCCCCACACCCCGAGCTCTGAGCGTCTGTTATGATGTCTGAACAAAGCGAGCAGCTCAGGCTCTTGGCGAGAAAGTTATTGATCAGCAGCTCCTTCCGGTGGACTTTCCTGGGGATGATTGGGGGATCCGCCTCGCTCGCGTCGCCGACCCTGGCTACGCCGGATACCACACCCTCCGCGCCGTGCTTGTGATACCGTGCATAAGGGGAGTCCATGGCAGGACTAGCAACAGCTTAAGCTAAGCTAGGCGCCGCAATCTGAAGATCCTTCCTCATGCTGCTCCTTGAAGTTTGAACACCCTTGAAGTTGAACCGCTTGCAACCTCACCTTCAAGCCCAGCCTGAGGCCCGGGCCCCAGCTTTTGATCTGGCTCTTTCGCGCCACCATTTTGCGGACGATACCGTATTCGGTATTCGGACAGGGATCATGCGCAATGATACCGTCGGCATCCCGTAGGAGTACAATTTCAAGGTTTTGGACGACAAGCGTCCGCATTGCGACCGTCGAGAACCGTCGATAAAGAAATGGATCGCCAACCGCCGATCAGGAGCAGCCGGCTTACCTAGCTCGCGCTCACACGAGTCGTCTCTATCCTGTCTCTATCTTCTCTGTCACTGAGTTCTGCGAGCACATGGACGGTACCATCGACCTTATTGGAGGGACCCATGCACGTGTCTCAACGCGGCTCCGAGTCTCGTACCTGTCAGACGGACTCACGACTGTCCTGACGGCCTAACGCGGCATCCGATCCGCTCAGAAGAGCTTCTTGTTTATTATATAATGTCAAGGGGTGAAGTGCTTCGGTAATCAGTAATGATATTATATAATGTCAAGGAGTGAAGTGCTTTGGTAATCAGTAATGATTCGGTGAAACGTTCGGGTTGCAGGGATTGTACTTACAAAGGTGAAGTTTGAGAGGAAGAAAGGATATCGATCCACTTTCCGTATCCGTAAACTTGTTGCTTCACCAGGGATCGATTGATCCTCGCAGCATTGCCCAATCCCCACTGATGTCTATCTCTGAATGACGTCCCCTGTGAAACAAACGGGTCATGTCCTGGACGCCTGCAAAGCTTATCAGTCTGGATGCTAGGATCATGAAGAAACAAGTAGCAGGATTGAGAAGCTAGGCTGAAATAGGCTGTATAGTGGCGCCTACTTGTCGGTTAGACGCCGCTTGCACCAGGGTTGTGGTCAATCTACCAGTTGAATAGTCTTGAAGCGCCACCTTCCTTCATCAACGCAATCAAGCACTTTGACTTTGGGTTTCTTGCTGGCTCCATATCAGCCATCAAAATGGTGGCCAAAGAGACTCTGCTCCTGTGCTTCGGGATTGCAGGCAAGCAACTTTTCTTCCAGCTCATCCATCTGTAAATACAAAAGATAGGAGCAACTTGTGAGTGATGTAGGCTGATAAGCACATGGCAGATGACACCCCTGCCTCTGCGGAGAAGGTGGCACCGATGCAAACCAATAGATTTGGATTGGCATTCTTGGACCGGATCAATCTCTTCCCGTGTCCTTCAAAAGATGATGAGCAACCTTTCTCGTCATCAAGGTGTGGGTGCGGTTTTGAGGAACAGCAGCTTGCTACCAGCTTGCTTAGAGAAGTGGTGGCGCGATTATCCACATGGTTCGGCTCTAGGGTTGTTACTCACAGACACAAGACGATCAGATTGATAGAAAGCTCGCAGGCTCTAACGGCGTCTTCTTGCAGTGCAATAACTTTCGCGCGTTGGGAGAAAAGCCCTCTCCTGAGAACGAAAGAGGTTGAGTCTGCCAACCTGAGAACCTGAAAACGTAAAAAGTGTCTGCGAAAGTCTCTGTGTTTCGACCGGACTCTCTTTGCAGAGCCAAGCTCAACTTCTGCTCGCACACAAATGCGACACAACAGGGAATACTCTGAATTGGTCTGGGGATCAGTTTCGGAGCCGCTACATCAAGCTCCCCTTCCCCTGCAGCGGCCTGCACTATTCTTGTTGCTCGGTGCTAATGTTCCTTTTTAAATTAACCTGCTTTCGCTGAACACCCCATTGCAGCCAAACTGCACCTCTTCCAAAAACATCCGACAATACATAATTTCACCACCGTTGGTGTTTTTACCCCCCCGCGCTTCACAGAGAAAGACTTCTTCTGGTCTCACTTTCGCAAGCTATTGAATCGAACTTTATCCCCCAATCTACCCCCCCCCTGACCCCCACTTGACCCTGCTTAAGCCCCGATTAACCCCCCTCTGACTCCCAACTTAACCCCACTTTCCTCCCCCTTGCAGCCAATTGCACTTCCCTCAGTACCGCCCTCTCCCCCACGCCGACGTTTGCACGCATCGTCAAGAACCGCAGCACCGAGAAGTTCTCGTCCACGCCATACGTCGCCAGCGTCTTCTCAAACGCTATATGGCTCCTATACGGGCTGGTCACGCCCAACAGCCTATTCGTCATCACCATTAGCTCGGTTCTGGTCATCATCTATGGCACCTACTGCGCGCTCTTTTGGAAACACGCCGTGACGTTTGAGACCAGGGTCAGCCGTCTTAATCCGTTTTGTTTTAACACCGTTCACTTCAATCATTTTCATACCCTGTTGGCAGAAGGGGATACTAGCGGGTTGAAAGCTTGGCAATGAAGCGGTTGCTTGATGCTTTGCCCAGGTAGCAGCATCCGAACGAAGCTCACCTGTAGATCAGCCTTCTGCTCGTTTTGCGAACGCGACTCCATCATCTGTCCGTTTGCAAAATCAAGATTCTTTTTCTTCCCCATCTCACCTTGACTAACGAAGTGTCAGCTGCTGTGCCGTTTCTGCAAAGCGCACAAGCCTTGTCGAGCTGCCTGGCCCTTGTTCCTCTTTTTGCTCTTCCGAGCTCCATCAACGCATTTGTTCTCTCCGGGCATGGCCCTTGTTCTCTCTGCTGTCACCCCTTCCCGAACGAAACGGAACGGAAGAGAACGGAACGGCTGCTGTTGTCTTAGAACAAGCATGAAGCAGGCAGCTCCCTTCCGACATCTAATTCTCGTGTACATCTTTCTGCCGGATTCAGCTTGGCACTTTCCGTCCCGTTCAGGTTGCGACGGAGCGGCTGCTGTTCGGAGCCGCGCTCGTCATCTCGGTTACCGCGGCAATCACGTGGGGGGCCGTTCCGGAAGACCGCCGGACGCTTCTGCTGGGGCTGTTCGGTGACGTTCTGTCCGTCATCCAGGCAAGGATTTCGTTTGTTTTCGGAAACAGAATGCATGTATGGAATGTAAGTGCGGTCCGCGTTCCAGACGAGAAATCGTAAAGCAGAGGTGACTGGGGACGCGACTAAAGTAGTCGAGAGGCCGGGCTTCTCATTGTCCTTTCATTGACAGCCAGCTTGCGTTCCCGCAGGTGTACAATTTTTTCGTCGTTCATTGCATTCTTCTGGCCTATACCGTCCTGGAAAACACCCGCAAATGTCTCACACGATACGCCATCACAGACAGATGGCATACGCTCCATGCACTTATCCCGGCCCAAGCTACTGCAGAGCTCAGATCTTCAAACAAAGTCAACCTTCTACATTAGTTCTTTCAGTAGTCTGGTCAAATTCTTGCGTATGCAAGTTTTCTCAAAGCCCTGGAGTGGGTGACTTGAATTTCGCCCAAGAAAGGGTCGAATTCAAAATAAAATACAAGCCCAGCTCTTACACTGATAGCGTGTCTAGTTTGACGCCCAAAACTGCAAGAAGGCCTGATCCAGATTCACATCGTTTGAACAGAAGTCATCAGCCTCGTATTCGAACTGTCAATTATTGCGTACGTCTTTATTCTTGTTCTCGAAACAAGGGCTTTCAAAGGTAGTGCGAGAGCAAAGTTGATTCGAGTATCCCTGCGCTGTGCCCACAGGTGGCCGCTCCGCTTTCCGTTCTGGGCATGGTGTTCCGCACCAAGAGCGCGGAATACCTTCCGCTGCCCCTCTGCGTCAACAACCTCATCAACAACACAGTGTGGGGGGTGTACGCCATACTCAAAGCGGACGTGTTCGTCGGGGTGAGCTGCAGGCTGTGCTTACGGGGGTTCAGCTCGTCGAGAAATGTGATGGCGGGGACTGTTATAAGTTGAGAATGATAAGCTGGGAGTCAGCGGATATAAGAGCGCGTCGTCCAACGAAGCGGTGCTTGAAGCTTCGGTATTCAGACCTCTGTGAGGGCCTACAATCGGGGGGACTGAGGGAGATGCAGGATTGCACAAACAAGAATCCGAAGTCCTGTAAGCTGACAATTGGAACGTTCTGGATCCAAAACCCCAAATACGAAAAGCGAAGCCCGTGCTTTCTCTCCTCAGGCCCCGTGCATTCCCGCGGTCCTACTGGCGCTTGCCTCCGTGGCTCTCATCTTTCATTACGGGGACGGCTCGAAGACGGCCGCGGGCGCGCGTGCGGCCGCGAGCGGCACCGCTGACGTCACATACGTGGGCGGCGGAAGCATGCACGGCGGCGTGTCGGTCCACCGGGGGGCGTCGCAGAGAGGCCGCCCAAATGTGAGTTTCGTGAGGCAGATGTCAGCTTGCGTACGTTCCCCTCTGTAATGTCCTTATAAAATTTGAAAACGGATGCAGCCGCAACTCTAAATTGGTTCATACATCACATTTACGTTTCTGACGCTGTTACTGGACGGGAATTTCATAATGCCGTTCCGGTTTCCGCTTTCATCTCTCACCGTCACTGGTGAGCGCCCGGTCTCTTCCGTTCTTCAGCAAGCGCAAGCTTGCGTAATAGGTCTTTCTTTAAACCCTCTGGTGGTTACGTATCTGACGAGTACTAATATGGCTTTCAACCATGTCTAAAACGGCGCCATTCGTGTTCCAATATGCAGAAGCTGGACATGGGCGCGCCGCTGCTGGAACGGATCGACAGCATGCCGGAATCGCCGACCGGAACGAACGGAAACGAGCTTCACTCGGCGGTCTTCGTCATCTCAGACGAGGAGGAAGTACACGGGGCCCGCAACTTCCACACCCCGACTCAGAGCGGTCCGCAAAACACCAAAGGCGGCGAGACAGAGGGTGAGCCAAGAATAGCTGATGTGTTTTGATTGTAAATGAAAGAAAGTTGAGGATGTTTACGTTGTTTTCCGGAAAGCGTAGGACATCGCGACCAAGAAAATCTTTCAGACGGCTGGAGTCCCTCTTCTCCTTCCTTCCGTTCTGCCTTGTTGCAATGTCATTTATGCTCGAGAGAAGTTTTCGTTCCTGATCCATTCCCCCCCTCCATCATTACCCTTTTGCTCGACAGTCAAGAACAGTGGATTCGACCAATCAAGACCGTCGATCCTAGGAGGTAATAAGGTAGATAGCTAGGAGGGGTCTCAAACGTCCGCTCGGAAGTCCACTCTCTCCCTTCTTCCGTGCTTTCAATACTTTCACAATGTGCGTCAGCCAGCTTCGGATTTGACTGCGCAGGCCGAGGAACCCCGACAGCGACAGCGACGCGCGAGGAGGCCGTTGCTGACGTGGCTTCAAGGCGAGCTGCTGAGAAGCTGACGGAAGCAAGCCAGGGGCAGAGCGGCGCCAGGATGCCGGCCTCCTTTCGAACGAGCGTGTCAAGGCGATCCTCATTTTCTCAGCAAGAAGGCCTATAAGTCCTTCGCACGACGTAGGCCGTATTAAGGAGGACGTATCGAAGAAGTCCGCACGCTCGTTCGAATCAGTGATGAATCGATTGCGCTACTGTCGCTTCGATCCACAGAAATCTTCCACAATGACCGCCTTAGTTTTTTAGTAGGAAGTACAAACTGACGCACGCTACTGTAGTCAGGGGACGACGTACAGATATACATACATACCCTTCGTTCGAGATCATTGTCGACCACTTGTTTACTTATCCGTAAGAGAGCAGTTCTACATACGTCGGGTGGTACACTAATTGCTTAGGTGAAGCTGCATTCAATGCTGCCCTTGTGTTTGACCTTGAACGTAATTGTAAACTGAATGCGTGCATCTGGTGATGGTGCCAGGCGGGTCATGATATTAGTATGCAGTCAACTCAATTTGGTATGCGCACTGTACTGGCGTCGAGCTAGGCTAGACTGCTCAATGATCGACCGATCAAATAAACGCGTACTTGATTGATCCGACTTGGAAAATCACCAACGTGGTCGCATTGGCTAGGCGCAGGTTTTAGTGAGCGGGCGCAGCCGGACTCAAATTCCATGAGACAGAGCTCATGCAAACCATGTTGCCGGTGTATCACTATATTTCGGCCGGGCCTGTGACTACTTGCATGCATACTGATCTGAGTCAATCACAGGTGGTCATGCAAAATCATGGTTGCTCAGTAATGATTGCGGCCTTAAAATGTCTGCGGTGCAGTGCAACAATCAACGTGAAGCTATACCGCGGCCGCATGCTCTTCAAGCACGGCGGCGATGGTCGCACTGACACATGAAGCGTATACACGCCCCGGACTGGCCACAACTCAATGCACGCGCGCATGCTGATATGAACGGAATTAGGCTCATGACCGGACTGCGCTCTGAGCTGCTTGCATGAAAGCTTTGCACCCGCGCGACGGATTTGTGCATGGTATACTCTAGCCGCCTTGTACGGTATAAAATGATCTTTCGTAGATTTCATGGAAGCAAGACTTTTAGACCAATGCGGCCGCATGGGGTGACAAGGTGATGAACATATGCAGCGGAGCCCATGCGCCGGGCCCAGCGTAAGCCTGTACTGACTGATGTCAGGCACGCGTGCAGTTCTGGGATTATAGAAACCTCGAGTTCGCACTACTATAGTGGTTGTAAGCTTACGACCTGACGAGCGTTACTGTACAGTCTACTTTGACCCACCAAAGTGGGCGACAACTAGCGCGTGCTCTATGGTACTTCCGAAGTTCAATCGAACCGCACGGGACCTTGACACGTGAACCCGCCGTCAATAGTTACCACACTTCCGGTGGTGAAGCCGGACGCGTTTCTGCTGGCGAGCATCAAAAGTGGGCCCAATAAATCTGCCCCTACGTCTCCAAACTTCTGCAGGGGGGTCGCCGCCCTAATGCTTTCGCCGGCAGGTGTCGTCAGCATTTTCCGGCTCATATCCGTGAGGAACCACCCAGGGTTTATGCAGTTAACCCGGATGTTGTGAGGCGCCAGTTCGACTGCCAGCGCTTTCGTACATTGAACAACAGCAGCCTGCAATAAAAGCAAACTTCTCAATGACGCGATTCTTAAATTTTTGGCACCCATCCATTATTTCTGTTATGGAAGGCAAACGAAGACGCTTGCAATCGATGAACAAAAACGAAAGACCAAGACATCCTTGGGCTTCGTTCCGTGATTCGGGGGACGTGTCAGAGAATTCTGCCGTAAGTGATCGTTTCCAACCAAATTTGAAGTCCCTTCTGTCTTGCAGGGACTCTAGGAGGGAACCGATTTTTGAAACGTAATCATCTTTTCTAGATGGCGTCTTGCCCCAAAGAATTGAAGAGCAGTATCGGTCAGACGCACATGGGGAAGTTCTGAAACATTTGGGAAGAACGGGCAAAGGAAGTACTTCATACGCCGAAGGCTTTGTACGAATGTCTGACCTCAAATTCCGTTGGCCAATCGACGGCTCTACTTCACAGGGGTCATCAGACAAAGAAGCACGCCGTCACTCACCGTCCTCGCTTCACTCCAATCAACACGGAACTCACTCAAGCTGATCTTGCTAAGGTTTGGGGTGACGCATTTCTTTTTTTGTATCTCACGCACAGATTTAAGTTTGTGGTAGTTCGACCCACCTTCGACGAGCAGTAGTTGGCGTGACCCGAGAATTGTGGGGCGAGCATCGTGCCTCCGCTTATGGACGCGATGTTGATGAAATTGCCTGGCAGGTTTGCCGGAATCAGCTGCAACAGACGTTCTGTGAGGATGAGCTGACGAACCGTATAAGGTCGTTCATAGGGGTGTCTAACGACCTTGAATAGGGCGTCTGAACCACGTGGTTGCGCGGCAATCCTACAATTGTACGTTCTTAATCACACCTTGCCCAAGCTTTGATCACGTGGTATCCCTTTGAGCGATTTGAAATACTGGCCGACTGGTCGCGACAGCACTATTAATCACACGACGGCCTCTTGAAGGCCGTGTGAACTTGTATGTAATGTTTACTCTGTGAGCTGCGCAGTCCTTCGCTATCTCTGACTCTTGGAATGTTGCTGGGTTTGCCGTTCGGAATGCTCACATCCAAATTTCTCCAGTGCCAACAAACAAGACATGCCTGCAGAACGAGACTCCAAAGCACAAAGGTAATGAATGTTTGAATGGGGCTCTGAAAGGAAGATTAGCGGAGCCTTGAACCAGTCGTCTGCCTTGATTTCCGTTCATCGCCCGTCCAAGTTCGTTTCAGAAAGCTCTTTGGAAATTTCGAAGAAAGGTCAAGACCATTCTGGGGGAAACAGCCAACTCTCACTGGTCGTACCTGAAACTAACACAAGCTCTATTCACCTCCAAACTTGATCAGATCAACTGGCAAAACATTCATTGCTGTCCTTCATTTTGCCTCCTCACCTTGCGAGCCACCAGCTTTGACAGCGTCATCAGCCCCCGCACGTTGACGCTCATGACGTGGTCAAAGTCCGCTTGGTCAAACTCCAGGTTTGGGAGGCTTTTTCCATCCACCCCCGCATTGTTTACGAGAATGTCGATGCAGCCAAAAGCCTGCCAGGCCTGATCGACTGCTGGCTCTATCTCTGACTCTGATTTGGAGAGGTCTAACAGGACGGCTTTAGCTTGACCAGGCTTGGGTTGTGTGTCAGATTGAGAGGAGCTGGAAAGGTTGTTGAGCTCTTCTACAAGTGCCTCCAGTGGTTCTGATCGACGGGCTGCAGATGGAGGGAAAACGTTCAATACCAGCGGAAGATCGAGAACTCTTTGTTCGTGGGCCTTGGCAAAAAGACAAGCTTGAAAGACTTCTGGGAAGTGAATACTGTCTGACGCTTGCAAGTTGGACCACACACTCGCTTCGACTAACATGAGAGGCAACAAGCATCTCAGTGCACAACCAGCTTTACAAATAGAAGCTCGAGCATAATCCTGAAAAGAAAGGTGTGGACAAGCAATGCATCACTTGGGGGCAAAACCTCGGTTCCCCATGGAGGAAAAGATGCTGAGAAGCTGACTCAATTGGAGCAGATGCAAGCTTTCAGCAGAACCACTTCAGGAATAGAAGCTGGATAGAACTGCCCCGATGTACATTGCAATCCGTAGCCAGCAATTTGACAACCTCCAATGTCAAGCTACTGACTGCTAGCCCCTGTGTGAGATTGGTACTTTACAGACCTAGCAACCACCCCCAACAAGAGGCACATGGGCTTCAGTCGCAGCATTGCTTTTAGGGCAAGTTCTTCCGTCTCCTGGCTGCAATGAATGATCCCTGAATTTGACAGTGACATATGCATGCACCTATGAACTGGCTACCTCTGGTGGTGGTGCACAATTTCCATAAGATCATCTTAACCTAACCCTGACATCTTGATGGTTGCCTGGATCAGAAGTAGTCCCACCCACGTCTGATAGTCTTTTGAAACTCACCGGCCACAACAACATTGGCGCCGCACTTGGCCAGTTGGTGCGCGAATGCTGCACCAAATCCTGATGGTGAGCTGCAACCGGTGATGAGAGCAGTCCTCCCAGATACGTCAAATAGCTGGTGGAGGTCCATTTCAGTTGCTACCACGTCATCCAGCTTCCTATCCGTTTGGCAACTTGCATGGGGCTTGATCCCCTCGTCCCTCCATGTTGTTCGAGTTTTAGGGTTTGCGCCAGCTAGGCCAAATGTAGTGCATGCGCAGAAACCCTAAAAGCTGGGTTAAAACTTCTCGGCCCGCGGGCGGCAGGCTTGCATGGGCTACCAAGTTATGGATGGGGCCGTCCGTCGGTTTAGAAGAGGCTTACCGTTTGGGGGAGGTTTAGGTCTTGTGAAGGGTCCAACCATGACATGCTTCAAGTGCCCTGGGCGCTGTGATCTCGCAAGCACTGCGGGCCAATCGTTGTACACGTACATATACTTCAGCGTGCAGACATGCAGAGCCTAGGAGTCGTGCGTTTCTCATTACAGGGGCCAGTATATGTTATAGGAGGCCAAGGTTTCTGCCTATGTCAAGTTGAAAGTACTACATCTCGATTGAGACTTGAAGATTGATTTATCAGAGCATGTTTTGTAAAGACAATGATGATTGCGTCCGTGTATGTAAGGCCTCATGAGCCTCTCCAAGATGCGTTTGGTCTCGGGCCGTTTAGATGATTAAGCGTCTCGTCCTAGAGCAAGTGTCCGGAGATCCTATGAAGCGCCATGTGGATGAGTAGATGCGCCGTTGCCAGGTCGGACACAAGCACTTTTCTACTAGTGGAACCGAGACGGTTGTTCGGAACAGAATAATCTGCTAATAGACATACACCGCACTTCGCAGCAACTCGTGTTGCACGTTACTAACATGCTTTGCTCTAACAGAAAAGCTCTCGTTTTCAAAACGAAAAGCTTTGTTCAATGTAAAATCTTTGGACTCCAATTCGACGTCCTACTCGTAGTCACCTGCGACTGCAGAATAGGTTCTGACGTGCAATATCTCAGAATCCCCTAGAACCAAGACCTACGGTCGTACGGTTCGTTTGGCCACGGCTGGTTCGCTTGGGGGACCTTTTGGCTTGGGCACCGCATGAATGCATACCGTATGAAGAGGTGGTTGCCCGCATCCCATCGAGCCGGGAAATCCTTGACCCCGTGTCGCGCTGGTCTGGGCCACCGATAGGGCTCTCCGTGGTTTTCCGGGTCGATAACGTCCTCGTAATACTCACCCATGCCACAGTCGTCAAGATGCGGACATGACGTGATCGCTAGCAATGATTGGGAGGGTTCGGTCCAAAAAAGTGCTGACACGTGGTTGTTGCCGGTGCTCAGCTCGTAGAGGCTGCGCAGCATGCGCAGGTCCCATGCGAGGACCGACTCGTTCCGTCCCCCAGTGAAGCAAAACGGGTAGCCGCCCTCCGCTGCAACTAGAGCGACGCCCCATAGGCTCTCGTCACTTCGGTCCTGCTTAGGAAAAACATCAGAGTGCGTTTCCGGATCCGGAGTGGTTCGAAAACCGTCTTCCAGGTATACACCTTGTAGATGCGTGCAACGAGCACTCTAATCTGCTGACTTCTGCTTCGTGAAAGCGTCGTACAAGCATCGAAGGTCCTGAAGAACTTCCGTGAAAAGACATCCAGTCCTTTCGGATTCAGACCTCGCATGCTATCGAACTCTATGGGCGAAAATAGGAAGGCGTCCCGGCAGGCCCTATCGGAAAGCTTGATTACAATCTCGGCACTTACGCACTGAGATGATCTTCCAAAGACTGCCGAAAGCGCATAAGGACAGCATGAAGATCATCATTCTCCTTCTTTTAAAAGTACTCTGCCTCAAGCCGGAAAATCTGGATAATCGGGTCTGATTCCTAGCAACCGATGTAAAGGCTCACTATATCTGCAGAACTAGGACCGTTGCCGATCGCCTGCGGCAAGAACAGGAAAAAGAAACCCAAAAAAGGGATAAAAGGGCGAGACCCCTATTTCGGACGCCTCACCTTGAGCGTACAGACGGCCCCGCCTGTCCGCACGTCCCAGACCCGCGCGCTCGCATCCCAGCTCGCGCTCGCAACTAGGTTCGGGAGCCCCGCCGCCGCGCTGATCTGCACAACCTGCTTCTTATGCCCGGTAAACGTCGTCGAGATCTTTCCTCGCTCTAGATCGAAGACATGGAGCGTCGTGCCCCGGTTTCTGGTGGCAGCGAGAGATGGGGAAGCGGCGACGCTGGTCGGGAGAGCGAGGAGTGACTTGAACGTAACTGGGATGTCGAAAGAGCCGTGGGCGGGTTGGCCGCGGGTGACTTCGACGTCGTATATATCGCCTTCGTCCTGTAGAGGAATACTCAAGTTTTTGAGCGAGGTTCTAGCTAGTGTACGCTATGAAAAGGTCCGTTCACTGAGCTTTATCCGCGCTATTCAGGGCGAATGAAGGAGACCGGGTTGCGAATGTTAGAGTAAGCTGTAGAGAATTTGACGTGCGGAACAAGTAAAGAAGCGGAAGACGATGTGGTAAGTTTTGCGAGCAGGTAAACAAATTTGTATCCTAACCCTCCCTCTTTGGACCAACATTTGCAAAACCGTAACGTTCGAAAAAGCGACGAAGCTGAGGTAAACAGTATCCTAGACCATGTCACGATCAGTCAGCAAGTCGCTGTCTGACTTGGGATCCGACTGAAAGTCTTGCCCATGGAAATTGACTCGATTGTGGAAAAACATTCGATCTGACATTCTCCACCTGATTCAATGATGAAAGCCAACTTGCAAGAGCATGAGGATAGCGAGGTTCGCGCTTGTCTAATCTAGGGGTTAGCTGACGGTCCGGAGTGTGATTCAGTGGTATAAAATGGTCAGTCAATTGAAAGTGCTAGATTGGAAAGAGAGTGCAGAAGAGTTGGCCCTAGTCAAGACATACTAAGCAGACTGTTAAGAACACTCACCAACATCGAGGAGCTGAGCCGATTCTCGTACTTCTCCTCGAACTCTTCTCGCTCCTCTTCGGTCATGCTACTATCATAGTCCTGCACTTCACATCAAAGAAAAGATATGACTCTGATATTGTGCCTGATAACGCTGCGGGATGCAAGAAACATTCACAAGGTTTCTATAGCGGAGTGATTTGAGGACGCTCAAATTGTGCAGAAGCAAGCTGTCGAGAAAACCATGCTGAGCCCGCTCCTCGGTTCAGAAAAGCCGACGAGAGAAGCACTCAGGGCTCGAGCTACGCCTTACACATTGGCGTTAATAAGGCAACTTCGAAACGCGTCAAAAAAGCTTTATCCGCTGCAATTTGGTGTTTGCTGTCAGATAAAGCGTTCACGAACGAGGCTGGCAAGCAAAATTGCAGAAGTGTCGGCATACTGCACATGTGCGTCCGCGCTCTAAGCTCCTTGGTTCTTGATTTCTTTGGCTTGTCACTCGACTTTGTTTCAGACACTGCTTCGGAGATGCAACAGATGCACAGCCTACTGCAAAAGACATCCTTTCCCGATGATACCCAAACTTCGACCCATTCCTTCTCCAGGAGACGTGCAACTTCAACATCGAAAAAGCCCCCAGTATCTGAAAACGAATTCCGTTTGTCATACATAGTAATCTTACCGTCAGTTCGCCAGACGAAACGTCCTCTTTGTGCTCCTTGATCTCGCCCAGCTTCCAGTACTTGATCGTATTTCCCACAGAGGCGTACAGCCTATCTTCATTGATTGCAAGCCCCAGCACCTCGCCTCCGGCCTGCAGACACACCGCAAGTATTCACTTGACACGGAAAGTGCGAGCATGCGGAGCAGGCTTCTGCCAGAAGAAGGCTCTTTAGGCAGGGTCAAGGCAGAAAAGCGAACCGCTCACTATACAAACAATGGGAAGTCGAAACGAACAGACCTTAGGAAGCACCAGACAACGGTTTAATCCAGATACTCCATCAAACTGAGAAACCTAGAACCACAGCAATTGCAAAATTCATCAAAAATTAGTTGAACGTATAAGCTCAAGGGGACGTGATCAGGCTAGACTGGATGCGCCAGAGGAAAAGCAGAGGAGTTGTTCCCCGAGAATTGTCAAAGACACATAGCTTACCATACCTGGAGCGTGCGCTTGCAAGGCAGTTCCGGATCATTAAAAGGGAAGGCCTTGATACGAGAATCGCCACAGGCCCAAACGAGACCGTGCTCATCATCCACACAAGTTGCGGAACCTGGAGAGACACAGCAAGCATTTCGAACTCAGCCGTAATGAAATCTGGACAGCGTGAACACCTTCGAGGTTGCCATCACCAGCTGCTTGTCGGGACAATACTGCGAACACGGCTTGGAGAGAGTAGAATTCGAAGTGCTGCACCGCCTGATAAGAAATCATGCAAAATGTCTCCAAGAGCTGAGATGGATTCAGCCTCCACTTCACCAAGAAGAGACGTCTTCCTTGCTACTTCGAATGATTGACTTGCCTGGCTCCCAGAACCCGGGGTTTCTGAAAGAATCAATGAACAACTTGTCCCCAGCCCCTGGCCCATAGGTTTCTCCTTCTTCTTCTTCCTTTTCTAACTTGGCACTTCCATGTTGCACTCGTTCCTCTTCTTCATCTCCCTCTGCGGCTTCATCTTGCTCAGTCCGGCGCCTGCATATCATCAGATGAGGGGCCCAGCGTTTGTATCCTGATGCGCCCTGCAACAGAAACTTTTCATCGTGAAAAAGTTTCTGGTTCATCTTTCCAAGCTTCGGTCTCTGAGCATCAGGACAAAGAATTCTGAGAGTACATAGTCCTAGAAGTTATTCTAATCAGCAATGAAGAATTTCAGCGCGTTACATGGCTGGTCAGGTTGCTCTGGAGTCTGCAATGAAGATGCAAACAATCTCTACGTGAGACTTCACCGATATCAGAGGACAGAACTCGCCAATGGAAGATGTAAAGCCCGTGCTTTAAGCGGGGCTACCTTTGAATTTAGCCAAGCAGTACATGAAGCTCACCGTCATAGCCACCACCTCCCCATTCTCGTTCGCTGAGGACCCATAGATGAACGGGTGGCATTCCTGAGTGATGACCTCACAGCGCCCTTGATGGATGTTCTCTCTTGCCTCGGAAATCTCAGTCGACCGCTCATACTTGGCATCAAAGCGCGCAAGGCGGCTGCTCTGATCCGATGGTGCAGGCCCTGACTCAGATCCAAACATCGATTTGTAGAGCGCTTGCTTCTCTGCAAGTAAGGCTGGGGGCAGCAGCCCTGGCAAGAAGACAGTCATTTCATGAGCGATGGCGCCACCAGGCAATTTAGATCCCAGACTAGTTTGCACGACCACTCCACAGTCCTGCTGACCAGAAGTGGTGGCAACTGGAGGTGGTGTTCGCTGCTGCTCAGAAGAAAGAGGCTCAGACGTCTCGTTTCCTATACTTCCAGGAACCTGTCGTAGCTGGCGCTTCATGTTCGCTGGACCTTCCATAGGCCGTAATGTTCGTTTCTTACTGCTTTGACCCGTAATGTGTGGATTGGCCTCTGCCATTTCTCTTCACATTATGGTCCCACATCAGCATTTTTTGAGATTCAGATTAGAAATGGAACGGGGCACCTTTCGTGATTATGGAAGGGTAGCAGCAAGGAGGAGCATAAAATTGTCCCCAGTAAAGTGTCCGCCTCCTTTGTGACGTGTCCGCCTCCTTGAAGACTGGATTCTGTTGACAAAGAAAGTCAACAAGCTTCTTCACAATGATCAGCCGCCATCTTGGCAAACTCCAGACGACTCCCTACCTAGCTCCTGGACCTTGAGCATTCTGAGCATTTCTAGGATTCTCCTCGTACCATTTCCCCGGCTATATAAGTGATTGGGTGTTGAGCTAGTATAGTACGGCAGGTGAAATGTTTTGCGCTTGATTCATGACTTCGAAGTAATGTGAATGAATTGATGGGACTGCAGGATCCCGCCTGCTTATACCCAAGCTACTGGTCATTTTCACCGTTAACCGGCCACAGCCGCCCAGCTTCTTGCTCTGTAGGCAGCCCATAGGCGCATTCTCGCAGGCTGCCTTCACAAATCAGACAAGGTTGTGCATTGAAATTGCAAAGCTGAAGGCGCTCGGGTGAAGTGGTTCAAAATGGCTGACTCCGTTTATGGGAATGGGTCTCTGAGCTCCGGGCATCAGCCGCACCATGCCTGGCAGCAGGTGACGGACAAGAAGGCAAAGCGGAGGCAGGAGGCTAAGGAGAAGAAGAGTGCGTCTAGCACGGCGAATGGATCGAGCACGGCAGTCGACTCAAACCAGGGGGTTTTTGCAGCTCTTGATGCGCTTGAGGGCCGGCAAGCTGCAACTAGGTATGAGGACGATGAAGAGGACAGGGCTAGGCACACAGATGACAGCGACGAGGAGGAGCTGAGGAAACCTGCCAATGGAATCAGCGCAGAGGAGAAGAAGCCAAAGCAGAAGAAGGATAAGAAGCCGCGCGTGACGGTTGCTGAGGCTGCCTCCAAGATCGATCCTGATGATCTGCTCCAATTCCTGGAGGGTGTATCGGCAAGTGCCTAATGTGCTCATCTCAATCAGGTCATGCATTCTTTTTGGTGATCATAGTGGTGTGGGTCGAGTTTGCTTTGCAATGGGAGTTGGTATGAGAGAGGGAGCGAGGATTGCCACCACAATTTGCTTTGCTGTAGAAGCTCAATTGTGCACATTCCCACCTGGCAACTTTTCTTTGTGTTGATTTACAATTGACTTGATGCAAAAAAGGTGAAAATTAAGCTTTTGAAAACAGTACAATATGTAAATGGCCAGTTTTTAATTTGGACATACGACAGGTTCAGAATTCTCTAAGCACATGTAATGAGTGTCAAAGTGTTTGATGGGAATACTTCAAATGCACCTGAGGAGAATATCATCTCAATCGGTTTCTCTTGCTGCAGGACTCTTTTGCCAGCAACTTGGAGATTCAGCTGATGCGCTGCGCAGACTACTTTGCGCGTGCCTTCTCCTCAGTCACGACAGCATCCTTCCAGTGGCACAATATTTTGAAGGAAAACTCGCTCGTGAAGGCTTCAGAGGTAAGAATTCATGATTCCTGACCCGTTAGGCTGGTGGTGCACTGCCCCTATGTGCGTCATCTTCTATCTGTTTGGCCATCAAGGCTGTGGGACCGCCATTCCTATCAGCTTCTTCCAGATGTTTCAATAGGCTCTGGCAAAGCACATAGTGTGGCCAGCTTAATTCAGTTCAGGAGCTGCTGCCAAGCAGCTTGTGAGCTTATATTTGTTCCTGCTTATGTACCTCCACGGGTGAGGGTGTTTGGTGTCACTTGACTTCCACATTTTCGCTCAACTTTTGCAATTCATGGCTGCAGATCCCCCTGTCCTATGTGCCGGAGCCAGTTGTGAAGGTCACTGGAGATTGGCTGGCAAAGCGCCCGGTGTCTGCTCTGTCCAAGTTTGCTGTTCTGCTTCTGAAGATTGTGTTGGAAGAGGATGGTGCGTCAAGCAAGGGTGGGAAGCAGGCTGCGGTGGCCGCAACTGGCAAAACACAGGTAAGCCTGGATTCATCACATGCTAGATCAGGTCCTTTCAAGTTTCAGACAGTTCACTTTGTCACGGCTGAAGTTTGATTGAGAGTCCACTTGTCGGCTTGGACCAAGCTTCTGTAGCTTTCGTATGCTCCATGCTTCTGGAGAAGGCTCGTCATGGGTTAAAAGATAGCACTTTATGCTGTCATCCTGATTGTGTCCACCTGGAGAAGCTGCATTCTATGACCTCAATACCTCAAGCATATTTTTTCAAGTATCTTCAAAGAAGAAAGTTCCCCTTCATACTTACTTCGCTGCCCTCTTATGACAGGTCGGCATTCTGATCGTCCTGGCAATTCTCTTGAGAAGAAGACCGGAGTCATTGCACCAGAACTTCGACACTCTGAACGTCGGCCAGCTGACAAAAGTGCCGGAGCAATTTGCCACCCTGCAGTGGACTCTGGCACAGGTAAGCTCCTGGCAGCGTTCTTATGTTTGACGAAAAGGCCTGCGCAGCGAAAGTTCGGAGGAGCAAGTCAATCACTTACAGTCTGAACTGTATGTTAATTTTTGTCAGTCAGTTGTATTGCGGCAGTGGTCAGTCGCGGCAAACAATCTACCAAATTGCCTTGTGCTTAGTGCAATCTCCTACGTAGAACAAAATGATGTTGCGGATTTGACCGGAATCATCTTGGCAGGCTACTCGCAGAACTCTTCCAAACGCTCCGAGAGGAGGACGCGTCATGGATTCTCTTAGTTTCGCGTATACTTCAAATTTTCCGACGCGGCTTACTGAGAAGGTGGCCGCTCTAAAGTGCGCATCACCTGCTATTTTGGTGTCTGTGAGGCTTTCGGCTGAGCACACTGAGCTTCTTCTTCACAGATTGCGCACGGCGACCTTGCTGCAGCCCTATGGCTCTGGGCGCGGCATCTGCTGCCGCTCGCAGTCGCCAAGAACGCGTCTCCGGCCACGAGGGACACCGTCTTGCAATTCGTCGAGAAGTGAGTACCAGTCTTCCGTATTCGAATAATGGGATCCATGCGCGTGCCGTGTTAATATATGCTGATACATTTGATTGCTTCGCCTTGGTACCCAATCAACAAGGGCCGGTTATCTGACCGATACTGCACAACCGTTCCTTCAGACCCGGCACTTCAGAAGACTCGCTCTGTGCACCTCTTGGATACTAGAAACTCAGGCTTGCGCCCCTTTTAAAAATGGATATCAAATGGTTTTGCAGTGTCATTCTGGCCAACCCCAAGAAGGGCAAGTCCGTGCTGATGAACGCTGCGGGCAGGAAGGGGCAGGACCGCCTGGTGCCGCCTGCCGCTTTGGACCAGGTCACACGGGCCGCGTTCCCCGTCGAAGCAGCTCGAACGAAGGTGAGCCCCGGTTCTCGAAACGCTTCGCATCAGTGAGAAGCGAGCCTTGTCGCTCCAGAAGAACCATAACGACGTCGGGAAGTTTTTTTGGCATAAGGATTGAGAATTGCCAGGGTCGTGCTTCTCGAATCATGGTATGAACATGGTGATATGTGCATCTTACCCGGAGGTATATTTCGCCGGCTCCCCTTGACTTCCGTCTTCTCAGCTTCTTTATCGACCCGTCGCTTGTCCAGTCGGTCATGCTTCTTCATGATGAGTGCCTCGAAATACTGATTCTGTTGTTGAAAGAGATCCAAGCTCTCAGAAGCGTCGGCTCCTGCCTTTTCCCCGAAGGTAATTTCCTAAGAGGTGAACCGAAATACGTTTTATCCTGGCTCTCTCCTGACCGACCAAATTCTTCCTGATGCACATTCAACCGTTCCTCAGATGGTCAAACCTTTGCTTGCTTCGCAGAATCGTCATCGCTATTGGCATCAAACACCGCTTTTTCCTTTGCAGGCAACGAGCCGGTTTGAAGCGATCCACCCGCTGATCAAGGAGCTTGCATTAACGGGGGCCAGCAAGTCGATGAAGCCGGTCGCGGCCGCGCTGCTTCCGCTCAGCGTGGCAGAAGCGTCAGCAGACGGTAGGCGGTTGAAGCAGACGGGTTACTCTCCCTTTTGCAAGACGCTTTGGTCTGAGTGTGTCATGTGGCTGCTCTACTGAAACTTTGTGTCGCTTCTCGTTCCGTCTCATTTGGGAGGAACTTCTTACACAGATTTGTCGACTTCGTACAGTAGAGACTTTCAAGCGAGAAAGTACCGGTCTCGGAACCGAAGAGCATGGCTTCATGGGGAAGCTGGCGTTAAAGATGGTTAAGGAGTATTCTTCGAACACTTGCCCATACGAGCCGACAGTTTACGAAGTCCCTTGCGAAATCGGTTTGCGAACATGTCCCTCAATACCACTTATATTCGCTTTGAACCTGCCGGCTAGATCATGCCTTTGTCGAGACCCGTAATTTGAGATATGTATCTTTTGGAAATTCGCCCGCCTGTTGCGTTGGGCCCGATTGTTTCCAAGATTCAGAAAGAAGGTTTCTGTTGGATCCTCATTCACCATCTCAACCTTTCAAGTCAATTCTGGAAGGGACTGGGGCCTGTCCTGTAAATCCTGACAACCTGTTTTCCCCTCCGGGCGGATAACCGTGCCTAAAACACAAGACACGCGTGCGGAGCGTGTCCCAGAACGTGGAGCGCATTACCTGCACATAATCAGGCCTGTTAAGCCCTTTCTTTTAACCCTTCGTTGTTAAAATGGCAGTTGACCCATGCTTAGCGACTTTTTTGTGTTGAGCCTGTCCCAGAAAGTCGGAGTGCTTCACCTGCAGAGAATTCGGCCTGTGATCAGCATTCCTATAACGGTCTCTTCTCAACCTGCAGATAACCCGCGCCTTTCACGCGAGGCGGGCGACCTGTTTGTGTGGAGCCTGTCCCAGAACGTGGAGTGCTTCAAGCAGTGGGAGAAGCTGCACCTGCCGCACATCCAAGCCAGCTCCCGCCTGCTGGCCCACATCCTCCACCAGTGGCCACGTTTCCAGTCCCAGCTCCCGGCGCTCGAGCTTTCGAAGACGCTCAAAGTCCTGCACGAAAAGGTGGGCGCCCATTGTATCGAGTTGGTCCTGGCCTCTCGTGGGTGGGTTTTTGAATGTACTGTACTGGAGATCGGTATGCGCTGGAACATTGACACTGATAAGAGAGAGGGGTGGTGCACTAGGGAGTTAGGCCGCTTCTCGTTCTGTCCTTTTCCTGTGCGATAGTATCATCTGTGCGGGGGTTCCAACTGCCATACAAATGACCTCGATCTGTGCTGCTTTGGTGGGCGCGCTCGGTAACCACGGTGAGAAAGCGGGAAGTTTTAGTCCTTCACAGTGGGCTTTCCCACATTGAGGTACCTATGGATCCAAGAATTACAACAAACAACGAACAACGAACAACGAACAACGAACAACGAACAACGAACAACAAACAACAAACAACAAATAACAAACAACAAACTGTCTTTTGTCCGGTTTCTCATCGTGGCAATCAGCCCCGGCTCGCACTCTGACACCTTTTATGATTGCTGACACTGCAATTCGCTTCGTTGCAGCACAAAGCTGTGCTTGACGGCAACTTCTCGGGGACCGTTGCCACCACCGAATCGGAACAGACGGACGTGCTGACGGCCACTCGGGCTGCGGAGGCGCATGTGCGGGCGCTGGGCCGGAAGCTCGCACGCTTCCCGACGTGCTTCACTTTCGTGGCCTTGACCGTGGTCACCGTGGGGGTTCTTTTGGCTTACCTTCCCATCGTGGAGACAGTTGACAAGTTAGACATGGACAGCTTGAGGGCGGAGTTTGAGAAAATCAAGTTCTTCAACTAGCTTTTCATCTTACATCGTGACAGTGCACAGCACAACGAGATTCAAGAGAGAGGAAGCCGGACTCTGTACGAGCCATGTTTTCTGGGCTATCGGTAGAGTTTCAAACTGGGGAGAGATACTAGGCTTGCATCTAGATGCTCAGAAAAACGTCATAGCCAATTGAACTGACGCCTTTCTGGCCTGATGTGTGTGCCGTAATCACGCTGCTGACTCAAGATGTGTGTAAGTTGGCTTGGTCGGATCGACTTTGTGCATCTGTGTTTCTACTGGTGGGCTTGGACCGGATATAAAGGAACGGACCCAGATCCATTGCACACAAAAAGTGGCGCAGGCTTCAAGCAAGGCGGCAACGCCTTTCATTCATTCATGCCAGCAATCTGATGGTCGTTTCTTTGCCGGGCAGCCCGGCCACTGTGCCGCGCCAGCCTTTGGTAGGGAGGACGTCAACGTCGCATGTTACCTGCTTCATGCACACGATTGATTGTAGGACGTGCACTTAAGTAGGACGTGCACTTAAAACTTCTACTATAAGCTACTGTACCTAGCTTGACCATGCGGGGCCCCATATGATCCGATTTGAAAATTCATATGGGGCCCCGCAGTCAAGCTAGCTAGCTAGATCCTTGTCAATCATGTGTTTCGAGGTTAAAGAAGCTGGACTCAAATTGTCACCTTCGAATTGTACGTCCCGCTTATAAAAGCGGCCGCGGACGAATCTGCCATTCGAATTGAAACGCGTTTTAATTAAGAGTACACTTATACATGATATCATGTGTGTATCTGTGACAGGCAGCGCAGCAATTATACATGACATAGTACTGCAAGGCGCGCGCGTCCACGGTCGATCGGAGGTCAATGTAATTTTCTGTGCATGGCCGCCGCATGCAGGTCTCGTTCACGTAGTGACCATGATTATGACTATAATCGCGATTCTTATAGAGAGCAACCAGGGTAAAAGCAATCGTAGCATGCAATACTGACACATTCCATTCAAAGCTTGAGGCCCTAAACCTTCATGGATTTACAAAGACATTGAGTTGACCTGAAGTCATAACATCAAATACCGATAACTTTTCGAGGCCAGTGTTGCGGTGCGACAAGGTTGGGAGGCATCGAGTCTTTTGACTAATAAACAGGCTTTCGAGCCTACTGAGGTTCTGGAATTCGTTCTTGAGCATTCGCTGTATACACGTTGAAAGCACAAAACAAGTGGGACAGGTAAGAAAACAACGATTGCTTCTTATTCAAGGACAGTTGCGTATCAATGCTGTGCACCATACACCAGGAACGCCTTTAGTGGCTGTGCATCACCTCTCAAGCTTGCAGTATGTACCACGGGCTACTTGAGATTGCTATATGAGTAAGTACAAGCGGCTTTTCCAATGCAGCACCGGGTTGGCTATCTTGTTAAACATCAAGCAGAAGCCTGCGGGGATCTTCAACGATGTCTTTGACGTTTCGCAGGAACAGGACTGCCTCCCTTCCGTCGATCAGGCGGTGGTCGTACGTCAGAGCGACGTACATCATCGGCCGTGGCTTGATGTCCGCCCCGACGACCATTGGGCGCTTTTGGATGGAGTGCATGCCGAGGATGGCGGACTGCACAGAAAGACCGTCCGCTGTTACTAGTGGTAAAGTGTTCCGATCTAGTTAGTGACATGTCCTTCTACCGACGTGTTCACTAGGGAAGACATGACGAGGAAATTAAGTTTGACAGTTCCGTGTACGACAATTTTAAAAACGAGCCCAATTGTGTTTGTCAGCACAATTGCCATTTCTGCATCACGCTATCACTTACTGCATTCGAGAAGCAGATTCTTCGAGCTGGACCTTGCATGAATGGCCCCACATGAAGACAGCCACATCGAGGTTCCGCATGCTCAGCACATATGCACAAATATGCGAGGCAGCGTAATCAGCTTTGTCTTGAAAATCGGTCACTCGGTTCTCTGACAGTGCAAACAACGGGTGCCATCCAAGTTGCTGAAACTTCGGACGCAAGCTCACCTGGGGAGGGTTGACGATGGGCGTGCTCAGCAGACTGCCGTAGACGCCCCCGTTGGAGATGGTGAACGTTCCGCCCGCCATCTCGTCGATAGAGAGCGTTCCGCTGCGCGCCTTCTCCCCAAGCTCGTTGATCTTCTTCTCGATGTCGGCAAAGCCCAGCTTCTCAGCGTCACGCAGAACCGGGACGACAAGGCCCTGGGCAAACCAACGCACTTTTTCAGGTGCACACTATATCTGACTTAATCAACTGTAAGACGAGGCCCTGTGGAAGCAAACAGGGTTCGGACCATCGGCTCAGTCAACCATACCGTGGAGTAGTACAGGAGAAACAAAGCCCTATGGATGCATGTCTCGTCCGGTATCTGCATTTGTACCGCCTTTAATTCAGGGCGATTTGAACCACTCCCTGTGCGATTCATCGAGATACCCCGGGAAAATTAGGCGAAAGCTGTACAATCGCGGCAGGGACGGCTGGCGACACAACGACTGAAAAGCTTCGTCCAGATTGCGGCAGAGGGTCCGGCCCAAACCCAGCTTTGCCGGGCAATCAAGAAGATGAGCAGATGAGGACGGTCCACAATATAGTTTTCAGCAAGTATACCTTGATGTATTCGAACGGTGTCGAGTTTCTGAGGTAGGGTCTAACCACGACAATGGGTGGGAAAGGACACGGAGGCGCACAAAACAAAAGAGGGCAGCGTACGTCAAATGTTCAGGCACAGTGCCTATGACAGATGGCCACGTGGCAGATAGAGACCGCGGTGCGGATGACGAAATGCATAACGTGACGCACCTTGGGCGTGCCCACGGCTATGCTGACGTCGACATAGTCTCTGTAGATGATGTCATCACCGTCGATGACTGCGTTCACAACCGGCGCCTTTTTTAGGGACTCCGCAGCAGCCTGTATAAGACAAGTATGTGGTGTCCAATCCGATGTCTGCCGCGCAAGATCTTCGATCCCACAGTTTGATTCGGGCCTAAATGGCATGGTCAACTCGTAAACGACTGCCTCCGGGAGTTACAATCTTTTTGCGAGACGAAAGTCGCAACGTCAGTTCGACGTGACCTCTATTCATTAGCCTGATCTGTCGCCAGAACCAGCAGGACGGAACCAGCAGAACGGAACCAGCAGAACGAATTAACGTACCACCAGATGCTTCCTGGCGGGTTTCTGAGAAAGCTCTTGATTCGTGTCGGAGATAGGCAGACAGAAAGCGGCGCGCACCTTGACAAAGCCAGACATGAAGCCCAGCTTGACCCCGTGCTTCTCCAGAAAGGCGTCCTTGAAGTCGCTTCGCAGCTGCATGATGTTGGTCCTGCGAACACGGAGGGGGAGCTGACGTCAGGGTGACATCATCCGCAGGTTGTTGCTCGTTTGATTTTGAGAACGACTTTCCACCTTAATTAGCAATTAGTTTACACACGCACGTCCCCTAGAAGATATCAGGTTCTGCGAATCGAGAACATCGAGAACCAGCTAGCGCATCGTGCAAAGTTGTGTACACTACGGATAGGCCCTTACGCATGCCAAGGACCGTATTTTGGGCAGACATCCCTTCGACTGGCAAGATAACAACGTGGCTCACATGTCGATCTCGTTAAAGGTGGTCAGTAGGGCGAACGTGTTCTGGGAGTCCTTGAGTCGGGTCGCAACCCGTTTCCGCAGCCGCGTCATTGGAACCTGAACCAGTCGAATTGTCATGTTTTGAGTTTAAAAACCTTACATTACCACCCGCTGGAAGTCTTCGTCGGGCTACTCTAAGGTCTTAGTTGCTGGAGAAAACCAACGGGCGAGCATGCATGAAAGCCTAGGTTTCCGAAGCCAGTCCAGATCTCGCGAGGAGTCCGTCTTGCAAAGGTCGTGAGGTAATCAAGCACCCCCAACTTCTACGAGCTTAGAAAAGGAACACGCCAGTACGAAGTCAGCAACCTTCTACCGTCCAACTTGAAGCAAGCACCTTTGACTCGCCGACATCCTTCTTTTTTACGAACAATATCTGGAAATATGGAACGACCTCACTCACTCTGCGCTCCCGATCCTTTGGCACCAGCTGCGGCGTGTCCTGCGGCGCGGCTGGTTTCGGGGGCGGGGGGCTGGCCGGCTTCGGAGGGGGCGGCGGCGCAGCCTTCTCCTGCTTAGGTGGGGGCGCCGCCTTCTTCTCTTCCTTGGGGGGGGGTGCTTCTGCCTTGGGCTCCTCAGATTTGGGCTCTTCTGCCTTTGGAGCCGCATCCGTTTTGGGGGGAGCCTCTCCTTTGCTGAGAGTGGCCACCACCGTACCCGGGGTGACTGTGTCGCCCTCCTTGACTTTGATGGCGGTGATGGTGCCAGCCTCGGGAGTGCGGACGTCGATCGTCACCTGAGGGACGGGGAGGTGTTCGGTTTGCCAGCGTCATTTGAAATCCTTGACTTTGATGCTTGTGATATTGCCGGCCTCGGGGGTGCGGACGTCGATCGCCACCTGAGGGCTTGCTAGCGTTCTTTGAGACCCATTGCTGAGTTTCATATTAAGTCGAGGGAGTTGGTCATAGGATGGAATGAGCAATTTGCAGTGGTTGCACGAATGACATATCGTTAAGGCCCTGGGAACCACAGAAGCTGCCTTTGAAAGCAGTATCCTGTTGATCCGAAACGTGGCTCTCTTAAAAGGCGACTTGAAAAGGGGTCACGTAACGAATTCGAGGGAACCCAGTCAAGCTCAATACGCATCCGTGTGCAGCTGCCTGCACTGCTCAGGCTTGATCCGTTAAGCGTGTCCTATTCTCCTTTCTTGTTGAAACACACGAGTCATCAGATTATCCTTCCTGCCAGTCTAAGCAATCAAACTGATTATTGCGTCATTGTCTCTGCAAGACACCACAACCTGCACTGCCTCCCGCAGTCTCTTGTTTACCGTCCCTGTCCACTGTCCTTCTCAAGAGGTGGCTTGATCGACAAATATACACGGAAGGCGAAATCGAAGCATCCATACTTATCTCGCAAGGGGCTTCGAGCAACTTACCTTGTCGGTCTCGATTTGTGCAATGACCTCATCAGCCTCCACATGGTCACCTTCGCCTGCAGTCCCGCACAGTCAAAGTTAGAGCAGCTGCTCGATGAGATCAGATTGACAGATGTGGCACAGTACATAGCTGCGTACAGATGAAAAATACTCTTGCCTTAAGGCAGGTTGACATGTGTACAGTACAGAAACTGATCAAAGAGGGACACCAAGCTAATTCTCGACTAGCAGATTAGACGGCAGAATCGACATGGAAAGACCGACTCAGTACTTTTCAATATGCACATTGACTGAAGGTAACCAACCGCTTGTGTCTGAATTGTACTTGCATTGGCATCTGGGTCTTACTTTTCAGAATTGCAGCCAACGAGCCGTCCGTGATTGACTCTCCCATGGACGGAACAACCGCTGTAAAATCGCCGTCTGCAAAGCCACGGCTCCAAACTGCCTGCCAGGGGACGGTGCGACCGAGTTCCCACCTGCATGGTCAGACTTTGAAGTCTGGTCTGGCTCCATAACTCTTGTAACTCAGGTTACAAACATGACAAAGTTCATGCTTTCACGCTATCTATTCCAGCAAGGCAGACAAAACTTTTCGTGCTTGAATTGTCAAGAAGGTAAGGGCCGTTATGGTGGCCAAAGTGATGCAGTAGAGAAGCGGCTTCTTGACCTTGAGTGGACATGACCCTTCTTGGGTGGCTGTAATGCACACTCAATCTTCAGTGGAATGTGAACACTCTAATCGCCATCATGTCAACCTCAGTTTGTTCCTATGCTTGGTGAGGGTAGGAACTTACCTTGACCTTGACAAACCTGACAAACCTGCAAGGGCCCAGAAGTAGCAAGTAAGATCAGAGCTGAAACAACCATAGTTTCAATTAACAGCACAATGGCTTTGAATCATGTACCGCCTTCCTGCACATGGTCAAAATCAGTGTCCCGATTGCAGCATTGAAGACGAAAAAGGAAACTTGGCTCCTTCCTTGGGGCAGCGCGAAACTTCAGTTGCACAGACGCAGCGTCACATTGTCGATACAGGGTCACCTTGTAATAGGCAGCAACATATTGCTTTAAGGTCTGTGGCAGGGACTGAACTTCTTACCATGATGCGAGCCTGCTGCAGTGCTGATGTCACGGAGCAATAGCAACGGCCCAGCAGCGGCGGGTTGTATCTGCACAAGGTATTGGAGATCCTCAATGATGATCACCGGAGGGAATTTATGGAAATTGCATGTTTGCAGTTCTGATCAGTGCTTCAAAATTGTGCACATTCGTCTACAACACAGGCTTAAGAAATGGAGTCTGGAAACCTTGCGCATTCATTGATAGTCTCTAATTTTGGCAAATTCTTTCATGAAATTCCCACTTGTTCCAAAGGTGCAGAGTTGTATATTGTGCCAATTTCACACAACTCTTTCTCTGCACGTGCACCTGCCCTTTTGGATATGTTCATGTGGAACAGAAGAGAGCTTTTGCAAAGAACACGGAGCACTATTCGAACGGAATTGTTTTGAAAATTATCACAGAGAGGAACTTGTCTTTATGGATCACATTTCCTGCACCAATTGCTCATCTCTTCAACGACAGGACTTCTCCCCAACTCTTATCAAAGGTGGGAGATTGCTCATGATCCGATAAATGCAAGTGACAATTAAAGGCAATATTAATCAAAAGCTGATCCATCCCTTGACAACATGACTTGCAACGAAAACCCATGGCCGCATGCATGTTGCTCACCAGCTCCGCTGATCGTCCATTGAGCAGTTGGCCGGACCGTCGCTGCGCCACTCTTGCGACGTGGCGTGTGATCCCTCCAACCAGTTTCGAAGCTCCCATTGTGCCAAGCAATCAAGCAAGAGAGAGAACCTGCATCCAGCTTTCTGGAGCTCCAATCCAATCCTGTTCGCCCCTGAGCGTCAGCCTTCAGGCTTCAACTTCAAGCACAAATCAGCCCACTCAGGAATCGAGTCAGACTGCTCAAGAACTTGAAGTTGAAGTTGGAAATTGGAAATTCTCGAGCTTGAGAGATATTAACAAATTTTATATATTTGCTTCTTGCTGCCAAAAGAATCGTCACCTGCCGCAATAGCTCAGCTGGGAGAGCGTAAGACTGAAGATCTTAAGGTCCGGCGTTCGATCCGCCGTTGCGGCAGCGTTTGAAAGTTGTTCCCTGCTTCTTTTTGGCCTTCTTTCATCGTTATTTCGGTGATGAGCCGTTGAGCTAGGAGCTGCTAGGTCACAGATGAGCCCTCGCTTGATATTTGATCTACCACGCCAATTTTTTGATACATCCGTTGCTATGCATGTTCGATCGCTGGACCTGCCAATCTCAACCGAGACTTAGCAAACTTAGCAAACTTGTTTTAACATGTGCGCGCGTCTGCCGTGCACACGTTGGGCTCCTGGCAACATTACATGCTCGATCGAAGTATGCAACCAACAGCTTGGGCAAGATCCGAAACTTCCGCCAAACTATATGCACAATTGCATCGATTTGCAACAGTCACCAAAGACAATCAACATTCTGAGTGTCGACCTATTCAAGTTTGGCGTACAAATCCAGTAGCACGATCATATGATCTATACGTGATGGTCATACACTGAAACTTTGACGATCTGGCATATAGAGCGCGCTCTAAGCTCGCCAGCAAAGAAACTACATAGGATGGGAGCAACGCTTACATGCCATACGTGTGCACACCAATGATCCATACGTTAAATGACCTTGAGCCACTATAAAAGGTTGATCGGACATGCTTGGTAGAGCACGGTGCCAAGCCAGCGAAAGACCAGCATGTGCAGTTCCCAAGTTCTGCAAGCTTTGAACTTTGTTACAGAGTTATAGTCGACAATCAACGTGTCAATGTGTGGCCATTCGAAAGCGTGTACAATGCCTGACCCACCGCCTGCGGAACTGGACATGTTTCTCCTAACTATAGAACGTTGTCAAGCACTCATTCCTCCCCTTGCCTTAGAGCCGCGTCCCTGCGCGCTTCCGCCGCCAAAGCCGCAGCCTCTCCTGGCGCCACGTGTCCCATCACCTGACCCTCAAGCCCACTATCTTCGCTTGCCGACTGTAACATGAGCGCCCCGTCCGCCACGTCACCATCCACGTGCCTTTCATCCTCTCCTTCTTTGCCAAACAGCGACCCGAGGTCTCTGAGCGTCAGAGCGTCCTCCGCCCGCGTTTTCCGGAGCCCCATAAGCTCTCCCCCGTCCGCCTCCGCCTTCTTCTTCCCGAGCGCCAAAACCCCCTCCTCCACCGACCCCTCGATGATGAACCGGTGGACGAACGTCGGGCGCATTTGGCCGATTCGGTGCACTCTCCCAACCGCCTGCGCCTCGGCCCCCGGGTTTAGCAGAGGTTCCACCAAAACCACGTGCTGAGCTTCGACGAGGTTTAGGCCGTTTGCGCCCTGCGCGATCGGAAGCAAAAGCGCGCGCGCGCCCGCGGGGAAGGGTTTCCGGAAGCGCTTGATGGCGGGGTTTAGGCCGGCGCGGCCCTTGGCGCGCTCGAAGGGGACGCCGTTGGAGCGGAGGGCGTGGGCGACTAGGTCGAGGACGTCGTGCCACGTGGAGAAGATGAGGAACTTGGCGGCAGGGTCCTGCACGAGAAGGAAAAGCAGGTCTCAGTTTATGTGGGTCGAGATCAGTGGGAATGTACTTCAGCAGAGTGGCACGCTGAGCGACATCCTGAGAGTCTTTGATCAACCGAACGGTTCAAAACCGGAGGAATTGAAGACTCCAAACCAAAAGTGACCTGCTCAAGAAGGAAACGAAGGTTTGGACCAGAAAAATAAATGCTTTGGCATTTGGCTCAAACCTGTTGCTCGCACTCAAGATAGAACAAGTAGATTCACAACTGAAAACTTCAAAGAGACTCACATTTTCCGACACCCAAAGTACCCTCCGCACAACGGCATCCATCTTGGTTGACAGAGACCCTTTGACTTCCACCCGGTCCTCTACTCCGACCGCTTCTAGCTGAGTCTTGGCACCGCCTGCACCGCCCGGTTTTCGTACTCCGGCCACTCCGTTCACGACGGCTATGTCGCCCACGTACGTCTTTTGGCGGCAGGTTGGACACGTCAGCTTCCGGCGGTCGGGGGAGGAAGCGGAAGGGGCGGGGCCCAGGCGTTCGATCATCTTCAGTGCACATCTAAACGGAGCGGGAAATGAACGGTGCGAGACAAGTATTATACTTATTTCTGAAGCTGATGATAGAAAAAAACGACTAAATTGCCTGATGTTCATTTTGGATGAGGGAAAAAGGAGAAGCTACCGGTCGGAAAAGTTTGCATATGAGAGTGGAACGATTGACTGCGACTGCCATACCCTTTGATCATCATAAGAGACTGGTTAAATTCGCTCGCGATATGCTAAGGGGTGAAGCCGGCTCGAGCACAATCAAGACCAACCCCATCCTATTCCACACGAGCTCGACAGCTTCTTTTTAGCTCGCCCCCCCCCGGATTTACAACCCACCCACGTCTCTACCCTATTATCCAGATTGCCTTCATGCTCAACCGAAAATGGTTTCGGAGAAACTACTCACTTGCAGCACAGCATGTGACCGCACGGTAGGACCATCAGCTCCACTCCCAAGCGCTCCTGGCACACGGGACAGATCTCGTCACTGCCCAGTAGATCCTTCCCCAATCCGCTACTGCTCCCCGGCGCGGCGGTAGCAGGCGGCACCGCTTGGTCGCTTGTGCTCGGTCGAGACCCCCCCATGCTAGTGCTCTGTTGAGACCCCCCCGGGTTACTGCTCGGTTCAGACCCTCCCGGGTTAGTGCTCAGTTTTGATCCCCCCGGGTTAGTGCTCCCCGGGTCAGTGCTCGGTTCAGAGTCTCCAGGGGACTCGATGCTGGCACTGCTTCCGGGAATGGATCCCTTGCCCAGGCTGCCAGGGCTGCCCGGTTGAGAAGGACCGAGCACTTCCTCGGAAGACAGGTTGCTTGGACTGTCCAGCGTCAAAGCCCTCCCCCCGATCGAGTTTGCTTTTGCATCAGCAGCTAAGTTTGAAGGAGATCCGCCTCCGTCAGCGGCTTCAGCCGGCAGCGCATCTGGACGTTTTGGAGCGTCGGAGGGGCCGGGACCGCTGGACGCCGCAGAGGCTGCTCGATCGCGCGTCTCTTTGAGGGTCTGCATGGCGACAAACAGTGCAGCTTCTACTCACAAGGATTGAAACTTGAAACGCATATCGATCCCGGTATCGATTGTCGTTCTTCTCGATAAGTGCATTGTATCACATGATCGTCGCGATCAGAGTCATGGTGACGTCTGGCCCCATCTGAGGCACGATGGCATCGCCAACGGAGAAATCCCCCTGACCTTTACCACCATAAGGTTCCGAGACCGATGAAGAAACAACTTTCATCGCTTGCTTCGACATTCAACGCTTCAGCTAGGCCGCACTCCCAAATTGGCCGGCGAAATCTTTGAGCAACTTTCAAATCCAAATCTATACCTTCAGATACGTCAACGAACCCTTGCGCTTCTTCAGGTCCTCCTGCGCCGCAAACTTCTCGCTCGTGAACCGGGCGTTCATCACCGGAATTTCAAATTTCTGCACGGTAACGTTCTTTTCGACCTCCGACTCGAACGTTTCACCCGGCAGCCGCAGCCGCACCCGAGTGACCGCCATGCCTAGTTCGTCGAGCGCGTACAGAAGCGCGCGCTGCGCGCCCGCCAGGAGCCGCGCCTTGAAGAACTCGCGGCGCATGCCCTGCGTGACACGTGGATGAGTTCGGAGAAACTTAGCCGCAACCCTGTCTAATAACATCCAAGACATCGAGCAAAGGAAGGGTATCAGAAAACGAAGTAAACGATTGTAACACGTTCGATCATATGAGCAAAAACACCTTCACTGCCTCTGCAAGAAAAGTGCTGACGTTCACTTTGTATTCGAACAGCTTTGGAGGGAGGAGCAAGAACCGTTGCTGAGAGTAATGTGCGTCCGAACCTTATTTCAACACTGCAAGTGAAAATGCACCATTTGAAATGTTGCGCAACTCCAGAGGAGAGCGCACTCAAGCTTCAGCTTGAACAACGAAAGCAGATATAAGATCCGGAAAATGGACAACGCTCACCTCCATCGCCTCCAGATGCTTCTTGGCAGCTCTGACGGCTCCTTCTCCGCTGTTTGCGCCACTGTTGCGCCGCATGAAATCCAGGATGCAGCGTAGGATCCTTTCGGCGTCCGAGGGCGCCCACGAGGTCTGGACGTCCGCAGCGGTCGAAGCCATGCCCTGCTGACGCGAGCGTGGCGTTAGCCAAAACTTCGAAAGAGTTCATCAAGCCCCTTCCAGCTCCGAAATGCTTTCTGACAACCTCCAGTGATGCTTAATACAAAAGAATAATCCGAAGGCGAACCGTGCACGGCAACTGAGCGTTCTCTGTCGTCGTACGTTTTCACTGCTATCCTCCATCACGAATTTGCCAGATGTTAACAATTCGAGGAAAACGAAGGAAAAAGCAAGAGATTACACAGCTTATGATCAATGCAAACGAGAGAGTTTGCCCTAAAATCGGATCGCCTACCGGGGTTTCCTCCACACCACCGAGAGGACACAAAGGAAGCAGTAAAGTGAACCAGAAGCACCGGAAAGAAGACGTGGCACATCCAACGGCGGGACCAGGGGGCTTGCCGCAGGACCTCTTTATCAAAGGCAGGACACTAACCACGAAGCAACCAATACAGAAGGAAACGAGAGAGGATGTTCGAGGCTGGCTTAGGACATGCCACGCGTCACCTTTGTGTTGAAAGCATAGGGATGAGGTCATTGGTGAATCCATATGCCGAATGCCGGTGCATATGGCCGGAAGTGCAAAGAGCGGGTTCGAGACTGTGCTTGATAAGCAAACATAGGGGCTATGAGAGGTTCCCGGCACCGGTGTCTGGGTGTCTTGGTCATGGTTATATCAACCGAAAGGGGACGGTTGAAAACGATTGAAACGCTCGCCTGGCGGAGCCCTTTGCCGGCGTCGTCCCACAGCTGCGGCCCCTCTTGCGGCGGCTTGTCGACGTCGCCCTTGATGCCCGCCACAAAGTGGGCGCGGCCGCGCGCGAACTTCTTGGACTGCGCCGAGATCGCCTCCTCAGCTGTGCGGAGCAAGATGTGATGCTCTGAGAGCTTTGGACGGGAACTCTGGAAACAACGGCAAGGGTAGAGAAGTGCCGGCGAGAATGGCAAAACCCAGCAGCCTCCAACTCCAAGATTGACATGGGTGGGCTTTTGATACCCGCCTAAGAGGAGGCGGCCCCACGAACGAGCTAAGTTGCGCCGAGATGGTCTTTTCAGCTTGACGTAAACATGCGCAGGATTCTGGGGTTCTGAACAAATTTGAAGGAGGACAAGTGGGCGTCGCAGTCCCAACTCAAGCTCCTTTCTTCGACAACGGACAAAAGCTCCCTCTTTGTTTTCTAACAGCTGCTGCCGCTTTCATTGAGGTAAAGCAGACAAGTGGGTGCAGTTGGCCGCTTAAAGTTGGCCACTTAAAAAAGGCCATTACATTTGGAAGAAGGCCGACCTTTGAACGGCAGTACTTTCCTGTCGACGAAACCTGTGAATTCCTTGATCAACGGGCCCCAAGCTCTGAGCACCATTTCGACCCAAGTCGTGTTTGTTTTGGAGCTTGAACGGTCAGCATTTGCGGAGGGTGGTTTGTATGCATCCGCAATATAAAGCCTTCTAGCATAGGCATGTAAAACTTTAAGGACTGAAACTTTCGCGCCCACCTGTATCGACTATTCCGACCCCCATCGCGTTCACCACGGACTAAACAGCGGGCTTATGCTTTCCAGTATCGGCATCCACGTGTCCAGGAGTTGTGACTGGCTCTAGATCACACCAAATCCAAACATTAATCAAGGTTATAGTGAATATCAGTGCGCCCACCTGTGACCACCATTCCGACCCCCATCGCGTTCGCCTTGAGCTTGAACAGCCGGCTCTCGTAGTTCTGGAACAGCTCGTCCATCGCACAGTGCGCGCACATCTCCCCGCGCATGTCCGTGTGACACGTGGCGCAATCCCCGGCCCTCTCGACCAGCTCCTCCGTGGGGGGGCCGCTCAGGGCGTGCAGCGACTCTAGCAGCGCCCCCCTGCTGGCATCAACCGCGGCGAGCTCTGATTGGAGGACGTATTGCAAGCCGCCAATGTCACGGAACCTGTAGAGAAATTTTCGAAAGCTCTGCTCCCAGATTCGTATGCTTCCGGTTCTCAGATTTTAAGCAAGTGCTCAAGATTGTCGCTGTTATTGACGAAATCATGTTGGTAGTCCTTCGCTATTGTTGGAGCGCAGCACTTCCAAGACGATGTCGATCAAGTCCGGATTGGACTCCCTCTGACAGAGAAATAATGATAAGAAGACCCAGCTAACGAATGTAAATGTCTCGCACAGCTGTAAGCTCGGATGACTCTACAATGCCACAAGCCCCACATGTAAGCAACCTTCCGACCTGTTCCTCACGCATTGCAAAATGACCGGCGTTCTTCCGGCGGCTGTCTATCTTGACATCTTCCCACAATTGTGGAAAATGCTGGTTACCGGAACTCAACATTAATCCGAAAGCAAGGCTCTCGCTCGCCGTAGTGCGAAGTTGCTGAAATTTTCCTCCATTTTGAACGACTTCTATCTGTTGCGGACAAGCCGACTCTGATGAGATGCCGGAGCTACGAACTGCATGACCCATCGCAAACGTGATTCTTTCGTACCGCAGCGCGAGGTTGCTGGCGTTCTTCTGGCGGCTGTCAAGATGCCCCCGGTCGTTCTCCAGCAGCTTTTCCTTCACGTAATCCACCAGCGCTTCCTCGTTTCGGGGGGGTAATGCACGCAGGTAACCCACCCACCAGCACGACCCCCCGGGCTCGCGTCGACACGCCTCGGTGCTCTCGACCACCTGGTGCAAACAAAGAAGCGCTGTCAGAGTCGTCATCTGTTGCTTATCAAGAGCGCTGTCAGACGAATAGATGGACTGAAGGAGTGCTGAAATAAGTTGCAGAAAGGGTCACTTTAAGGGCCCTATTTCTTGGAAAGTGCTCTCATAGCTTCGATCGGTTTCGGGCAAGCCAACAGAAACGTCCTTGCAATCTGTTCGACGGAGATCTGTACGTCTGACGACAAACAATCTTTACTTGTCAAAAAGTCAGGGTTAGCCAACAATTCTTGACGCCGGTTGTTAGTCTGCGTTTCGGTCTGTTATCGACTCTTGAGAACATCGGAAATGCTCAGGCTGGGGAAGAACCAGGGTCGATTTTAAGGCACGCTTAGAAGTTTTATCAGCATGCAGAAGGTTTGCGCTGTGACTGGATGCCTTGAGAAACAATGTCTCAGTCACCCACCTCCGTATGCACTTTCTGGTACTCTTTGTCCGCCGCCGCCAGCTTCGCCTGAAAAGCTGCCACGTATCGCCCGCGTATCTCCTCTGCCTCGTCCAATAGCTTATCGTCCCGCAGCGTCCTCGGCACGTCGGGGGGCAGCTTTACCTCCTGACAACCACCCCCCCCTTCCACCACAATCTCGTCTTGGTCCACCGAACTGATCCGTCGCTTCTTCCGCTCTGTTCCGTTGCTTTCCGTTTCCGTTCCGTCCTCTATCTTCCGCTTCCCCTTCCGGTCCTCCTCACCACTTGGCCCTACTAGCTCCTTTCTCCTCGCCCCTTCCGTTTTCTCCTGATCGGACCCCTCGTTTCCAGTGTTCTCTCCCCCCAGAAGGGCAACCGAAAACGGGTTAGGCCGGTAACCAAGCGCCTGCGCCAGGTTATGCAGTGTGTGCAGCTTCTGCAGTGGGTCAGTCCTGATCCCGTCCTTAACCTCGTTTTCCTCAACAACGCCGAGGGCCTCTCGATACGCTTTGATTGCTGCCGGACGGTCGCCCTCGATCAGGGCCAAGCCTCCGAGCCCGTTCAGGGAGGACACCTGAAAGAAGAAGTGACGACCGTTTCTAGTGCTTTATCGATGAAGCGGGAACATGGCTCGATAGTCGTTTGATTGGCACTTCTGATGGTCTCAGCATCTCGCAACGCGTCCAAATGAAAGCAATCGGCATGAAATCATCCGATGGTCTTCCAAGAAACCCAGCCCTTGGTCCAGCCCTTGGCTTCCCAATCGACGCAGCGGACTCGATGCAACGCGGCTACCAAGCACTGCGCTGAAAGTTTTGAGAGTATAATCAGAGCCCAGAGGCTAATGCGTCATACTCCAAGGCGCTTCGGCCAATCCACCATAAGGCGCTGCCTTCCTTCCGTGCCTCACTTAACTTCTGACTCTTTCCCCTTTCCTTCATGCTGTTCAGTCCTCCAATACTTCCAACGCTGTGAACCAGCTCTCTCCCCGAGAATGAGATTGCAAGGACTCTTGAGTGTGAAACCTGAAGGGATCAAAGAATCCCTACACCCCCGAACCTCTAGCCCCCTGCAGTTATCGCAAACCCACCATGAGGCGCTGCGCTTCTTCGGCCTCGACGCGCGCCTTCTCCACGAGCACCCCCAGGATCTCCTCCATCGTCATCGGGCTGCGCTGCTGCGTCAGCGACCGGATGCCGGAACTCCCGACCTGGGCACGTGGCGTCACATGTGATTGCGCAGAAGAAATGATAACGCCTTGAACGAGACACCGTTTGTCAGGGTGAGGTCGCCAATTCGAAGTTACTTAGTGCAGAACAGCTGCTTCAAGCAACCTGCCAGTTCAAGCGTCGGTCCAGTACTGACTGCATCTAGTCGAGGTCAGATGAGACGAAAGTCGGCAAAACGCTTAAGAGGAGCTTTTTGGATCTGGCCAAGTTTGTGGCTGCCCTTCAGAGGACCTGCATGCGTAGACACAAATCCATACCGCCGAAAGAGAGTGCTAGGTCACTGCGTGTGACCTTTGCTCTCCGCCTGGTGCAGCAAACCGTTCTACTGGTCATACACAGGTCTTTTCGCAAATCAATGGCGAGGTATGCTTCTTCACAATCGGACGTCAGAGCAGACAACCGGAGACAATCGTGCAGGGAACGGCTGTTTCCCAGGCAGGCCCGCCGGCCCACATGCTGACGAGTTCCAAAGTGCTTACGTCACCAGACTCAGTGGTTACGTCACCAGAGTGACGCCACCCCTCGGTGCGCCTCACCTGCGGGTGGCAACACGCTTGGCGCAGCCGCAGCAGCGGGACCATCAGCTTGGCCGCCTCGGCGTGCGTCAGCGTTTCGTCAGCAAGATCCTCGAAAGGCGACTCTTCTCTTGCGATTTGGACGCCCTTGTGATCGGTAGATCCATCGGACGGCCCAGGATTGCCGCTGGCAGCATCGGACGGCCCCGAAACGGGTCCGGCGGGATCGGATGGTCCAGAATGAGGGGCCGTTTTCTTGTGAGGATTTTGACGAGACCGTGGCAGGGCAGCCCGCCGGTGCTTGCGGATGACGTCACGGGCCTGAGCGGCGACGACATCGTGCTGACGCCTGCAAGCCGAAGCGTCGAAGTTGGGGGGGACTGTTGTCGTGAACGAAAAGTTCTGGCCAATGTCGTCATCTGCTCTGGACTGGGGCCTTTCAGCGCCGTGAAGCAGACAACAGGAAGGAAACATAATTGAACTGAGGCGCCAGAAGTTCCACAAACATTTCCACGATCTGTCGCCATTTGGTTGCATGGTTGGCGCTAGCGGGTCCCGACGTCAGCAAAACGCCGGTCCGGTTGTTGCGCCGCGCTGTGCTTTCTACCATTGTGCTGATCGCCACATCACCTTTCTCGAGGCGGCTCGAAAAAGAAGAGTCATAAAGTAATTTCTCAACGTCTGAAGGTGAGCCGCACTTTCCACTGCAGGTGTGCAACTGAGAAGCACGGTTATCCACCCCCGTCGTTCGGGTCAGCTTAAAAGAGACTTTGAACAAAGGAGAGCGTGAGCTGATGTGACTGGGCTTCAATCGCTCTTGCAAAACCGAGCCTCGACGGCAGCGCAGCCAATCAATGCGCTCTTGGTGCCTCAGGCCATGTCCCTCAACCAAACGGACAGCTGAGACAATATGAGATATTTTAAAATGACCGGACGTTAACTTTGTACAAATGACAGTGTTCCCACCTGTAGAAGTGGGCCTCGACGGCGGAGAAGCGCAGGCGGTCGATGCGCTCCTGCTGCGGCGGCAGCCCGATCTCGTCCTGAACGTCGGCCTTTGAGTTGCGCCACATCAGCGCCCGTAGGAATACGTGGGCCCTCCGTTTGGCCGCCACGTGGCCAGCCTGGAGGAAGAAGAAAGGTATTGTCAGTGCTATAATCTACAAAGTCGAGGTAGCTCTGTCCTGTTTATGACGCATCACGAGCTCTTCGAGTATGTTGCGCGAGACTGATGAAGCAACCTGTTACTTTTCAAGGACCTGGAACCTGATCAAAGCACAGCTTAACCTCAAATCAACGAGCATGTTAAGTCAGTCGCACGTCCGGGTTGTTCTGGAAGCATTCTGTACACTTTTTGAAGCAACCTTGCTGGTCATTAACGTGAGCACTCTATCATATGGGTGCTGGCATCTGCAAAACTGAGCAATCCCAACGAAACTCGAGGATTCTGACAAGTTTGATTGTTGAGTTGGGTATATAAAGGATCTGACCAATAGACTTGACCGATAAGGTAGCTTCGAATGCCACTTTTAAGAGTCTACGGAACCTTCGTCAGGACAGGGAAGTCTTGGGGGCAAAGTGAACTAGGAGGCAACCATTACTTGCACAGGACGAGAAAGCTGGAGACAAAGATGAGCGCACCTCGTAGGGGCCCTGGAATGCCCGGTTCCACCAGAACCGCGAGTCGAACGGGTCCGCTCGCAGGAACTTGAGCAGTCCGTAGAGGTCCTCCAAGCCGCGCTGGATGGGGGTGCCGCTGATGCACCTGAACACGGATGCAAAAGATCTGGGAACTTCGGGGATTCCTTCTGCTCAAACGATCCTGACGGCGGCAGGATCAGTGCCTTGCCACAGTCCGACGAGGCTTAGCGTGAGCGCAAGGTTTTGAAGCTTTTCCAGAATTCAAAATCTAAGGACATCAAAGCTCACGATTAAGCCACCCTCAGACAGTGAATCTCTGTACCGGTTCCTTCCTCGAGCGCCATCGCCTGCTTAAGTACTAGATCCTTCATCGTGTTATCATACTCCCCGGCCGGCAGAAAAAAGCGCCCGCCAGCCTGCTTTCCATCCATATACAAACACTTGATTTGCATGCCCAAGATGATACTAGACACAAAAACAGGCACAATTATATACCCACCACCGGTTGACGGCCCGCAGCTTGAGCGCCATCTCCGTCGCCTTTGCTGTGCTGCTCTCGACCATTTGCGCCTCGTCCAGGCACACGCGCCACCACGTCAGCCGCGTCAGAGGGGTGGGCACCACTTGGTACCGCTTCTTGGACCGCAGGGCCCGTCCGCCTACACGAAACCGACACGTGTTATAAGCTGGTAAAGAGTGGTTTCAAGCGTCGACTCTTACAGCCAAGGCGGTTCCTTGCCGTAGTATGTCAGGAGGGCAGAATTACATTGGTCAATGGCCTGCATTCTAATTGAAGATGTTTGGGGTGAGGTTGACTGGATGGAGTAGACGGCTGGCAGCAGATCGAAAAGAAGCCGTTTGTGAAACCGAAAGTGACCGCTCATAGAACACGGGCTCTGCGAGGAGAATGGTACCATCGAACGTATACGTATACTCAATGCTTTTGCAGACCATGCCACGAGGATTTTGGAGGTACCAAAATTCGAAAGTCCTGACATCCTTTCGGTCGTTTGGAAGCTGCCTGCCTCCTAATTGCGTCAGAAATCGAAACGAGCACGCGTCTCGACGTAACACGGTGGCTCAAAAGGATTCGGGATTGTTTGAAGGCGTTTTTAGAAGACAGCCATGCGTACCCTTCGCGAATCTCAGAGAGAAAGCCTGGCCAAAGAAACTCTCTGAAAGAAAATGGGGGTCTAGGTAACCACGCCCTCAAAGCGTTACCGAGCTCTCTATCAAGGCGAGTACATCCAATCTCGTGTCCAAGCTTTTAAAAATGATCACAGAAGCATCATAGCAGTACATTGCTCACCTGCCTCGCCCCACCCTGCCGGCTCGTGCGCCAAGTCCGCCCTCAGCGCATCGTACGTCGTCAGCACGACGTCAGCCCTGGCGAGGTCGTGAGCGCCCACCACGGCCGACGCCGCGCCGCCTGCTGACGTCAAGTCCGCGTCAGCATCGGTCTTCGAGGGGTTTGCGGCCCGTTGGACCCCTTCGTAAACGACGACTTTGACAGCGCCGGGGCGGGTGTGCCTGCAGAACACCCGAGCGGTAAATGACTGATAAGTTATCAGCAGGTCTAACAGATTGCATATGGAGCGAAGTTGAAAATTGGACTTGATATGGACGGGAGAAAGTCTAGATATCCTGCCCTAGCAACGGTCGAATACGTCAATCCGTTTCACCCAATGCCCAACTCACAAGAACCGGACTGGTTCTTGATCCAAGCGGTTGTGCTTGTGGACCACTCTAGCTTGGAGACACAGGCTGTCGTGATTCAGAACAACACGTACTTGAAAACGTAAGTGCATAAGAGCTGTCCTAAAGAACGCGCCCACTCAACATCTGATACCCTGCAGTCTTCATCTGGAGACGACTCCCAGAAGTTCAGGTTTTCCAAAAGCCACCCTTCAGTGTTTGACAACACGTAAAGAAAGCAATGAGCTCAGCTTTGGCTGTGCTCACTTGGCAATCTCCTCCCGCCACTGCTGCAGGATCGCGGTCGGGCACACGATCAGCGTGGCCCCAACCTCTCCCTCCACTCGCACTCCCCCCAGGAGCGCCGAACACTCCCCGCACGTAAACGGCACATACGAGTCTTCCTTGACTGTCCCCAAGCTCGTTCCCTCGCTCTCCGCTGTCCGTTTCCGCTTCAGAGTCCGCCGGCTTCCGTCCTGTCCGCCGTCGGTTGGCTCGTTTCCGCTGACGGCGGGTGCTGACGTCGGATGACTTGGCTCGTCCGCAGATCCCCCGGCTTGCTCCATAGCGTTTGCCGCTTGCCCAATAGCCTTTGCCTCCTGACCCATTGCGCCTGCTCCTTGCCGCGTCACCTCTCCTTCCTTTTTCAAAACCTCGCCATCCGTGCCCATAACATCACCGCCATTTGCCATCTCCTCTCCCTCCATCCTCTTCCGCGCTCCCTCTTTCCCCTCTGCTCCAATTCTTCTCTCCTCGCCATTCCTCGCTTCATCCTTCCTCTCTCTTCCGGAATTCACCACATTCCGGCTCGGTTCTACGCCTAACCCGCCCCCAACCTTCCCCAAACCCGCCTCCGCCCCTAACCCGCCCTTAACCCTAACCCGCCTCCGCTTCTTGGGTACATAACCCACGCAGACAGCGTGCTGCCAAGCGAGGCACTTATCGCACTGAACCCAACTGCCCCCGTATGACTCGTCGTCGCTAGTTTCCCCGCAGGAACACTCAATGCGCTCTTTTCGTCTCCGGGCGATGTGCGCGGCAGCATCAGCGGAGGCCCTGTCGGCGGCCGCGCCGCTTCCTGGCCAGGGGTGCGCGAGGATGCACGCAAGGAGCTCGACGGTCTTGCCGAGGCCCATCTCGTCTGCAAGGGGGTGGAAACGCTCAATGCCATTCGGTCCAAAATCTCATCGCTCGAAAGACATTGAAATATAAAGCATGATCTCGACGAGATGGTACAGGTTTACGCAAGAGGGCCCAAAAGACAGGAGAACAACCTTGAATCTCTGATGTGAGAGCCTTTGCCTTCGAAAAAGCCAGAACGTGACCCTGTCACTCCGTTGAGATCTCGACTTCGAGCATGCAACGGAAAGCTGACTCGAATTAGCACGGAGCAATTGATCCATACTTCCCGTTCTTTCCGCATTCTTTCCGGCTCCACAAAGGAAGAAGTGCAGACCCTTCCTTTTAAAGATATAAAGGACGTCAGCAGAGCCACCCACCGGCCAGAATACCGCCTCGCACGTGGCCCCCCGCTGAAAACCCCGTCCTCGAGAGCCGCCCCGTGAACGGGTTATACCAAAAAGACTCCCCGCCTTCCAACGCCTCTGCTTGCAGCCACAGCGGGTGGACCGATTCCAAACCGGGAGCCCCCGGAGTTGAAGTAGAATCGAGTCCACCGTAGCTGCGGTGTACTGATTCTGAAGTGGAAGGGCTATCGGGGGAAGTAGAATTGGGTCCTCGCTCGCAGGCAACCATCCAGGCGGCGGCGCGGCGCTGGTACGGGCGGAGGGTGGGGAGGAGGGCGGGGAAGTGGCCGCTCAACATGGGCGCATCCCTGCGGAAAGTTGGTACTCATGAAATTCTGTGCATTCAAAGGATGTCCTTTCCCTTTCTTGAGAGGCAACTGTATTGAGACGCGGAAAGCTTGGTGGTTTTGAAGAAGGAAAAGCATAAGGCATCATTCATGGTAACGTCTCATGGCTTCGAACACCCCTCCAAAGGCCGCTAGGGCCACACGTTTTTGGCAGACAAGAAGGTTGAGTCGATGGTCCGAAACAGAGTCCTCTGGTTCATTTACTTCTTGATTAGAGATCCAGTTCAAAAGGTACATGCTCGGCGATTGGAAACATGGCAGTTCTGGGCTAGATGCTAGACTGTGACACAACTCTCATGAATCTGACTCCTTGAAAGCGACTGTTCATGGGCCTTCAATCTTCGAACCTTTCTCCAGGTTTTTACAACGAGTGGGAGAGTGTTGCATAAACACAAGACAATCAGGTATGACGAACGACAAGAGAGGTTCTCACCTGCAGGTTCTTACAGCCGCGTACAGCTCCTTCGCATCGAACCCCCCGTGATGACCATGCTCGTCTCCTCCCCCATGATCCAGCCCCAGATCCAACCCCCCGTCTTCGTCTAGTTTCCGCTTCCCTTTCCTGTCACTAACCTCCGCCCCTTCCTCTTCCCCCTTGTTCAGTTGCTCTCCCTTCTGCGGGGTCTCGCTTCCCAAGCTCTTTTCTTCCAGGCGCCAAACCCCCTCGAACCCCGTTGACTCAACCCTGTGATCCAGGTCTGGGCGCACCCACTGGAAGAGACACTGCATCGCAGCGTATGCTGGTCTTCGCTGTTCATCTGAGGGCCCAGACGGAGCGTCCGCAAACGCAGCGGGGTTGAGCCACACGCGTACTCTTGGCAGACTGGCTAAGGGGGGCTGGGCTTCTGTTTCCCTCTGAGAAAGAGGATTGAAACCAGGGCTTCCGCTCTTAGAGGCTTGGTTATGGGACGGGGTTTGGGCCCTCTGCGGTGTTCCAGGGGTACTCGGTAAGACGGGACTTCGGCCTGCCTGGCTGGATGGAGAGAAGTCCTTTCGAGGCTCTTGGGTTGTTAGATCTTGGGCGCTTCCGTTTCGAAGGGTTGAGGATTCTACTGCCTGTAAGGTGACCAAGCCCCCCCTGACAAGATCCACCAGCGCCGAAACCCCTGATGACGGCCCATCAAACACGCCCAAAACCCCCAAACTGTCGGTTTCTGCTGCTTCAGAGATATGGTTCTTACCTCCAGCTGCTATGTTTGCTGGCTCAGTTCTGGGGGTCTGTGGCTGGACGGCACTTTCGATGGACACCTGGCAGACCACTTCCTGGGGATTGTATGGCTGCCGCAGGGTGTTCCGCAGAACTGGAACACGCAGGCTGACCGCTGAAGGTCCTTCCGAAAAATCAAACTTCAGTGCAGCGGGGTTTGCCCCTTCCCAAAAATCTGATTCTAGACTCTGAAGGGACAGCTCGGCGAATGGCACACAGGCAGACTCCAGGGCCGCAGATTGGATCTCAACCCATTCTTTGAAGGGTGGGAGTTTGAGCGATTGAGGGGCTGTGGGGCGTTTGCTGCAAGCAATTGGTGTGGCCACTTGTTGCGGGGTATCTGCTGCCCCCTCTGCACCGGTTCTCTGCGGGTTTGTCTGCTTCCGACGAGCCATGACACAGCTTTCCGAGCAGCTTAGGCTTCTGCCCAGTTTACACAATCAGTTGACTTGCTTATCCCCTTGGCCTGAGCTGTGGCTCTTGTCCGTCTCACAAGCTACTTAAACTTTCTTCACTGAGGTTTCCAGATAGAGACGCGCTCAGTTGTCAACCAGCTACAGGGGACTGCATACACAGGATTGCAGGGATAAGGACAGTGAGCAGCTAGAGTTTGACCTACAGTAGGCCGTCTTTCGAATTACCCATGTAAGGCAGGAAGTGCAAACACGAGAGGCTTGTTTAGGTCCAACAGGAAAGTAAGAGCCGCAGACAAACCCCACGTTCTTCCTCATTCAGAAAACTTTCACAGCATTGAGATCAATTGAACGCCAGATGACCAGGTACTTTTGGACCAGAGCATCAGCTTGCCAGAACAAAATAGCGATTTGCAACCTGTGAAGACCTGGATGTACTAACAACCGACTGGCAGTAGGCCACCTGGCAGCGCCTGGCTACCGTAAATTGCTGCCCGCACAGACCGAGACTTGGAGATGGTGGCAAATTGGTGCTGCCTGAGCTCAGTTGTGCATGGCTTTACAGAAGCATGGCGTCACGAGTCCTTGCTTTGTTTCTTACAGCGGCTGCTGCTGCCCCTGACAAGAGGTTTGCTGTTCGGCGGTGGTTGCTTCTGCAGAGACTGGAGAGGATCCTTTCGACACTTGTTTTAAAGGTCAGTTTTGACACGTACACCATCTGTGCTGCCTTTTTCTTATTCACTGATGTACTTGCAGGTTGAATTTCACCAAGTTGTCATCCTGGTACCTGCAATGGGCCTGCTACGGGTCAGGTTTGCTGCCTGCTTAAGCTCAATAAAGCTTGGTGACAAAGCACGTCAACATGAAAGAAAACATGATTCATTCAAAATGGAGAAATCCGTTCCCCCTCGCAGATCAGGTTTGTCAATCATGATCTTTGATCCTGGAGCTCATAAGAAACTGCAGCACTTTTTCTGCTCGCTGATGAATCCCCCCGATTTTCCCCTCCATAGGACCCCCAGACCAAGAAGGAGGCCAAGACCTGGCTAGTCACCAGCATTGCCAAGCTGAATCCTCCAGCCCCCTCTGAAATAGCAGCATTCCTCTCATTTCTCCCAAAGCCCAGCCGCCGCGGCAGCTCGCACAGCAGAATTACGGATGCCCCCGAGGCCTTTGTGCTCCACCAGCTGGCGCTCCTGCTATGCGAAAACCGCATTACGGCGCCCAGGCTGGCAAGGCTGCTGTCAAGGGACGTCGATATGAAAAAGCGGTTTTTTTCAAGGGATGATCGGCGCATCGAGGCATGGTTTAGCCACTTTGCAGCCGCCGTGGTGAGACCGCTCGTTATATGGTTTTGAGGCTCAATTTGAGTGGCGTTTGGATTGGCTTGATGTCCTGATGCCCAAGGTTTGATGTTTGAATCATGAAAAGCCTTGACACGAAACGCGTTTGATTACTATTTGACCGCGTCCTCATCTCTTATAAGAGCCATTTAGAGCCCGAACACCGAGTCTGATGATAGCACTTCGTGGAACGGTTGAGATGCATGCATGTCCTGGGTTGTTCAGAGTAGAACTAAATGCTGTGGATACTGATGCCGTAAGCCTCCTCTCGGCAGGACGGAGAACATTCTTTTGGTTCAAAAGCGCTCGCACGCTATTCTCTCCGCTACCGCGACGAGTGCTGGGAGGAACTAGAGTGGGCGGGAAGTCACCCGCAGGCCCCGGGGATGGTTGCCACAAAGCCGCACTACTTCTCTGAGTTGGACGTGGTGAGTATGGAGTTTGTTGTGCATTCCAAGCTTTCCGGTTTCAGGGATTTCCCAAGAGACTACAGCAGTGGAGAACCCACCCGCAGGCCCCTGGAGGGTTGCCACAAAGTGCAACTTTTTGTGGAGCAGGGCGAAAACATAGAAGAGGCCCTGTTTGAGGGCTCTGAATGTTGAGAATCTCAGGGCGTCGAAACTTGGGGGGAAAGTCTGAGGAACACGGTAATCATTGGGCTCTTTTTACTACGACAGTACTAAGTTTTGGGGTACTCATTTATCCAAGGGGAGCACGCTATTGGGCTGGGGAGAAGGCTCTAGTGGTCACCTGAAATGTACCGTTTTTGATGTGTATTGAGCTTGCAAGAGCACGTAAATCGCATGGAAGGGGGTCTTTTCGGTCCTGTGCAAAAAGGGTGAGCTGGTGAAGATTGGCGAGCAGTGGGCCAGCAGAAAGCTGCTTATGATCAGGGAGCAAAATTGGTCCTTCGTGAACAAACGTATTCCCAATTTAGACATGCACGTATACAGCTTGCTGCCTCGTGCGGAGCGCTGTTAGAGGTGCCGAGTCCGAGGGGCTTTGCGTCCCCAATGTTCATACCTTCTTCAAAAGGTGCACTATCTTATCTCGACTCCTTTTTTTATTCATCATGCAAAAGAACGAATCGGGTGCCAAGAGGTAGAAAGACGGAAAGGAGAAACGGACAATGTTCTTTGACTATTATGCTTATGATAGGATCTCCTGCCTTCTCGCAGGTGCGTACCGTCCGCAACTTTCTGAAGCATGTGCCCGACTTTTGGACCTCCGACGACTGGCGGGACTGCGTTTCTTGCGGCGAGTTTTTGGCGCTCGATCCCGACTTCTTCGCTAAAACGGCGATTGACTTTCTGGTTGCAAAATCTAGAAAGGGGTCCCCGGACGACGAGGTTCGAGAGGAGGAGTACGTGCGGGGAAAGCTGTTGGAGATACTTGAGGACTTTCTTCGGGAGGTATGTTTAGATTGGAGCAGTTCAGAGCAAAGCTGACTTATCTTAATTCAACCGATTCCACTGTCATGCGAGCAAGTCAAAAGCGGAGGTCGCTTAACCAAATAGAATGTGCAACACCTTTGTGATTCTCAGAAGCCGAGAAACCGTGCCGCAACCATGCCTGTCTGTTTCAGTCAGAATGCAGAACTTGGACGTACTCTCTCTTGTCTTTAATCCAGGAGTTGTCCACTATCGCTCCAATTGCCCCCCTTGCAGGAGTCATTCCCCACCTTGTGCCAGCGGCTCCTCCATCTGGCCTCCCCCGAAGGCCTTCTTTCCTTTCTGGAACGTCTCCAAGAGAGTGCCCCCATCAATCGGTCACGTGACCCGCAACTGGCGGCCGTTACTGACGTCAAGTGGCGCAGCCTGGACGATGCGCTGCTGTGCAACGCGTGCGCAGCGAATGGCAGGCAGGTCCGTCGATCCCTCTCCCCAACATCTGACTCAACTATAGCCCGCCCACAGGAGTCAACGCTTCACTGTCAGCATCTGCCGTTGAAACTCCCTGCAAAAAGCAAGAAGTTCTGACAGATTTGACGCTCCTAGGGTTATCTATAAGAGATGCGGGCCGATTGCAGACTGTTCCCGGTTTTCCACGTTCTGTCCTTGTCGTGGAATATGGAATATGAATGAAGCACCTCAAATCAACTGCAGCTACCTGCACATCGTATGAGGAGTCGCAGGAGTCGCAACTTCAGAAGCTGTTTCAGGAATGTTTTTCTTAATTAGCTGTTTGCACCATATGATTTCTGTTTTGTGGTGCGACTCTTTGAGTCCTGCTCATATGACGTCAGCCTTCCTTCCGCGACGTCATTCTTTGCCAAAATCCGTACAGGTCGTGCGCCTCCTGACAGACGACGAGTTTTTGGAGCAACGGACGGACCTCGATGCGCTCGTTTCGGAAGCCAGTACGTCAGGCGAGGAGGCGGAGTTCCGGTCGTTTCGCTCGGAGCTGCGGAACCGCTCAAGGGCAACGGAACGGAAGTGGCTGATCCTGGAGTCTTGGCTGCTGCGCTGGCGACTGTCCCAAGTCTCCGAGCCAGAGGCGATGCAGGTGGGCCGAGGTTTAGGTCCATACCGGTTCCGGTTCCGGTTCCGGTTCCGGTTCTGAATAATGCTTGAATGTTTCAGTCCTCCTGGCACATTGGTTCATGTTCCGTTTGGTCAGTTCGGCGGACTTTCTTTCAGAACCTTCTGGTAGCATGCAAACATCCCGTGGTTGTGGTCTCCTTTAATTCTGGCTTGTCAATTGGAGTAAATGAGGCCGTACCAAAGTTGATACTTTTTGGTAATTTTTCTCACAATGAAACTGGCCTGTCGATACATTCACCTATTACGCACCGATCGTAGCCTTTCCTCCTCTTCATTTCCGCTACTCCCTTCGTTTCTCTTCGGTTCCCTTAATTCTTGCATGTGGTCTCCTGATGTCAGCTGTTTCTGAAGTTACACAAAGACAATGAACGCACTACGAAAGGGAAAGCTGTGAAGCGTGTACCCGTGTCAGAACTTTAACGTCCGAGCTTTCCTTTCTTTCTCGCAGAGGATCCTTGAAGACAACGGGGTAGCTTTTAGAACGTTCGTGGACGTGAATCGGGAGCTTTTGCCCGAAAGCAGCGGCGAGGAAGCAACGCGGAGTAACGAGCGCAAACGGACACGGCGGGGCCGGAAGCGGCGGAAACGGAAAAGCGGAACCCATTCGTCCGACAGCGACTCGTCTGAGAAGAGCGAACGAAACTCTCACAGTGAATCTGACGTCGAAACGCGCCATAGAAAAGAAAGGCGCCCAAAAAGCGCTGAGGGAGGTGGTGAGATCGAACGGAAAGGCCGGGGAAGCACCGATGGAGCAGATGGCGGAACGGATGGAACGGACGGAACGAGGACGCTGGCGGGCGCTGACGGGGTGTATCTTCAGACGGACGGATTTTCGTTCCGCTGGAGTTTGGTAAGTATTCAGAGACTTTTCTGTGGCGATGATCTTCTAAAAGGTGTGGGCAACTTTTCTCTATTGAAGCGTCGACGCTGGAGTCTGGGAGTTCTCCGATTTAGTATTGACGCTACGAAGGTCCAAAGCTTTGCCCGCATTGGCGTGTGCCGACAGAATAAGTTTGCGTTCTACCGCTTTCTCATGAAGGACACCAGCAAGTCCCACCAGCTGCTAAAGCTTTTAGACACTCTTGAAGCTCAGAGGCGGTTTTAGTTGCGCTGGCCGCCGAATCAGTTTCCTGGCCTGGCGCAAGTTGAAGAGGAGCTTTGCCGAAGCTCGTAATAGTCGACGGGTTAAGCTTAAGGCTTTTTCCCCCGCTTCCGTGGTCTTGGGGTTCCGTCTATGCTTGCTCTTCGGCTTAAGCTTTGACGTTAGCCGCTAGCGCCGTGTCCTCTGGTCATTAACCTTGTCGTTGTACACCGCTCCATACCGGTCATACGCTCGGACTTTCTGAGAGTGTCCATCAGGCGCGTCGGTTGCCAGAGGTTTAACCAAACCCTGAAGTTTTTTCTTGGCACCGTGCAGTCGGAGCTTCCCGACCATCTGGCGGAGCACAGTCTGGCGGTCTGGTTGGGCTGGAAAGACTGGGAAGTAACGCCGGCGGCGAACCCGGGGCCGCCACGTGGAAGCTGAGGAGAGACGCGGCGCTTAGATGCACACTTTGGTGGGCGTTGTAACACTTATTTGAGCGGATCCGCAGACCCAACGTAATCGGACCTTAGTCGATCTCAATATTAGAATCCTCGAGCTTCTTATGCCGGCATCTCTGGGTGGGAACTAGCGGGTGGGAACTAGCACGTTCGGGCTTTAGGCTTCCCTGTGACATTCATTTCATGCTCGAAGTATGCACGAGTGATCATGCCATATGCTCGTGGTAACAACATCTGTCGGTCTTTTCTCGCACATTATGTCAATTGCGCCCCTGCCCGAACGTTCCATTGCCCACAATCTGACAAAATCAGGTGTTGGACAAGGTCTTGTGTGCATCATGTCTTGTTTCGTCCTCTTCATGTTTCTTGCGTGTCAGCCATGCGTCCGACCATGGATTTGAAACTGCAGGCTTGATCCCTTGGCCCATTTGTGCTGGCGCACGTGTCTGCATGATGGGGCGCCGCCCCGGGCGATGCCGCGCGCCAACGTACCGGCGGGCCAGGTTCAGGTTCTTGCCGCCATCTTATGTACGGTGAGTCACGTTGACGTGCTACATATGCGCAGACGGCACGTATAGACATGAGGCCGGTGCAAATTGATCGATCAGTGGATCAGAACACGGGTGTGCAGTAGACATGAATTACCTCCAAGTTCTGTACGATGGGCTCGCGAGCTCGCCGGCTAACAAAGATTGCCGCCATAACTTAATGAACCATGTCAGCGGTCGATGCAAGCTTCGCATGGCGAATGGTATTCAATGATCGGACCTAGCTGCAGATCATGCTCGACACACTCGCATGCTCATGCCCGATTTCGTTGCATGTCGAGGATTTCAAGGTAAATGTACCGTCCAGATCCAGTCAAAGCCAAAGGAGGAACGGCATGCCCTAGCATAAGTATAAAGTCTAGCGTCCATCCAGCTCATTAATTTCACCTGGCAGTTAGGCTAACGAAGCTACCGAGAGATCTCATGCATGTGCTTAAAATATAGTATGGCGTATATGTGCAATCACAACGATCGTCACCGGATCAATCAATTGAGGACGGTGACAACGGAGATTTGAGAGAGGCCGAGATGAGGCGCATGTCAAATCTTTGCCCTTGCGTGAAGTCCGCCATCCCTGGCAATCTATTTTTACAGACTACGCTCCCACCCGTTGCGTGCAGCGGCATGTCCTCGGCTTCAGCCATTCCCACCAGCAGAAGCAAGCTCGTATCTACCTTCCTAAACTAGTCTGTTTCTAAGCGAGCTGAGATGTCCCTGAAGGCGTTTGATACCCTAACGCTCTGAACCCAAAAGTTTCGAACCCATAACCTATAATCTCAACCGCTACAACCCTAACTCTAGATACCAACATACACTTAGCTACACAGCGCCAGACGGAAGAGCAACCTTGACTTCGGGCTCGTGCGCGCGCGCGCGCGTCGGGCGCGCCGTGCGTGACGGCTGGTTCTGGACGCTCTGGCCGACGCCCTGATCCGCTGCCTGGGTCCCGGTCCGCGCGGACGGTCCTTACTTCTGCAAATAAAGGACCTCTAGATTGTCGCCCTCTTTAGTCCAAAATCGCGCGTCCCCACCCTTTCCCGCGACTCCTCTGGCACCTTTTTCAACTCAGTACAAAGTTTCCGTTTCTTGGTCTTACCTTTCAGTGCCTGAAGCCGTGGTGGTCAAAAGACCTTTGCTGAATTCGGCGTCCCGAGGAATGTATCTCTGTGAAAAATTGCTGATAGTAGCAAAACAGCGAGCCGACTTTCTCCCAACAGAACAGTCTAAGCCAAACGGTTTAAAACCGATTGGGAAATACGGACGGCCAGAAGGCGTCTGCACGAGCGTTGACATTGATCACCCGGATATCATGCAAGCAGCCGACGACTGGTTGCAAGCTTGAGGCAAGGGGGTAAGACACCGGAACTGAAGGGTATATATTAATTGCAATAATACAATATTTTTCTGAAAAACGATCCCGCTCCCGTACCTCAGTGTCGTTCACATCTGCCTCGTCTCCTTTCTTGCGCGCGCAGAGGAAGACGAGCTCGTACGCCAGCCCAGCAATGATGCCACCCCCAATAGGACCTGACGGGAAGAGAAACACTGCCCTGTAACACTGAAAACCGAAGGCTTGATGTGCAAAATTCAATCAAAATCCCGAGAATGAGGCCAGGACTGGGTACTAAAACCTTTTCAGTCTACTTTCGTGGAATTTTGTGCTCGGGAAACTGGTCAAAGATATGAAGCGACCTTTGGCTTCACTACATGTAGCATAATACTTCCTCAGGTTCTCTCGAGAAAGAGCAGCTCATTGTTCAAAAACTTCCACCGCTTGGAGCAACCGGCCGCTTACTTGACCGATCAAAGCCCATAGCCTTTGTACGCTTTGCTCGATCATAGGAGACGCCGAAGTTTTGTCAACTGCATTTCTTCTCGCGCTTGCCTCGCAAAGAAGGTTCGCCCGTTTAGAATTCAGCAAGCGATGGGAGACGTGAATCTGCTCACCAATCCAGTAGAGCCAGTGCTGGCCATGCCTCCACCTGAGTGGACAAAGGCGAAGGCAAAAAATTCTGTACGTGGTCAGATTTTGTATCCCATTAGTGCTCAAACGGTGGAATTCAGAGAGTCCTTGGGTTCTTGCACGATCGCTGACTCGCAGGATGTACAAGAAGTCAAAAAAGCGAAGGACAAAGGGAGACGCGGGGGCGACGGCGAAAGGAAGAAAGGAGATCTAGAGCTTTCGCTCAGAAGCATGTCTGTTTGTAGAAAGATTGTGCGGATTGCCAATCGTTGGCAGCCCTCTTTTCAGAGTTTGCTTCGAATGATCCGCTTCGGCGGTCCTCGATAATCCTTCTAGTCAATGCGGTGGTATTTTCAGAGAAAACGCAAACTTATAGGCTTGGCAGCACTGAACATTTCCTCAGTGCGCGGGTTGGTTCAAGAGGTAGGTTTCAAAAGCTTTTCCGCTGCATAGAGAAGAATTTGAAATTGCCCGCGCGCGCTCACTCCCCAAAGACGACGGACGGTCCGAAGCTGAGCACGGGGTCCGTGAAGCTCGTGAAGCGCGCCGCGCAGATCGTGGTCCCGGCCACGATGAAGCCGTCCGGAATGGGCGCCAGCGGAACAGCCTTCTCTTTTTCGGCCATGGTACCGAGTATGACGAAGATCAGGGCGAACGTGACAATTGTCTCCATCAGCCAGCCCTGCAAAATGACACGTGGCAGCTTGCGATCGGCTTGTGAGGATTATTTTCCAATGACGTATCGCCGTTGCTGTGAACCGCCGTGCCAGCCCTGCGAAGTGACACGTGGCAGCTTGAAATCAGCTCGGAGGGAACTTTTCCAGTGAAGCATCGCCCTTTTCTGCGTACCGTCGTTCTAGAGACAGGGGAAACGCGCGAAGGGTGTCGTGGTCTTCGTGAAAAAGCCGTCCTGGAACCATGGGGCAGTACAAGACGAAGTCGACTAAGTCACTTCGAACAAGGAAAGCTGTTAAATGCATAAACGATTGCGGAGGCACGGCGCTGACTTCGAAGGACGGGGATCACTCTGAGCATGAGCTTGTTTTCAATTGAGAATCACTTCGTTTCACTTCAATTCGGTGATTGCGTGATAGCTGACCGCTTCTATGCGCCCGCTCCAAGAATGAAAGAATTCAGAAGAGACTAAGCAAAGGGCAGATAAGAAGAGCACACAATTGTGAATACAGACCAGATTGTCCGTAAGGATCGGGACGCAGAAGAATCTGTTCGAATCAGACACGAACCAAGCCCATTTCAAAGTGCGGTAGAATCCACTTCTGAAGGTCCTAAGCCGCTTCAAACATGCTTTAAAGCGGCGAAGCATAATGTTGCAAGGCTGGCTTTGCACAGACCGGCTTTGCACAGGCTGGTTTGCGGCTCACGTGCGGGCCACAGCAAACAAGTAGCAGAGACATGGGTTCTCTACCATCCTGACACTCACGGTGCTGTGCAAGAAGCGGATAAACGAGAGAGGAATAAAAAGACGTCCAAAGTTCTGTATCAATTGACCTGAGCTCTGGTGACTCCGTGTGCCAATGCGGGGACACCCCCCCGCGCGGGTCCGTGCCCCAGCAGAGAGTTTGGAATGGCGGCTCTTAGGAACGCCGCACCTAGGATAGAGCCCACCAGCTGCATCCAACGCTGACACTCTATATCAGTAAGTATGGAGATATTTTCCATGTAATCCAGTTTATTTACAGTATCAGAAGTCAGTCGCCATCGAATGGCGGAGTCCAATCTTGTGAAACAGCAGCCAAACAGCCTTTTTAATACACGTTCCTCTTTCACGGGGTTTTCCACAAATCTGGTCCAAATTCAAGAGTTGGAGACCTTTAATCGAAGACCTGCAATCGCAGGCCTTGAACAACTTTCGATCGCGTGATGTGAATCGAGGAAAGATTGGCCAGGGGGAATTTCCGAGAGTTGTTTCCAATTGCCTCAAAGTGCCCGGTGATTGTGTACCGGGCAGAGAAGACACCCACTTGAGCGCTGATGTAAGCGGCCGTTCTGAGGAAGCTCATATTCCCGGTGACGAAGAACGCCGCCGAGACAGCCGGGTTGAAGTGCCCCCCCGAAATGTCGGCAAAGGTCGCCACGATAGCGACCAGCGTCAGCCCATACGCGATGCTTTGCGCGACAAAACTCGCGTCGGTTGTGACGGTGCCCCCATTGGTCTCCCGGGGCGTTCCTGCATTCGTCAGAGAAGTACAGTAGTTAACGGTGGTTTGGGACTCTGTTCTTATCCACATCAACACAGAGCGAGGAAATTAACCAGGCCCTGGGTCAAGCAAAACAGTTTCTCACCCGGAAAGTCGAGACTTTTCAAACCCTATAGACCTACTATGCTACAGGCCCCTTCTGAAAGCCTCTATCTAAAGCCTCGGAAGTTCTCAGAAGAACTGCGGCTGCTAGCTCGGTCCTTCATTGTCCGCGAGCGGTGGCCAATTATGGAGATCCTGATCTAGCAGATTGCTAACTTCTTAAAGATTGCAGATGTCTTACAGAGGACGTTGACCGCCTGCAAGGACAATCTGTCTCTCGATTCAGCAGAATGTTTTTCGCCGCCCCTAGACTGCATCTTCAAAGAGCTCGCAAAATTGAACAGAAACGTGACCGTGAAATGAGAATATGCGTGGTCGACCCTGTCCATGTTTCAGCCGCTGATTTCGGAACTGAGGGCCACCTAATTTTGGCAGTTGTGAGACTGACTTTTATCATCAATCGAGAAGAGCTCTCAAACGCCCCCAAAAATCTCTCTGATCAATCGTCTAGCAGATCTACACAGGCGGGAAGTTAAAAGCGTGGCTAACCAATCAGAAAAGGCTCCTACTACTATCGACTCGGGTTAAAATCTGGATCCAGTTGGCACCCAAAGAATTTGGAGGACTTTTGCCGCCTCTTTAGCCTGGCTCAGGTGGTAATCTAGTCAAATGAGATTGGACTAAGCTGTCCTTTCAATTGAAGAATCGCTTGCATGCACCAGGGTAAAATCCCTTCGTTTTCGAAAGTCTTTTGCACGACGTCTCAAATACAATGAGATGGGCACCACTTTTGCCTGCGCACTTGATTTGGAAAGTTTGTCCCGATTCTGGTGGCATCGGAGTTATGTTCCATTGAGCAGTCAAAGTAGCGCCTCAAAGGAAAACCTCGATTATCCCAGATTCTCGGAACCGGCGCTTCATGGAAAGAATGCGGCATAGTGCAATAAGCCTTCAAGCACACTGCGGCAAATAATGAAGAGACATGGGCCACGCGATTACCTGTTGAAATGGTTGAGCCCACCCCAACAAAGACGAACAGCGCCGTACCCAGGAATTCTGCCAGAACCGCTCTAGCAATGTCGCCGGAATGGTTCCAATGCTGCTTGTCTATCTTTCCAAACCTGGGCGTTTTGAGGTGTGCCATGCCGCGTGGAGTCCTTTCGAAGTAGCTAATCTGTCTCCTCTTTCTTCGTGGTGAACATAAACCAAAAGACGATATCGTTCTTTCCAGACGAAGCTCCATCAGTGTCAAAATGTAAACCCTTCGAGATTTGGTGCACGAGTTTCGCTTGCATGCGCAAGGACGTGCATGTACGGTTCAAATTGTGACAGAGCCACTGAATCCATCATAAGATCTTACAGAGTTGGGTTGTGCGATAAGTCGCGCAAAGGATGACGGACTAATTTGGGTATAATAAGAGCCAGGTATAACAAGCTCCAACTAACACTAAAAACCTAACCCAACAATCTACCCGCTCCGCACCCGTACCCACCCTAACCCCCAAACTAACCCCACCCGTCCCAGGCTGGTGAGCTTATTATACCTGGCCCTTATCATTCCTAAATTAGTCCGAGCTGCGCAAAGGCACTACTGTCGATGACGCGGCGAGTAAAGCATCTCAGCTTGAGGTATTTTGAGACCTGTGGCGCTATTGGGACCGCTCTAGGAGAGAAGGATTCAAGAGCGCGCGTTAGCTGGTCATCTTTCAAGCTAGAAAGAGTGCGTCAAAGCAGGATCCTATGTCCATTCTCAATACTTAAGCGTGTCAAAGGAGCTGTGGGTTAAGTAGGAAAAGAGGTTCACGCGGATGCAAGGAATCCAGCGCATGTGCATGCGCAACATGTCTGCTTGCTTTTTCTGAGCTGCATTCTAAGACGGCAGTCGGTCGTCACACGCACAATCCATTTGCAGAAAGTAAGACCATCAGTAGAGAGCCAACCCCTAGAGATCAGGATTCAAAAGTTTGATGAGACAGCTGAGGTGTCTTAGATCCCTTGATTGATCCGCGCATCGAGGGAAAATGGCAGGCCGTTTGGACATGGAACAGATTGTGCAAAAGCTGAAGTCAGAGCGCGGAGAAGAAATCACGGAAGCCTTGCAGACCTTGATTGCATATGAGTCAGACTCAACCAGGCTCAAGGAAAGAAGAATTTTGCAGGAGCTCACACTCATAGAGAACGGGAGAGTGTACGTGAAGCTGCTGAAGCAGATGTTTTGCTGTCCGCCAGATAAGGACGCAAAGGAAGAGCAGGAAAGATTGGGATTCACTGAGCTTGACGGGGCTCACCTAAGAGGTTCATCCACCCGAGCGCTTCTGCACATGGCTCGATCCAAGGTCGTGGCCGACTTCTTGACAGCACACTCTGGAGCGAAAGAGATGCTGCACAACGTTCTTCTCACAATTCTCGAACAAAAGATCATCTCGAAAATGGATCAGGGGTCAAGCAGTGTCGATCTTCACCTGGTGCTGGACGTCTTCTTGGGCTTGGTTTCTTTCGTGCGGACCAGCAGGGAGTTCAGGAGCATCATTATCTCTCGCGGCGAGATCATTCAGGCCGCTAAGTGGATCTTTAGCCCTGGATTCTCAGCAATGGCAGATCCAGCAGCTGAAGTGTTCTTCCTCAGAGAAACCATAGCTCTCTTTCTGTCGATGGTGTCAAGATACCCGGAAACCCACGACTGGTTGATTGATCAGGGGATAGTAGAACTTGCCTCCCAGATGTACAAGATGCAGGAAAAGACGCCGGGAGAATCCGGGGATAGGATCAAGAGACACATTCCCCTCTTCTTCTCCAACATCATCTGGCAGGAGAATGGCAGAAGAAGGCTCAGAGAAACCGGGGCTTTCAGCAAGCTGTCAGAGATTTCCGCCCTGATTCAGAAGGCACACAGATTCGTTCCTTTGTGGATGCTCTTTGAAAAGGTCCTGCGCGACGGAGAGGATTCGTGGCTAGGAGAGCCAGTCATTCTGAAAATGCTCGGGAAGATGCTGAAAAAGGAAATTGGAGACGCAGCCGTATGCTCTTTCCCAGGATGCGACGCTGTAGAGGACTTCGAACAGCCTTTCAGCAGATGTGCCCGCTGCTGCCGCGCTCCATACTGCAGGCGAGTGCAAAGCAGACTTGTCTATCGATTTTTTAGAGTAGAAAACACGTCCTTGCGCCTCTTCTAGAGCTCGGCCCTCTGATGTTTGGGAGAAACCCAAGGTGACGAACAATGAAAAGCATTGAAGACTTGGAGCAGTACTACTGATACAACAGACTCATGTCTGTTCACTGGATGCTTCGGTATTGCTTGTTTTCTCTGATCCAAGTCAAGTAGATACTCAAGGCAAGAGCCTGACTGCTACTCATTGCTCTCTTGTTTTCTCATGCAGCAAGAAGCATCAGAAAGCTCACTGGCCTACGCACAAGGTGGTATGCCGTCCGCTGGACAGCAGCCTGGTCAAATTCCGCTGGACCTTAGATGACTCCATGAACATCGATTTCATATCCTGTTCTTCGTAGCTCAAAGGTTGCAGCTACACTTCGGTTTCCATACCTTTGCAGATGACCTCCTTGATTTAGTTCGACGGGGGGGAGATTGGAAACATGATCTGTTTGGGGCTTGCTGGAGAATTATTCATCCTTACTTGCTGGATAGAGCGCACTCAAGAATCGTAATCTTTCCTGCAAGCGGCAGAACGGTGATCAACTTGGATCACGTCTAACTTGTCAAAGACATTCCACGAAAGGCGGCAGCTGAATTGGTACAATGATTTTGGCGGAATGATATATAAGTTGGCAGCAGCATGGAGTATTTCTTGCTTGTCCGACCATCTTCTCCGCTTGCAACTGCGTGTAAGTACTGAACAGCGGATCCGTTTTGCGAGCACTTTAGTATCATGCAACCGACCATATGTATGGACACGTAGTAATCAATGTTTTCCTTTGAGCTCGCGTTGATATCTGGCCAGAGGTCGCTGTCAGACCCATGAATGCGTAGCAATCGACCTGCAGATTGCATGCTATCAAACATCCTTCACGTACTATCGATATAACCGCCTCCTGATGCAAGACTGAACATGCGGGATCAAGCTAAGACCTACTGTACTATTGCGATCTTTGAAGAGGGCCCGCCCTACAGTAGTCGTTCAAACTTTCCTTAACTCTGTGTTCATCCAGCAGTCATGTCACCAGATGTTTCGTGGATGAACTCGAAGCTAGCCGCAGAAAGTATGTGCTCATATAGCGTGTGCGCGGTTTCATGCGGTCGCCTCGCGATTGTTTCAAGTAGGAGACACCGGATATATACGCGGGTAAAAGTCGTGACGCCTTTCAAACATGTACGTCTCGTGACAAGATCCGCCACTCCTCAGACCGGAAAAAAAGTCTGTTTATTACCACATACTGAGTTTCCTTTGCGGACCTTGGAGCATCTTATATCCTCGGCGCCGGCACGCTCTAGCTTGTTTACCTTCTCTCAATCTCTTTGCTACCCTAATTCCTCGACTCCTAATCTCTCAGTCTCGGAGCGCCCGTCGCCTTTCTCAAATATTATCACCCATCACCCTCCAAACCTAACACCTTGGAAATTGTCCGGACCAATTGTAGCTACACCGCGGCAGACGAGGCGGGCGGAACAGCAACCTTGACTTCGGGCGCGCGCGCCGCGCGCGCGGTGCGCGACGGCTGGTTCTGGACGCTCTGGTCGACGCTTTGGGTGGCTGCCTGGGTCCCGGTCCGTGCGGACGGTCCGTACTTCTGCGGAAAAAACGGATTCAGATTCCAGCGTCTTTTCTTCTGAATGCTTCCGTTACTGTTTCTTTGTTCAGCACTACTTACATCATCTGCAACGTTTACCGTTCCTGGCCTTGCTTTTGAGTGCTCGAAACCACGGGGTTTTGTTGACCAGTCACTGCCCTTGGCGACGTGAGGATTTCCAGGCCTTTCTTTTCTCACTCTAACAAACAGCAATGTACTAAACAGACTCTTCTCAACAAATTGGTTGAGCAATCTGATTGAGAAGCGGGCTTCGAACCATCGGAGGGCGTCTGCATGAGCTTTGGTAAGTCTTCTAGTGATGCAAGCTGCAGAGGACTGGCTAAAAGCCTGGGAACGAGGAAGAAGAAGCGGAGCGATATGCGAGCATCGAAAAGAACTCGACAGATTAACTTTCAAGATAAGGACTTCGCTCGCGCACCTTAGTAGTGTCTTCTTCCTCGTCGTGTCCTTTCTTGGGGGCGCAGAGGAAGATAAGCTCGTACGTCAGCCCGGCGATGATGCCGCCCCCAATCGGACCTGGAGTAACTAGAAATCTTTCCAACAATTCGAGAAGGGTGTCCCTTCGAGTTATTGGAATCGGGCTCGAAGGCTAGCGTGACTGTGTTTCTCAAGACAGTGCATGGGTATCACACAGGGATAGACCGGTGGACTCACAGGCGCGTCCTCTTTCCTAAGCCGTCCTTTCGCAAATGAGCGTAACATCCAGACCCTTCCCTATCTGCAACAACCGGCCGCTCATATGCGTATTCAAGATTCTACTTTCTTGGAATCCCACGTGCGGAATGGAGATGTCGAATTCCTTACAAATGCAATGCCGTTAGGGGTTGTCTTGCAGAATAAAGACATCAACAAGTTTGCTTGGATTTTTCAGGAGATAACAGGAACGGCGGAACAGTCGCGCTCACCTATCCAATAGAGCCAGTGCTGGCCGTGCCTCCCCCACCTGCACAGGAATAGGTAAACAGAATTCTGCCGGCGGTCGAAGAATTTTCAGTACTTAGATCACATCAGAGTTTAGATTGCTCAAGAAAGGTGACTCGCAGGGCACAATTCCAAGGTTGAAAGCGAAAGGGATAGTTGATAATAAGGGGAGCCGAAACGACGGAAGAAACAAAGAGGATCCCAGAATTTGAGCGCAACCCAAGAAGATTTGAAGAGCAATCTGTTGGCTGCAGAAACGCTGGAGCTTCTCTTTCCGAGGCTTGCGAGAAACCTTGATCTGCTCATATGCGCTCTTCGTTTACGGTTTTCGTTTACAATACGAGGAGTCTCGGGGAGGAGTCCGATTCAGTGGAGAACTTGACACAGAGCTTGATAGGGCGCGTCTGTGATTCCATGAAGCCGCATGTGACCGGAGAAAATTCTGCGTGCGCTCACTCTCCAAAGACGACGGACGGCCCGAAGCTGCGCGCGGGGTTCATTCCGGCGCCGGTGAAGCGCACCGCGCAGATCATGTTTCCGGCCACGATGAAGCCCACCGGAATGGGCGCCAGCGGACTCGCCTTCTCCTTGTCCACCACAGTGCCGAAGATGACGAAGACCAGGGCGAAGGTTATGATTGTCTCCATTAGCCAGCCCTGCAGTGGCATGTGACGGATCGAGGTAAGTTTCCTATAGGTGATCAAGACCAAAGGCGACGGCGAAGGTGATGGGTGGTCTTCGTAAGGCCAGCGTTGTGGGTGAGACATAGCAGCATGAGGTTAGCTTGAGAGGGTTTTGCCTTTGACGACGACTTGCCGTGTTTGTTCTTCGCCGTTCAAGTCAGAAGAAAACCAAATCTGCAAACGCATTGATGCTTCTAGTTGCAACACGTGGCAATCTGAGGATTGAGTCTTCTGTAGCAATCATAAGTGCTGCCGCATAGAATGGAAGGTCGTATACGGAATCGTGGAAGCACAGCGCGGATTTCGAAGCACAGCGCTTTCGGATTCAAAATTCCGGTCCGTGGAACAGCCATGCATTCTCCGAATCGTTTTTCAGACGGCCGCGGAGCCGCGCTAGATGGCCGCTTTAACGATGCGAGGTACCGCCTGACGTAGATCCGCTTTGGCCAATGAAACGAGTTTCGTGGAGAGAAAAGTTGGAGAAGGCTTTCAGCTTCGAGCACGGGGGGTGAAGAACGAATGAAGAGGAGATCGAGCGCAAGGCACGTCCGTTCGTTTCTTATTGACCGACCTGGGCTTGGGTAACTCCGTGGGCCAGTGTCGTGACGCCTCCGCGCGCGGTGCCGTGTCCTAGAAGCGACCCCGGAATGGCCGCTCTCAGAAAGGCGGCACCCAGGATAGAGCCCACCAGCTGCAGAGAGTTGGTTTCTTTCAGCTTACGATTTATGTGACAGATCTTAATGGAACTCTTGACATAAGCAAAGTAAGAGAATGCGCAGAGATTGGCTGAGAGCTTCTCAGCGCTGAGCAGGGGTGAGATCAAAGATGAGCCCACCAGCTGTAATCGAAATTCACCCTGTTCGTAGTACACAGTGGCCCGTCGCATGTGAAAGTCTCAGTCTCGAGGCAGAAACCAGACATGCTAAGAAACACGTCAGTGTGCAACGAACCCAGCATACGCATGCACTTTGACGCTCTTCGATCGTTGTTTCATTCCACGAGGCTATCTAGCTTGCAGTCGAAAGTTGCATCCTGCTCAGTCGTTGGTGACTGATTGCGGCTATGTATAAAGAGAAAATTTTCCCCTTTCGGCTGCCTTAACGTGCCCGACAACCTTGTACCGGGCAGAGAAAACGCTCACCTGGGCAATAATATACGCGGCCGTCTTGAGGAAGGTCATGTTCCCGGTCACGAAGAACGCCGCCGAGACGGCCGGGTTGAAGTGCCCCCCCGAGATGTTGGCGAAAGTCGCCACGATAGCGACCAGCGTCAGCCCATACGCGATGCCGAGCGCGACCATACGCGCGTCGGTCATGACGGTGCCGCCGTCGGTTTCCGGAGACGATCCTGTGTTGGACAAAGAGATGCTAAGGGTCTTTCGGGAATTTCTGTCTGACATCCCCTTAAAATGGAACGACGTGGAATGGACCTCTGCTCATGAGTCTCGTCGTGACGAGGAGACAGGTTTCGCTGGCTCGAGATTAAGGGAAAAGGGACTTCAAAGAGACGTCAAGAGGCGCAGTAGAAGAGCTCCGCCTGATCCTATTGGAAGGAAGATGCAAACGTTGGAGTAGGTGTTTAGCAGAGCTACTTCGCCACAGACAATCATCTTTGCTTGCACCAGCACGTTTGCGCGGCCACTTTCGGAATGACAATCACTAGACATCTGCAATAGGCTCAGACCCAAGAGGGGTAAAAGCTTAGGCGCCGGATCGACTTCTCTGGGGCCCAAGCGCTCGGCCAAAACGGAAACCTGCAAGCAGTTGGTACTAAAGCAGCTTAACAAATACTGTCCAGCGATCGAGTCGTACAAGCCTTTGAGTTAGTCAGGAATCGTGGAAAAGGAACGTGTTGTAATTCAGTGCAATTGGGCGAGCGCTTGACGGCTTCACCGTATGCTTTTGCATAGATGCGCAAGACATTCTGGAATGCATACCGGTGCCGAAAATGAAGGAAGGTGGTGTTTCAACTTGTAGAGGCTGGCTCGGTTCACATAACAGATTCATAGCATCCTCGAATCTTTCTGCATGCACCAGATTAAGAATTGTAAAATCCTGACAACTCGGCCTAGCTCAACTTCAATCTTTTGTAGTCGAGCAGATGAACCAGCTGATCCTTCTGCCAAAGGACTGCGAAGAATGCTTATCTAAATTCATTTTGACTTATAAATACACCCTGCAAAGAAGAACATAAAGGACACGTGGCACGCGCTTACCCGTCGATATGGAAGCGCCCACCCCAACGAAGATGAAGAGCGCCGTGCCCAGGAATTCCGCCAGAACCGCTCTTGCGATGTCGCCGGAATGAGTCCAGTGCTTGCCGACCTTCCCAAACCTGGGCACTTTCAGGTATGCCATGCTGCGTGGAGCCTTCGAAGGAAGCGCGGGCGTCTCTTCTTGGTTCGTCTTTTGTTTCTTTTGGGATTCAAGATTCCCTGCAGCTAATTGCAAACGGACAAATGATTTTGCGATTACAGTTCCTGCACTACGACGTGAAAACCACCATGATCCATCTTAGGAATCTATTGTTGGATGACATATACTCCACCCATCACTTTCCAGGCGAAAAGCGCTCCGTGCAGAATCAGAATCTCCCAGCACCACCCGCTACAATGATTGCCGTCACAACTTCTGCTGCGACTCGTCTCTTTAGGATTCTTCTTGCTCGTGGGTCGCTTCGAGCGGCTGGCAAAGTGATCATGCTCGAACGGCTGCCAAGGCGTCGCCCCATCTGATTGCTCGCGCGCGGCCGTCGCTGAACCCGACGATCATTGTATCAGCCACGTGGGCTTCATGCAGCTCAGGCAAAAAAGACCATGCACGGGCCGTCATTCGGTGCAGTAAGCACAATACTCGGATAAGCTTGATCCCAGATTCCGACCTGAGAAGACCATGCAAATCAGAGAACAAATCTTGATGGCTGAACACGCCTTTGCTTCACGTTGAAGACTTCAAGGAGGTTCACGATCAATCTCGTCGCGGAGGAGGTACGTCAGAAATGCTCGATACGACATCGAACTCGCTAAGGGACAGCCTCGGCATTAACTGGATGGACTCCCTCATATAGTCGATCTAGCTTTGATTGGTTTTGAGCGAGCATGATTCAATACCGCGGTTCGGCCGTTGGCCGCAGTGTTGGCAGTGAGGATCGAAGGAGCATTCAGGAGGTCACTAAGCATGCAACGTCAGCATGCATTGTCGAGCGAGGCCGGGCTTTATGATACATGTGTCTACTATCATTTTGAAACAAGATGGAAAGAAGTTTCGTTTGTAGCAGAAAACGTTCAGGTCGGGCATGATTCATATACCATCCACATCGAAAAGATCGAATCGACGGACAAGAAATGGGGTGCAGTGATCTCCTACCGACTGCATTACCAAAGAAGTTGTGCTTGCAAATCCAGCGGGCGCGCGACGCGAGCTCGTCCAGCTGAATTGGAGAAGCCTAGCGGATGCAGGCAGTCGCCATCGATCGCATGTTTTCAAGACTTCAGCATCAAATTGGACAGAATGTGTCACATTACAGATCGAGATATGCGAATCGCAAGAGGTGGCAGGAATGGTACAAAATTTTGCATCCAGCGCGTGCGAAAGCTCGTGACTATCTGAAAATGTCCTATCTAGGCAAAATGTATGTATAACTAGCCGCAAGCTCCAAGTCTGTACAGGTCGTCTGAGCGGTGTGCAACTCCAATCACAACTCAACCGCATGGTAACGGCACTTTTTGCCGAACCCACATCTCCTTATCCTCATTCAAGGGTGGTCAACTCAGTTCTCTATCCAACAGTGGTAAACTCAGTTCAACCTCCTCTCAAGATCCGTGATCTCCGCAGCGACTTTGTCGATGTTGGCGAGCCTCTTCTCCAGCGGCGGGTGAGTGGACAGGAACGCAGCCAAGCCCTTCAGAATGTTGCCGGGCCCTAGGGCGGGGGCATCCGCCCCGGCCTCCACGTGGAAGAACAGGTGCTGGAAGTTGCGGTTCGTGCGGTACGGACGGAAGACCGGCTGCTTCTGAACGTCGTCCTTGAACTGCGGGTTGTTGAAGAAGGGCGTACGATTCAGAACGGGAGCCGTCTTTTTCCAAGTACGGATGTTTCTAAGGGTGACCTCTTAGTACGAAGTGTTTCCGCAAAGAACAGCCTCGCTGTATGACTACTAAAGTTGGCAGCCTCCTTCCGTCCGAGGTCCCAAGTCTCCTGACCACTTCTGACCATTTTCAGGCCGCAACATAAGTTCCAAAACTTGCGATCATGCAGGACCTGGCTTCCATGCACGCGATGCAGATTCAATGCAAGCTGCGGGAGACAGACTTTTGCATCAATATTATTCTAACATTATGTGAGCTTGGAAAGTTGTCACTGAACTTGACCCTTGAAAGCCGGCGGCGCTTTAGCAGACGACGGCGCTTTTTCGGCAGCGAAACGCGCCGTTTCAACTAACGCCACTTCAACCCCGACTACTTTTCGACTTCCCGCCAAACAGCTCAACACTTTCGAATCTGGAGACGCTCACGTTCGCCACGGCACCAGAGTCACCACCCATTCAAACGACCGACCAGTGAGACCACGACGGCTTCGCTGCCGCTTATTTTGAAGCCGCTCCTTAATCAAGCCCGACAACGAATCATAACATTACTCGAGCGTGGCCTTCCGACTTCGAAACGCAGGAGCTGAACCAATCCTACAAAAACCAGGGTCCAACATTCAGACTTTCGAGTACCCCGACTGCCAGCTCACCCTTTCCAGCTTCTCGAGCGCGCCCTTCATGTTGGACGCCCCCGCAATGGCCGTCCCGTGCGCGTCCGCGGCAAACTCGCGCGTCCGAGACGCGGACAGCTGGAGCAGGTTGCCCAGCGCGTACGTCACGAAGCCGACCGCCAGCAGGGGAATGGCGACCGCCTGGCGGGTTAAGCGAAGGGTTTAGCGAGTCAGTGTCTTAGACTTTTTACCCTCTTTTTTTCCTTCTTTTTCCTCTTCTTCCTTTTTGTTTCAAGGCAATGACTTCAAGATAGCTGGAGCAGGTTGCCCAGAGCGTACGTCACGAAGCCGGCCGCCCGTAGGGATAATGGCAACTGCCTGGAAGGTTCAAGAGGAGGCTTGAAAGAAATGCAAACCGAAGTACTTTGATGTGTTTGCGAGGTTAGATAAGTGCACCCCAGGACAACTGATCGGAAAGGGATGCATAACGAAGCCGATCGCCAGCAAAGAGATCGCGGCCGCGTGGCGGGATTGAACGAAGAGTTTAGAAGGTCAAAAAGAAGTTGCGTGAGTTTAGCGTTCACAGAAGTGTTTGCCGCTTCGGTGTCAGGGATGCAATTCAAAGCAGATGTTTGCAGAGAATGACGGGGTTGCGCAGGGTTGATGTCGGTCTCGAAGTCCTTTCCATGTGTCTTCTGGCATTTCCAATTTCGGATTGGATTATCAGGACTTTCCATCAAGCTCGACAAGAATCGAAGAGGAACGCAGACTTCGTTTCCCAGTGAGTGCGGAGAGTATAGATGTGGCTCATGAGTGACGTCGGAGAAGCCATTGACCGTGACAGGAATGAAAGACGAGGAGAGCCTGACGGGCTTCGCTTCATGAACCAACTCTGTCCGTTGAGACTTTAGCCGTTTCGTCACAGCTTCGACACTCTACGCAAGAATGCGGATACAAAACAATCAAGCCAACACCGCACTCTTGTATCTCCCTGTAGAGTATCCACCCTCTTCACTTGTTGCTTAAAACTTTTGATCTCAGCCGAAAGTCGTCCAAAGACGTTGTTCAAATTCCTCTTCTGGGACCGTCTCTGACCACCTTTGATTGAAGAGCCGACAGAGCAGCCGTCCCACTTTCCTGCAGACATTGAAGCACAGATGAGGCAGTAAGGCGAGCGCCCAACCCACCTGCAGCTGGCGCCCGCGCTGCGTCTGCTGCGGCTGCGCCTTCTGGCCCGAGTAGCGCTGGTAGTAGGCGGCCCGCCGGGCCTCCTGGCGTTCGTTCTCCACCAACCGCATGCCGATCTGGTACACAGCGTAGAAGCCGGAGAGGAGCGTGCCCAGGTGGGTGCCTGCAGGACAAAAGGATATGAGAACCTCTTGTTAGAACGCTTGTTTTTTCCCTTTAGTCGAATTCTTGTCGCCGCTTTACCAACACTGATTCAGTCGTGCAAGGAACAATCACTGATATCCGCTTGGAAAATATCGCTATCGCATGTTACATAAAAACGACCGTCCTTGTCAACGACGCAAAATGGAATTCTGGAAACCTGGATATCTGTACCACAAAGCCAGCGCTTACATCAGATAGATACCCAACTTTCCCGTTTCAATTTCGTCGTCTTTGTTCTGAGAGATGCCGGCCAAAACCCTTCGAAGATCAAACCAAGCAACGCACGAAGCTCTTGGGACTGCCAAGCGTAACTCACCGCTGACCATGTCGCCGTGCACGATATGCCCGATCTCGTGCCCAATCACCGCCTTCAGTTCATCGGGCTCCAACCGCTTGATAATGCCCTCAGTCGCGGCAACCACCGCGTCCTTCTTAGGGTCGAAGCCCGCCGCAAAGGCGTTCATCTCGTCGGTCGGGATGACGTAAACCGCTGGCATAGCAATCTCGGCGATCTCAGCAACGTCCTACAAATACGGACAGATTTCTTCATTTCGAGCCTTTTCCTGGAATGACGTACCCACACACCCAAACTTGCTTATTATTTCCTTCAAAGCAAAATGGATCAGTATGGATCTGGAATGGAGGAACTGCTTACAGAACCTCAATGCTACCCATTGATCAATGAGCTTTGACAGGTCGAAGCTCTGAAGGACAACAGATTGCTGACACTTGGTATCAAAACGTGGTCAAAACCGTGTACCAAAAACTCATTGAAATGGTCTCGGATCCTCTCGAAGGTGGTCTACGATCCAAAACAACCGAACGTGCTTTGAAGCCAGCCTCAATGGAGAAAATTCACGAATCAGCTCAAAACCTCGACATTCCACAGATCAGCAAGTCCGAAACGCTCACCCTGACTGCCTTGACCAAGGTGGGGTACTCCCGCTCAGTGACTCTTCGAGCACCCATTCTCTGCGCAACGCTGGCTCCAACTCCACCTTGCTGGTTCTTGCTAAACTGTAGCTGAAGGTAGCTGAAACCGGCGGGGACAGCAACCAACGCGGCAAACCCGAGGCCTCCAAGACCTGCCAAGAACGTCAGTTGACAATGTTGATAGCGTTTCTCTGATAGACTTGGGGCTGATAAGAAGATTGAAGATCTGGCCATACCTGGATGCGTGACTGCGTACTGCGAATGGGTTCCCCTGAAGCAACCTCGGGTTTCTCCGCTAAACGAATGGTTGAAAAGTACCTGAAAGCTGTTGCAGTACTCACTGATTTCAAGCCGAAGCGGACAAGCACACCTTTGATTCGTGACGTTCCACCTTGGCCGAATTTTATGCGACACTGTCACTTTGATGTATCCTTTCGTCAAATCCAAAGGACGCGCTAGAGGCACCAAGATCAGAATGAATGAGAACTTCACAGCGGAATCGACGAGGCAGCTCAATCAGAGACGACAGAGCTGGACTGATAAGACAGGAAAAAGGTGACAACAGACTAGTTCTTTTTAGAAGTTGACAAACAAGCTGCTCACCTGGGGGAAGCACATCTGCTTGCCGGATGACCAACTCGAATGCAAGAGCACCCCCGGTGACAAGGGCCCCGAACGCCAGCCAGTATCCCAACACTCGCTTGCTGCCATCCTCCTGCAAGAGTTCCAAGAGTTCCGCCTGTTATGGCTCCAGCTGGTGTTGACAATCAGGACACTGGGAAAAAACCAAAACTTCAAATAAGTCGAGCAGAACTTATGCCGTATACTTTTCCTCTTGAAAACTTGTTCCCCAATCTTCCCAGTGTTAATCAACACTGGACAGTTTCTACCAAAAGGAGTACGTTACATAGATTGTGAATTCTGACAATAGATCGTCATTCTTGATGATAAGGAGGCGGAGTCTGACTAGGTCAATCAGGGACCTGGTGGTCTGCAATTGCTAACTTGAACTCTAAAAGAAGATGACCAAGGTTATCTTGTGAGATTGATTGACGCACATCACAAAGGGCGCGCCACAAGAGGGCGTGTTTAAACACAAGAATGGATGAAGCTTCCCACTTGTGTAATGAGTATGGAGCTTGCTGTGAAACAGAGATCAATGTTGCTCCAAAACTGAGGTTAAGCTCAAAAATGATATCAGCCGCGGCGCAATGACGAACAGCATGCAGCCTCTTCAAGTATGGAGACTGAAGAAAGTTGTAGAGTTGAGGGAGTGGAGGCAAGTAATCGGAGCCAAATGAATGCTATGAAGGAAAAGTCTCCGCACCTGCAACCTCCGTGCGTACTCCAGGGCACCCCGCGATGTGAGTGCAGTTGACTCTCTATTCCCAGAAAATAGGGCCTGGGTGACAACAGACTGGGCCTTCTTCAGAATCGGCAGCTGAGGAAGCCCTACTAGAGGCTCAGCAGGGGGCTGGTTCTCAAGGGAAGCCTTGACAAGGACCGTCCTTGACAATGAGGTTTGTGAGGAGTGCTGAGGCTGACGCTTGAGCGGCAACGCGCGCAAACCCGCATGGTTTGGCAACACGCTGTGCCGGGAGCACCTGTAGCAGATGCAAGACTGGCTGTCAAACATAAAACTCAATCTGTTCAGGAAAACGGCAGAAGTTTCGAAGGGGTTCGTCATGTTCTTGGCGTCAGCACCCACCGCAGAACAGCGCGTTTGACCCACCGACGATCCTGTTTTGGCCTGAGGTCTAGAGAACGCGAATTTCTCAGCAGGTCACAACAGGACCCTTTCACAGAATCAACAATCTGAAAATGTGAGGCCTCAGAGGCTGCAGCACTTTAACATTACTGTCCCGCATCTTTATAAGTATGCTGGGAACACTCACCTTGAAAGTGCGTGCGTTTGCAGAGGCGCATGTAGGAGCTGCGCCCTCATCGCAATGCTGGTGGCTGCCATTGTGTCTCAACTGCGCTAGCGGGCCCTGTATTGACAAAGCTAGGTAGTGACTACAATTGACCACGAAAGCCTGTTCAACCCAGCATGTTGGTGCAATTTCCAATTAACAGGAAACCAATTTAGTGTAGCCGGACCAAAGGACATGCAGCAACCTGCATGGGGATGTCAGAGCACCGGCAAACAATTTAACACAGCTCCTATCTTCGCTACTCAACCAATATTGAGATCTGTCAATTGCAGTTCTCTGGTCACAACTGACACTCCCGTGACAGGACTCATTTGCTGAGGTGGCCAAGATCTGCAGGATTTAATTCTGAAACATTTACTTCGCCATTTCAGAACAAGTAGGAGTACGAAGCCATGACCAGACACGAAAATTCCGAATTTTCATGAGGGACTTTCAAGCAAGCATCATTGCGGGGCGCATCAAAAACCTCTCGAAATAAATAAAAAGGACTCAGTCCTTTATACTTGTCAACTTGTCTGATAGGGGAGCTTGCAATGAAGCGCAGCAGAACGTAATGAGAGTCCAACACTTGCCTCAGTTCTGGCCGCCGACGTAAAACCAGGCAACCAGCTGCCACTGCCTGATGCCTTCAGCGCAATAGAAAGGGCCGCTAGCAAGCTGAGCACCACGAAGAACTTTCAAAAATTAGTGCAAGGATCAATTTGGGCCCTCCTTTCTTTGTCTTCTCCTTGCGCAAAACATGCAGCCTTGCTTTCACTTTGAAGGATACGCCGCGCTAAACACTTGGGGATGCCACTTGGAGGGCTTTGTAGGGATGCCACGTGTCATTGTAGTACTCAAGATGGTCAATCCGACGGCCTGGACCTAACTTGCGAAGAACGGAGGGTGTTTTTGCTTCCACGCTCCCTGCTGGCTGTTTACGGTTTGGATGATGTTGAGGCTTGCGTGCACTTGATCGGACGGTGAGATTTGTAAAGTAGGGCTCAAACATGCAGAGCGTATTTACACCGCAATGCTTGCTGGACCTTCTCCGTCAGCATGCTTCAAATGGACCATGGTCCTTGGATCGATCAATCTGATGGGAGGAGGGGGCATTGGGGGGGCTCTGTATCAGAAGTCGTTTGAGCACATTAGGAATGCCTGCTAGAACTTGAAGCCAGACCTTCCTTGCACGACGCTTGCATTAATCAGCAAATTGAACTTTTGGTGAATTGAGCTCCTCATCAAGCAGATTCAAATGGCCTCAACCATGCACATTGTAGCAGCGAGGCTGCCCGCTTCGACCAACTGCCCACATTGCACCACACAGGGTCAACTCCAAGAGCCGCAAAGTACACTCATTGGTACAAGCTTTCTACCTGGATTTCCAAGATGGTCACCAACAGCAACTTCAAGGAATTGGATCAACAAACAACGACGTGGGGCAGCGACAGCCAAGGCAGAAGCAGGTAAGTAGATGCAATTGGGCTATGATGAAGAAACAAGAATGCAGGGACGAGCTCAGAAGTAAAAACAGAGAGGTGGTACAGAATGCATCACGCGAGGGGTGATCAGTAGTGCTTCCCTGAATGCACTCAACAATCTGTTTGTGATACTAGATTACCCCCCTGAGTGAACCCTCAGTCACCGTTTCAATGTTGAGATTGACTGGTTCTGAGCCCTCATTGGAGGCATGTTCGCACTGACTTTGCAGCATCTTACATGCCGTATGCCATCTGTCTAGGTCTTCCTTATGGTTCTCCACAGATTCAATCAGTGTCAATGCAGACTTCTATGTCTGCCCCTCGCCGTCATGAAAGTACGATGTGAGGACTTCTTTCAGAGACCTGAACCAGTCCTGCTCTCCTTCAGGCGAGCATGTATCTCGGAGAAGAGCCCTGCAGACTGCCCTTTTGACCAGCGTCAGTGCCTTGGTCCCAGCGCTGACTGAGGCTCAACCGAGCACAGGTAAAGCAGTAGCACCTCGCTGGACGCAGCCTTCACTTGTTTCCCTTTTACGTCAAGTGTCCCAGCAATTCTACGGATTTGTTCAGACTCATGGCGAACTCTTTGATACATATTCTAGTGACAGAATCTAAACTTAGCAGTGACTAGAGTACGAGGCTGTTTATTTCTCACCCAAGTGACCCTCTCTTGTCGACTTTGTATTTCCTGAAGGAACACTCAATTGTCGGCCTAATCTAATTCTCGACTTTGATTTCCTGAACTTAGGAATACTCAGTCGTCAGTCTACCCTAACTCTCTTCCCCCATGAAAATAAGCAGAAGCCACATTATGGGACTGTTCAGCATGTTCGGGATGAATACAAGCAGGCAAATCAACATTTGCTGTTATGCTGAGGAAGCTGGAGCAAACTCAATTTGTCCTGTGCAAATTGCAGCCGCTTCAGACGACCCGCGCCAGCAACTTCTGGACGCGATCGCTGCCAAGAAGGGCGTTCAAGAAGCGATCGATCGCATTGCAGAGATCAACCCAACTCCAAAGCCCAACAAGTCGGACAAGGTTGACGGCAAGTGGAAGCTGTTGTGGAGCTCGGACGTCGCTGAGGTCAGCAAGGTGACAAGGTGAGTCCATAAACTGCGGTGTTTCATCTTCAGGTTTGACAATGCTCTGATTGAGGCATGAAATATTTTTCGTGAAATAATTCATCAAACGGTACGACTTACATATGTTTCTTTGTCCCCTCACGTCACCAGAAGTCTTCACGTTTGGCCGTTTTAGAAGTACGCCCGAGATTCTGGCTCCTTGACGAAACGAGATTAACGGATCATGAAACGACTACAGAGAACCAAGAGGGCTCAGAAGACGAAAGCGGACAAAAGGAGGAATCGAAGCGCTCGGATCGAGGGCTGGTCTCCTACCATGTCTGTCACCCCTCTTGATTTGCTTCCATCAAATACCTATATTGTGCAGACAGGCAGTCTTCGCTGAAAGCTTCCTCCGGTCTTTTGCTTCTTCCGCAGAGTCAGACCTTCAGACCCGATCTTGATAACTTCTACAGGCCCTGATTGTGAGATTGGCAAACTGAAGTTCGGAAACGGGGAATCTTGAACGGCTCGACCACTGTGTCCGCTCTTTGTTTGCAGTCCTTCCTTCGTTTTCCTTCTAATTCCTTTTTCATGTGCACATGGAGAGGAATACTTCGAAACCCCCGCAGGTTTCTACCGATCGGCGCCGAAAGCTTCCAGCTAATCGGTCCGGGCGGTGGTATCGGGAAGGGCCGCGCCCAGAATATTGTATCGATTGGGGGCGGAGCGGTGCAGCTGAAGCTGACGTCAGCATGCGTCCCTGACGAGAAGAACGACAAGGACTTCGTCGTCGGGCCGCCATTCAAACTGGAGCTGTTCCTGGGCTCGAAGGCGCTGCCAATCTCTGAAGTAAAAGACGTGAGTGTCGAAGCCGCTGGAGCTTCGTGTTTCGCTACGTTTCTTCCATGGTTGTTCCTGCTTCGCAACTTGGTCCGGGTGATATCTATCTTCGATGTTCCTCTACGCTCACTGAGCATCGAACACTCTTCTCTTGCTCGTGCCTATCAACTCGGGCACCTTGCAGAATCTTGTCGTGCTCTGCTTTCCCTTCCGATCAGATGATAAGTGCAGGGAGTCGCCGGTGGGCGTCAATTATTTTGTTTGCAGCGCAAGCCTTTCTCATAAGTAGATGGAAACGGTCCACTATGAGAGTTGCAAAATTTGGTCTGAACCTTATTTGTCAATGGGGAAGTCAATGGACTCCTGCAGCAAACGCTGATGCCCACCGCTTCTTGACTTGCAGACAAATAGTGAAAGAACGCCGATTCTAGGCAACGAGTTGAACTACTTTGAGCAGGTTTACCTCGAGGACTCAGGGAAGCCCGGAGATCTGCGCGTTAGCAGAGTGCTGATTGGAGACGACCGGGTTGTGGGCAGTATCTTTGTACATGAGCGGGTGTAGTGCGTGCCGTTTTATCAGAGATTAATATTCATCGTGCAACGATTCAGTCAGATTGTTTAAGGCTATGGCCGGAGGTCGTTTGCGTTGCCTGCTTGCGTGGTTACATAGATCGAACATGCATGGATTGCTAAGTGTAGATGCAACATTGTGATGCGTCAAGAATCCCGATCATTTTCAGCGGAGAAGATTCTCAAACGTCCATTGGTCCTGACAGATCGGTCGAAGAAACTTGCACGTGCATCCTTCTGAACTGACTGACCAACATGGCCAGGTGTCCAGCGGATCCCGCTCCGCTCTCTATGCATGATCGGGTGTCAGAGGATCGCTTGCATGCAGACATCCACTATAATAGTATAACACTTTGATTGGTCATGCATGACCCTTTGATCTGTCTCCACTGCGACTGTTTCGTCGTCAGTGCGGCCGGGTCGGACGCTATCATGATCAGGAACGGCGTACATGTGCTATGCAGGTGCTATACTCATGCAGCACCCCTGACATTGGGTCATTGAGGCGCAAATAGAGAATAATCATTGTCGACAAGTCAGGAAGTTTCATCTTACCTATGTACAAGAACTGCTGCCAGTCTACTCTGGCTTCTTTTTTGAGACATCGGAGAGGTTGGAAAGTGTGGTGACCGGAGCATACAAAGCGTTTAGTACGTGAGTCCACCAGTTGACTTTAAGGGCCACGGATCTGCAAGACGAGGTGATGCACCTTTTTGACGTCTTTGACACTCAAAAGCAGAGATGCTAAGAAAGTGTCTGAATCTCCATCAGCTACTTCACGATCCACTACATGACAACTGAAGGGCCAATCAGGCGAGGGGGATCTTGAACTTTCAGTGAGCATGATTCTGTCTGTACCTCAAGTGGAGCCTATCGCGAAAGTCTGGCAGTTTGGAGCACCGCAGCAATCGGAGTTAACAGAGCAGAATCCAGAAATAGACCACCACGATATTCTGAGTATATCTTTACATACCTTCCACGATTGTGTAGCTGTCGCCAGGTGAAAACTGGTGGTTGGAGAAGAGGACGAGCGTTGGCTCAAATCCGTCGACCTTGATCTTGCCAGCGAAGGGCGCCAACTCCGGATCGTCTCCAACCCTTGTTCCCACTCGTACACGTTTCTGCCGATCATCTTGAAACTTCACGACGACCCTGCAAAAGATTCAGGGTTGAGGCATTACTCTTCTAAACAGCCATTGCACTTTGGACTGAGACTGGATTAATATACTCCGACAACCGCCAGGAAGAATCTCTTCTCTTTGGGAAGTCTTTTTAAAGGGAGAAGAGGAATTGAAAAACAAAAGAAAAGAAAGATTGCGCGCATACTTAGTATCTCCTGTCTGGATTACGCTCGAAGCGTCTGGTTTGACGCCCTTGAATTCAATGAAAGACCACGCTTCGAGAAACACGCCGTTCCAGGATGATGGAACTTCTGTGAGGGCCAGCAATCTGACATTAGTCCTGGCAGTCAAGAATATTCTTAGTGGGCGGGCCGCTGGAGTGCTGAGAGCTCGATCGGCAGCAGCCTACCAAGACTGAAGTTGAGTGGACGGTGACCGTCAGTTGAAACTAAGAATGCTTTGCTCGTTACAAGCCGCCTGCTGCGCTAATACGTGCGTCCGGCGCGCGCAGAGATCCATCGACAGCACAATTGCCTGACGCTGATATGAAGAGTCTGAGCAAGAACTATTTGGCAGGACTGTGCTCATGACCATGCCACATCTGGTCAAGTGGTAAGATTCAATTTGATTAAGACGATTTTGATGCACTGCTTGTTGAACGTCGCCTGCGGGCAACGATGTCACTCACCATTCCGGCGCCACGTCAGAGCTCTCTGCAATAGCCGCCCCTGCAGTGTAAACATGGTCAAATTTACAAAGAGAGGATACTTTTTTTTAGTAACTCTACTGGCCTGATATTCGGGGCCAGGTAGAGTAGGAGTGTCAATTTCAAAGCAATGACCTTGAGAGTCCTTACTTGCAGATCTTTCATTTCAATGAAGTCTTCCCCTTCGCTTCCACCGATATTTTCGTACAGGCAGGAGAAACAAGGACATGCTGGACTTAGACCAGCGTCTTTCTGGAAACCTAAGACTGATTCGAAGCACGATGAAAGCCTTGATGATACACAGAGTAAGCTGTTGCCGACTTACCGTCCGGGCTGTCTTTCCCAGCTGGAATCTCGCTTGGTACTAGATGCCTATTAACTTTCATATGCACAGATTGCAGGCATGCTACGACCAACCTAAAACCACTGCAAAGCTTGGAATATCCGTCCCTTCACAGATTGCTTGAGTCGAATCAAGCAGATGTAGGTGATGATTGAGCTGCAACAGGACGTCCTTCATTCGCAGATAAGTTCGTAGTCTTTACCGCTGTCTTTTGACACCAATGAGTCGTCTTTCAAACAAAATCTGCAGCAGCTTTGGAGCAGCAGGATGGCCGCACAAACCCTTTATTGAGGGGCCCGAGTCAGCCCCTCAGGACTTTGATTTTACTGCTCGCCACCACATCAACTCATCGCCAAGGTGTGAACAAAACACCCCTCAACTTTTCCTCTCTTCAGGTCCTACCCATTGTACAGAACCATTCAAGAAAGACAATAAGCTTACAGGCAACCTCTGACCTACTTCATGATCCGTGGACATTTTGCTCGGTACGGATGAACCTGGGAATATGTCAGTGGTCATGGCCCGGCAGTGAAGTGAAGCGGGGAACTTTTTTCCAACAGAAAGCTGAAAATCGCTGATATACGGCCGCAACCAGGACTTGTTGATGTACAGCTTCGTATAGGCATTGCTTTCCGATCCATTGTTTGCAGCAACATCCAGTCGGCAACAACATAAAAACCACCTTGCTCATGCGGAGGGGGACATTCTCCAAACCGGACTCCAAACCCCGTCCAAACCTCTTCCTTTGCTTTAAATTGGTACGTGAGCTGACGTACGCAGCTTCACATCAGAAAATGTTCGACGTATTCCGCCACCCGGCCAGCCAGTACTACCTAGTGGACTTTGCCCAGGCATTATTACGGCTGCGTGTCGGACACGCGGCCGGCAATTTTCGGAGGCGGCCGCAGTGCGCAGGGTTTGTACAATGGTCTTAGCAGAAAATGGTGATTCCTGAATCCTGACCGTCGATCTTTACCCAGCCTTCTTATCGACGGCTCGTACATATGGGCTGCTTCGTGTTGGGGCGATTGCATCTGACACGCACCGGAGCACGGCCTCATACCTGCCAGCCCATGCATGGAAGAAACCGGAGTCAATCAGCTTAAAAACTATAGCTACCGTAGCAGTGGTATGAAAGAGACTTGGAGGGGGCCGAGACTCGGGGGCCGCCGCGGAGAGACTTTGCAAGGGGACTTTGTATTGGAAGCCAATTGGGTCTTGCAGCCATGCCTCCGATCAACAGGGTTACCATCTTACTAATGCTACCTGACAAGGATCAATGTGATGCCCGCTTCTCTAGCTTGCATGATTGATTGTGTAGATCCCGAGCTGTCGATCCGGAGAGAATTCATCCTTCTTGCATGTATGAGTGTGTACACCGGTACGCTAGCTAGTCCCTTATCTCCCGCGTATACCGTATACGGTGGGAAGAACCCTCAAGGAACACTTCCTGTAATCCTGTTATAAACGGAACTTGACCGTCCTAGCTGTGCATACATATTTACGAATAAACGTACGCCAAGGTAATGCACTTCCTGGCTGAGCGAAGATTTGTTAAGAAGGGAGAACCGCAATCTCCGACACACATATGGTTAACAGCTTACTTGTGTTCCGATCCGCAACGGCTTAATTGAAGCCAAAGCTCTTGATAATAAATCAGAGCGTAGACACACCCCAAAAACGTCTTCCTCCTAGCTCTGAACTAAAAAGTCATTCAGAATCTACATGCAGGGTTGAAGTCGAAACTTGCCAGGCCGCCTGCTGCGCATATGGAGGTGTGTTCGGCAATTGAGCCACACGGTTCACTTATACATATGATGCACAATCACTGCCATGCAGTTTGTATGAGTTGATCATGTTCCGCCAGCGGCCCGGCCTAGGTAGGCTCAGGCTCCCGAGTCGGCTTGCCCGGCCTAGTTCGAGGGTTGCCTGTTTTCAGGCTCAAACCAGACGGTCAAGTAGCAGGGTTTTGAAGCGCGGCGCCTAGGCGCCTGGCGGCCAGCCTGCGCAAAGTGCCGTACAAGACGGTCCAAACCGTGAACTCGAAAGCCGGCATCGTAAGAGGCATACTGCGTCCAGGCGTATGATGCAGAATGGGAGCGGATGGCGGAGGCCGTGCCATTACATACAGAGCCCAATAAAGTGCAGGCGCAGGCAGGATTACGGCCGCAACAGCCGAGGGTCACGTGGCGATTCGTGAGCCTGGTGACAACGCCACGCCCAACTCATCAGGAACACATATCGACGAAGCACATCAGTATACCGGGTCTCAAGTCGAGCACTTCGTCAATATCTTGCCAAAGAGGTTGGCCTGCGGCTCCTTGGCGTCTAGCTGGTGCAGCTGTTTGGACAGCAGGACGTAGCCCTCGCCGAACGCCTTGGTGCACTGCAAGATGCGGAAGCAGTTGCGCCCCACGTTGTTGAGCGGGTTCAGAGGGTCCTCGATGTAGAGGGGATCGATGCTGTGCCCTTTGTCCCGGTCTATGTACATCCCCCCGGCTCGGATGCTCACACCCATGCGCCTCGGGTCGAAGACGCACCTGCACGAAGGCGAGATACCCACAATGAGCGCTGACCACCTTGGCTGATATGTTGGTAACGGAATGGGGAATCTTTTGCAGGTTCAAGGTCGCAGCCGATGAAGATCATGGAAAGCAGCCACAAAGAGCTTGTATGGAAAGACCGCAAGAAACGTAGGACGCGAAACTGCGTTCGGGGACTGACATTTATACAGCTTCGGAGCCCTGCCGGAACAAGCCATGTGGAGCAGCCCGAATGACTTCTATAAAGAGCGGTTCAGCAGAAATGAACGCCACAAACAGGCTAAAGTACATCCTGACGCATCCGGAGCCTTACTCGGAGAAAAGGAAGAATTTCAGAAGGAGCCGCCCCAAAAGCTTGGAAGACGTCACATACAAAATCAAAGTGAAAGAGAGACCAAGTCTTTCACAGAACCTATACGGATTCGAAACCCTCACCCAAAGAAGTGCAGGAAGTCCATGAGGAGCAGCCCCAGGTTCTGGCCCGCCTGCTGTGCGCGCACGCCGCTGACGTGCTGCTGATGCTGCAGGAAGCGCGTCACCAGTAGGACCTGCAAGGCGACAGGCTGACGTCATTAAATGATGTGGCACGACGTGGTCTACCATTATAACAGACAAATGAGCATACACAACGCTTTTGCTTAGCTTTACACCGAGGATAGAGTCAAGGAAGAGGAAAGTTAGTCGCCTGTTCCTGCACGAGGCCATTGGGTTCCCTTCTATGCCTTCCCAAGATGATTGTTTACGTCTCGATGAGTGCACACTGAAGCAGGGCCCGGCTGAGGTCAAACCTCTCAGCAGGGGGCAGCTCCAGGAGCTCGCTAGCATACTGCGAAGCAATCCTCAAAAGTTTTTAACCACTGTTCATACCAGCCGCGTTGAGATTCTGTTCTGTGGCAAAAGCACTCACCACTCAAGAGGTCGCAGTATCGAAAGCGAGAAACTGGGCGTGTGTGAGGTCCTCACCAGGCAGTACGAGCTGAGCCCCCCGGTGTACGGGTGATCCAGGCTGCGGTCGGTCAGGAACTGCTTCACAACGAGCACCAGAGGGGGCAGCGGGGGGAACTGAGCGACCAGCTCGCGCACCTGCGGTTGAAAAAGGGAAGCAACGCGTTAACCCACTCAGAGCGGAATGCAAGAAAGAGCTTACAATCCGGGGGGCAAATGCAATTTGCGGAGGAGTAAAAAGACATCAATTGCGGCCCGCTACGTGCCATGCCCAGGCTTTGTCACAGAGGCATGTCTTTATATTTGTACAATTTGATTCCTTCGAACAAAGCATCTACGCTTGGCATCAAATCTACCCGAAATGCCAGTAAAGCCAGCCAAACCGCTTGTGCTGCTGAAGCAGCTGCAAATGGAATCAGTATCCGGCAAACCTATATCTACCATTGCAAACACGTTTGAGCTTTTGCGCCAAAAGGGTTCAGCTTGGAGATCCAGCTTCTTGAAGGATTTAAACCGAGCGTCTATCGGAGATGACGCTTCAAGCAGACTCACCAGATCAGTCGTCCGAGACCCCGTGTGCTGCACGCCCTCGAAACTGATGTCCAGTTTCACCAGCCGCCGCTCCTGGTCGCCCGGCGACTCCGGGGCCGCCACCTCACCGCTGCCGGCGCGCGTGCGGACCATCGCCACGTGGCCCCTCCAGCCAATTTTCGCGCCCTCAGGAGGTGCCACGTGGCCTCCTTTGACTGGCTCCTGAAGCACCACCTCCCCCGGAGCCGAGTGCCGCCTCCCGTCCAGACCGTGCTCGGCCGCTTCTTCCCTGACGTCAGCGCTCCCCGTTTCCGAAGTACGCACCTCAGTGCTGACGCCAGCACATGGGATCGTCTGCGGCCTCGAAGTCTCGGCAGAAGTTGCGGCGGAGGACAATCCGGGTGACGCGAAGCCTCGCCCCGACTCTTCCGCAGCAATCGACTTCAGCGGACAGCTTTTACTTTGCAATCCGGGATCTACGCCCAGGCCACCGGTCTTTTTGCCAGAGACCCCCCCTTCCAGCACACCGTTCTCGTGCTTCCCTGAGATCCCTTCCGCAGACTTTCCGCCCGGGGACGCCGGGGCACCGACGCCGTGAAGCACTCCCTTCGAATCCGCCATTGCGACCGCTTCCTCGACACTGCTCCTATGGGTAGCCTCCCCATTGACCAATGAAGTGAGTCTGTTCACTACTATCTCTGGTACCGCCTCCCCTGCTACGCCTCTTGAAGCACCGACGCCTCCGTTGAGCAACTCCGCCGGACTTGCCCCCTCCCCGGATTCCTCGACTGGCGACGCGGCCTCAGGGGATCCCCCCGACGCCAAAACCAGTCCCTCCGACGGACTGCCGTTCCCTGACCTCTCCTCGGGGGTTTTCTCACTGGGCGAGCTCGACGCTTGCAGCGGCTGGAGGGGCATTTGGGCGATCAGCTGTATGATCGGCACGGCCGTGTTCTCGATCGTCTTCATGGAGTCTGTCTTGACCCAGTCCTGGTCTGCGAGGTAGCGCGCCGCGTGCTGGAGCATCGTCTCTTTGATGCCGTTGCGGCCCTCGAGAATGCCCGCCTCCTTGATTGGTTCCTGCAAGCGAACAGAGAATTGGAGTCCCAGAAATGCAAAGTAAATGCTGAATACATGTTGGATAGGGGCAATTTCCGATATCTCCACAAGGGTTAAATAGCTAGTTCTGACCCAAAAGGTTCTCATTTTCCGGACGCTAAAGCCAGGGAATGATGGGCTGGACAAAGTATGGAAAAGACTGTATTGTAATGGAGGAAACCGTATCGTGACGGAAGAAAAGCTTGTGACGTAAGAAACTGTATTGTGCTTTCAAAGGGTGCAGTAGATGCCGGATCTGAAAAGCTCTCTCCAGCGGATGACAGACAGCTCTCTCAGACTTCCGCTCAGAATAAGAGGTTTAGATATCAAAACCGAGTTCTCAGTTTTGGATTCTCGGTCCTTCGAAACTTGAATCTGAAGAATACGTTTCCTCAACTTCGTGGCATGCTTACCAGACTCCTGACAGGCGGCAGGCCAACGAGGAGGTCGATGTCGCTGGTGGGCAGCGCGAGGCCGGTGATAAACGAACCAAAGACCGTGATGCGGGAGCGGGGCCAGAGCACCTGCAACACAGTACGAAGGGGTCAAGATGATATTAAGGAGAAAAAAGAAAGCTTAACCGGCTCGGGAAAGGCGAAACGGTCCTGCCAGGAAATGAAACTAGAGCTGCAAAACTCTCAGCAAAGCGTCGGGAAAGTTGAGCCGATACAGGCGCCAAGTGACGGCCTTGCCACAGCCGCGTTCGGGATGTTATAGGTTAATGAAGAGCGTCAAGCACCGTGTCCCAAAAGCAGAAAAGCACTCTCACAATTTCTTTGACTGGACTGCGTTCAACTCACTTGGAGTGCTTTGGAGACTTTGCTGATTGCCGCCAGCTGGAAGGGCCTCTTCTTGGCCATCTCCTCCCGGTTCTCGCCACAGAACCGCTCCACTTCCTTGTGCAACAGGTCGTGGAACAAGGCCCACTCGTTTGGCGCCTGCTGCGTCCCGGGGGGACTCAGCGGAGTGACCGGTGAAAACGGCACCACTGGTTGCAGCGGGGTTACCTCCCCAAACCCAGCCGGGTCAATGCTAACCACCTCCTGGCTGTCCGGCACTGCTTCCGGTTGGTTGCGAACGGATTCCGGCTGCTGGTCGAAGGGCGGAATGGTCACCCAGTGGTGGATCGGGATCAGTAGGTCCGGGTGGTCTTGGTCCGGTGAGTGGGTTACTGGGGCCAGCGGCGGTAACCCCTTCTTAACCAGCGGGTTAGCATTCCGGCCGACCCCTCCGCTGCCAGCGACCGCCGCCAGTTTCTCCCTGAGCGTGAATCCGCCCCCTCCTGGCGCAAACTCGGCGCCCCCGACCCCTCGGAACGAACCCTCTGCGTCGATTCCGGGCGGCTTTTCGCCCTTCTCGAGCGCCGGTGCCCAGTGCCGGGGCGACGAGCTTCCGCTGCGGACGTTAGCTGGGCGCGCACGTGGCGCACTCGCAAGCGGGGGGCCAGCTGGCGGCACGTGGTTGGGCGACGGGTTGAAGCGGAGCACCGGGGACGACGGGCGTTTCCAGCGAATGTCACTCGCTCCGGAGTCGTTTCCGGCCCCGACAGAGCCTTGGCGTGCCAACGGGGGGACCTGGTAACTAGGCAGGTGCCGCAGAAAGGTGTCGGGGGAGAGCCCCCGGTGGTACCGCAGGTCGGGAGAGAGTCCCCGGTAAACGGACCGCGGGGGAGTGTGCGCGAGGTTCGTGCGGACCAGGACCGGGGACGGCCGCGAGCCCTGCAGCCGCACCGCACGCACGCGCGGCATACGAACGCGCACCGTTTCCGGGGGGTCCACGTCCGTGGGCGGCAGTGGGGACGGCGCGCGCTCGCTCGGCGCGGGGCTAGTGCTGACGTCACCCGGTTTGCTGACGTCAGCTGCGGCGTAGGACGGGGAGGCCGCGCCGGCGATGTCATCGACGATCACGCTGATGTCAGCCTCGCGGCGGATCCACATGGAGTCGTTTGAGCTGAGGGAGTTTGGGCGAGAGGGCCCGAGAGTGGAGTAGTTGTCGGCGGTCCAGTAGAGCACTCCCCCGTCGAAGATGCGGCTGTAGTCGACACGAGAGTCGTCTTGTGCGGCGTCGACGAAGGGCGGCGCCTGACGGGGACCCTCGATCTCGGTCTCGGACATGACGTACCTACAAAATCAGCGGCTCCATGTCAGAATTTCTGCTGCAAGTCTGGCAAGAGTATCGAGCTGTGAGCAAATTCTGCCACCGAGCCGGCCACTTGTCTGCAAATCTTTCTGCTTCCGACTTCATCACAGGTCTTCTGAAGCATTTTGTTTTCAGCACCGCTCGAAACAACTTCTGAAGTTCTTCGCATCTGCGACTGAACAACATGGTGTTCTCACACAGTCGACATGCCCATCGACTGCGCTCCTTGTGAGCAGGCAGCACATAAGAGAATCATGAATAGCTCATAGATATCAATCAAAAACATCTAGATATCAATCGAGGATCTGCCATTTGCTAGAGCCCTTGCCGAGCATGGTCCTGCTCACCTGGCGTTTGCCTCCGCCTCGCTTTCCACGTCATACCCATTCCCGTTCCGCCCGCTGCCTTCATAATCCTCGCCCCCGCCGATCAGCCAGTCTTCGTCCGTGTAGTAATCTGCGGCCGGGACAGTGATCCGGGGCAGATTGGGGGGCCAGTGCGACTCTGGGCTCAGACTCTGGACCCCAGGTTGGAATCCAACCGGCCACTGCTCGGGGGGCTTTAGCTGGCCCGAATCCATGCCCCCTGGAAGGGGTCGCCCCCAACTGAAGTTCCCAACCTCCCAGAACGGGCCGGGGGGCTCCACGGGGAACCCGTTGTCGGGCAGCTGGTGGCTGCTGCGCGACCGGTGGATGGCAACCGGGCGGAGAAACGCAGGCGGAAAGTCTCCGGGTTGCTGGAACTGAGCTGAGGCGAAGATTTCCGGCCCGGAAGGGGTTCCGTTCGGGACGTCTGGGGGCTGAGGCGCAGGGGGCAGAGCGGAATTTGGAGGTGCCGTAAGCCGACTGCTTGAGTCGGAGGCAGGCAGGTTGGACACGAGAGGATGACTACCCGACCGGGCAGACTTGTGAAGGTCGTACGGTACTGAGTGCGGATTGCGATTGTCTGGAGGGAGAAGTCCGTTTGACGCTCCGCTACTGTGCGCGACCACAAACCCCGTCACGTGCACGGGGCCATTCGGAGGCGAGGGCCCTGTTTGCGCCGGAGTTACCACGGCGAACTGCTCCCGGGAACCGTCCGGAGCCGAAACAAGGCCTCCGTGGTACTGCGGCCATTCGTGCCACCTGTGCCGAGACTCTTCCTGGAGAGGGATCCCTTGAGCAGTAAGCACGGGTTTCGAGACGGTTAGCGACGGTTCTTGCAACCGAGACCCGTCGCTCAAGCTAGTCGAGAGGCCGGCTGGGGGCTTTTGTTGGCGGGGCGCGTGCTTCAGGGGGGTGATCGGCACAACTAGAGTCGAGGGCTGTGCGGGCGCGGCGGAGGGGACGCTTTCCGCGGTTGACGTTTCTGACGGTTCGTCGCCGGGAGCGTTTCCGGCTGACAGACTCCGCTTGAATGCCCCTTGGGAACTCCTCGGACTGGGGCGGTCACTGGCCTCACCTGTCGCTGACCCGTCTTCTTTCGTCCTAACCCTGCCCCGGATTGAGCTCAACCCTCCCTGATTCACGTTAGTTCTTGAGCTGGTTTCAGCCCGGATTGTGCTCACCCCCGTTCGGATTGAGGCCTCCCCAGCGTGATACGGCGCAAAACCCGTACGACTACTGCTTAAACCGTTCTGGTTTGCGCCTAAACTCGACCCCCTGCCCGGAAACCGACCGCCCTCCAGTATGCTCGTCGGCTTCGGAACCGACCGTGGCTCAAACGCAGGGGCCGCCAGATTCCATCCGCGATGCCTCAACCCCTCGATCGCTTTCTCCCCCCCATTGACGCTGACACCGCTCGTTCCCGCTACCTTCTGTTTTGCGCTTCCGTCCAGACCCCCCGAAACCGCTGCCCCCTCGGAAGCGGCGTCCTCCTTTTTGCGTTCTTTGCCCTTCCTTCGTCGCCTCCGCTTGCGGTGCTCCCCCTCGGCTTCCGTCCCCCCGTTTTGGCCGGCGTGGCCCTCCGGTACCGCCCACGGGGGCTCGAGCGGCTGCAGGGCGCGCTTCCGAGGCTCGCGCTTCACGTCCTGTAAGAAAGTAAACGTTTGGAACCTCTGTAGCTGGGGACTACTGAGCACAACATTCAGCAAAAGCTTCCGAGGCTTGACGTGTGCACCGAAGTTGGTCGTTTCCCGGCTTTGAATGCCTTCTATCAGATCGGTGTCTCAAATCCTTTGGTCAGCCAGTGTGCCTACGATCGACCACAAATGTGTAGGTAGACCAAAAGACTCGCCGCAAAAGAAGAACAAAATGCTTCAGGCAAATCTAAACTCTGGCTGGCCTTGAGGATGAAGATTAGCCAATATAGGCTGTCTAAGAACGAAAGGTGCAATCAAGTAAAGTGCTTCGCCTTCCCATCCAAAAAAGTCAAGCAAGCAACTTCGAACTAGACCCTTCCGTCCATCCCACACCGTCAATGTCGGCTGAACAAGCCTCACATAAACAAAACTGAAGCAGGAGGACACAATAATGAACATCAAAAGAAGATGATCTTGATTCGAAAGAAAAGAAAAGCTTGCAAAACGCACCTTATCTTCCGTCCTTCTCCTCCTATCCTTCCTCCGCTTGGCCGCCCCAACCTCCTCCCAGGCCTCCCCCGAACTCGAGCACCGCTCATCTTCGTCAGTCTCGTTCAGACTTCCCGCATCCCTAATGTACACGTCTGGGGGGTTTGTATCTACAGCATGCTTGACCCCCCCGAGCAATGATGAAGTCGTTCGCGCCTCTGCCGGCTTCTCTTCTCCCGCAGCAAAACCTGTTTGGTCCTGCTGTGCGTGCTTTGGTTCCTCCAATGGCAGCTTGCCACTTGGCGCTGGCCCAGCGCTCGCTCTGACTACCTCCTTGCTTTGATCTGATTCCTCTTTCCCGCTCGCTCTAGCTACCTCCTTGCTTTCATTTGATCTCTCGTTTCCGTCCGCAGCCTCTTTCTCAGGGGATCCGCTGACGCCCCTGGAACGACTGCCTTTCTTCTTCTTCGCACTCTTGCTTGCGCTACTGCCCTTCGACCCCCGACTAAGCTCAGGCAAACCGGCTGTCGTTTCTACACTACCGAGCAGGTCTTGAGCGATTTGCTCTTGCATCAACTGCTGGACTATGTGCCGAAGTCGGCAAAGAAGACGGCCCCGCAGGGTGCAGGCTAGCTCGAGACTGGTGCAGAACAGGCCTGCAGTGGAAGCAGCACAACCAAGATAAGTGCTTGCGGCCAGAGCACTGTGCTAGACAGAAACATTTATCCCCGCAAGTGTCCTAGTAGTCAATATATCATTTTGACTATCATGAATGACTGGTGCTTTGGCATGGTCAGAAACCAGTGTGAACTGCATTGAGGTTGAAAATGCTAAGGAAGGGACTCACACAAACAGTCTGCAAAGATCACAAGGCTTCACGTACAGTAGGTTGTTGGATTTTGAAGGGAGACCAAATCTGTTGCACAATCATTCTCTGGGGCTTGAGGGAAGATCTGCAAATCAGAGACAAGGAAACGCCGAGCCTTCTGAACTTCTAGCTATGTGCCCGCCAGATTTGTTCTGCATGTGGAGTTCCTGTTTCTGAGTTTCTGACAAATAACTCGCAAGTTTCAAAAACAGGAAAAGAATATCCAAAATGGATTTGACGGACCTCATTTAGCGAAGACTTGCATGCAATGGGAGACGAACTCAAAAAGCAAATACAGTCTCCCGCAACATGTAGCTTCTGTTGGACCCTTGTCGTCACTTTGATCTCGACTGCTCATTGTAAGTTTCCCAGCATTTACTGCTAGTCAAATACACTCACCCTCTTCTGCATCCTCGCTCTCTGCCCCTTCCCGATTCCCGTGGGTCATCATGAGCCACTCCAGCTCCTTCTCCAGATCGCCTTCCCCGCTCCTCAATTCCGCCCTGCCAGAACCAGAGGAGTGACGCACCAATCCCGACGACGCGCCTGACCCCCTTTCATTCCCTCTAAACGCTGCGGTAAATTGCCGCCTGCTCGGCAAAACTCCCCCCTCCGCAAGCTCCTGCAAAGTCAGCAGGCCAGCCAACCAGGGGACTGTCTGCAGGCCTTTCTGGCTACTGGCTAGCTCCTTCTGGGAGGTCCTCATGCTTACTACCTCGCGCCTAGTTCCGAGCTCGTCTAATACGGCAGGCTGGAGCCCCCTTTCCTTCAAGTCCCTGCTCGAACGTGCATCCCTGATGGTCTCCACCGCCAATTGCCGCCCCAAACGCGCAACTCCTCCTCGCAGGACCTGCGCCTGTTGTGCCGCGCCTAGTTTCTGCCACCACCCCTGCAGGGAGCGATGCGTCTCCAGACTGCTGGCGGCAGACACCGCACCGCTCTGGGAGGCAGTTTTTGACAGCCTGCTTTTGGGCCGTCCCTTAGCTGCTTCCAAGCTGGGGTTCTTCAGGCTCCTCGCGGGATTGCTCTTGAACCACGCGGACCAGATCGCGAGCTCCAGCCGGTTGGCAATGTAGAAAGGGAGAGCGCAGTACCCCATTGAGTGCAGCCAGGGGGTCTCGTCCCAGGAGCCAAGCGCCTGCTGTACGCAGGGCGCTTGCAGGAATTGGCCCAAGGTTAAGCGGTCGAGAGTCTGCATCAATTTCTGGGGGTCTTGCAGAAACGCTCTGGCCACCACCATCACATCAATCTGACTCTCCCTGGCCAATGCATGAGCCTCAATTGCGGTGGCGTCACCCTGGCTCCCCCCATTCGACCCTAACTTTTCATTTGACTTCTTCGCAGGCGCATCCTTCTTCTTCCCCTTCTTGCTGCTGCCTTTCTTTGCAACAGGAGCGCCATTCTGCTTCAGCTGCGGACTTTCACTGCTGAAGAACAGCAGATTATCTGTGAGCTCCCTCCCGGCGCTGTTCTGAGTGTCCAACCTAGCTAACAGCCCCACCGGCCGTCTGCACAGCAGCTCTGGAGTGATGCTCCTCAGCACGCCGCTTCTAGCTCCAGGGTCCCCCATATCTAGCATCAGGAAAAAGTTCATTGGCCCGGACTTCAGCTTCCTCTGCATCTGCATGAGCACACCCACCCACTCTCTGTCCTTGACCAACAGAATCTCCTGCCGCTGCTCCACGCTCAGACTTTCAAACCAGCGCAGAACCTCCGCTTTTTCTTTCGATGCTTTGCCACTAGGGCTTGCCCTCGCCTGCGCCTCTGCCTTGTCATATAGCCACAGATGATCTGTGAGCCTGTTCATAAGCTGCTGCACGCCCGCCCCAGCAGCGATCGCTGCCCTCCCCAAGCCCCGTTCCATGGCTGGCTATTTCGATTGCTCAACGCATACCACCACTAGATTGGAATGAACTTTTCCTTTGGACTCTACATGGCGCTCAGCCTCCTTTCGCATCCATTCAGCTTCCACTGCCAGAAAAGTGTCAACTTCAAGTTTAAGAGGAGATGATTTTCTTCCCACATTCGTCTCTCTTGAATCACAATGAAAGTCGCACCAAACATTTGTATTCGGAAGCCGGAAGAGCCGCTGCTTGACGCACCGTTTCTTCCACCTTTGCGTGTTGTTTTGCGGGGAAAGCTGATCCAGTTCCGGTGACGGCTTTCAAAGAGTCTGAAGAACGTAGGTACGTAAGTTCACTAGTCTCAACTGCAACGTCATCATAGTTAAGAGCCTACCAAAACTAAAACCCTAAGGTCAAAATGAGAGCAGTAACCCGGTTTTGACGAACCCTAAGGCGTTCCGCCATAGCCCGCCCGCACCCACCCTAACCCCCCAACTAACCCCACCAAGATCAGTGGTTTGCCCTCTGGTAACCCGACCATCCCCCGAGCACTCCATCTCCCTGCAACCGAGTGCCCGGTGAAATTTCGTACGGTACCGACCATTTTCGACGTGGTACAGTACCGCCGCACTGTAGGCTGTAGGTAACGGTGATGTCACGCTGACGTTGCAGTTGAGACTAGTGAACTTACGTACTCTGCTGGGTCTGAAGTCCGGGTTTAACCGAAAGATTCCTTCTTGGTGTGCTTTTACCAGCAGAAAAAATGCTCACAGATTTTTGGGGCGTCATGGAAGGGGCATTTTCAGCTACACTCTGCCATTCTGGATTTCAGGGATCATGCTACATACGTAGGAATGTCCAGGAAGAAGGCTTTGAGCTTGAGAAACCACTGTTTGTGCAGTTCCCTGAACGCTGCAAGCTCCTGATCATTGCAAGTCGGCAGAAGTTTGGGCTGGTAGATTGAGCTGAACTCCTGCCTCCTGGTTGGTTGAAGTCAAGGCCTTCGCACATTGTTCCATCATTGCAATTGCATGCAAGAATTGTGACCAAATGGCTTTCACAAGAGTTTTTCAGGCGGGTTGTCATCATGAAGGTCTGATCCTTGTCAACACTTGGCAGAAGACTAGAACCAGGACGTGTGCTGGCAAACTCAGCGGTGAAGGCAAGTGCAGCCAATCCAGGAGGCGCATGCCAGCTACTCTTCATATGCATCAGAGATCCACACATCATACAGCCACCACACAATCAAGTGATGCTTTGAAGCCCCCTCGTTCTCGTCCACCTCAATTTCCCTCATTGCCAAAGTTGGCTCCACTCCCCTTCAAAAAAATACAGCATTCCTCAGTCACAGCTTACGCACATGCAGCTGGTCAGTCCGCCAGCTCAACTGTTCTGGCAGACACAGAAACGCCCCCCTTGCAAGCTGAGCTTGAGGCTGCTGTCGCAGCTGTTGAACGTGCTTGCCATTTGTGCCTGAATGTAAGGGCCAGCATTCATGACGATGGAGAACTAGACGAGGGGGACGCTCGGCTGAAGAAGCAAGACGCAACGCCGGTGACGGTGGCAGACTTTGGGGTTCAAGCCCTGATTAGTCTAGGTAGGATGACTGTTATTGTTTCCTTGATCCTGCTCGAGCAGATTGCAGGATCTGTTCTTGCAATCTGTAGACCTTAAGCTGGTCATCTGGTGGGGCCAGTGAGAGCTTACAAAAGTGAACTCCACAATGACTAAAATGCTTACATCAAATCTCTTCAGTGAAAGCTCATGGGTTTCCTGTACGATTGTTTCGGCTCAAAGTAAGAGATTCTTCCTGCTCTCTACAGAGCTGCGGCGCCTCTTCCCTGACGTTCCACTGCTGGGGGAAGAAGACGCAACTCAGCTGAGAAACCAGCTGAAGGAAAGTTCAGCGCCAGGTGGCAGTCTTGCGGAAGCAGTCAGGGCAGTTGTTGCCCTGGTGGCGCCCGCTGACTTGGGTTCGATCAGCGTCGACCAAGTGTTGGACGCCATTGATGATGGGCGAGCCGAGACCACTTCTCAGGACAGATTCTGGGTGAGTGGAGTCTCCTGATCAACGGTGACATCTGTGCCAAGACCGCTTCTCAGGACCCTTTTGCCTGTTGTCAAGGTTTCCTTTTTAAACTGATGTGGTCAAAGCCCCGTTTCTGTGTGGAACGAGGCAGAAAGAGCAGGTTCCTTTCAGAGAATGAAGGCTTGGCAGCCAGCTGATGTTTCCAATCTAATCCTCTGAAGGAGCGGACAACGACAACCAACAACCATTACATCAAGGGACGACATTTTAAGGGACCAGAAGTACATAATCTGCGACTGGGGATTGATGGGCGTATTCCAATCGCTTCAGGGATCGGCCCCAGTAACGTGGAACCAGCTCACTGCAATCTGCTCGTTTCTACAGATTTTGGACCCGATCGACGGCACCCGCGGCTTCTTGCGAGGAGGGAAGTCCCAGTATGTAGTGAGCTGACCAATCTACTTTCACCATCTCTGAATGCTGTGCCTCTTTAAATATGGAGGGAATGGTGAAGCATCCGTTGAGTAAGCGTTTTTCGTTGGAACGATATGTTGAGCCAGAGTCGACGTATGAATTGGAGCATGAGGCTAGGGAAGAGTTTCCGCAAGTGCAAGGTGCACTCTCACAAAGGCATGTGGCTCGGATGCCATTGTAACATCTAGTTGCAGGGGCCACGCAAAGGAATTGCGCGTGTGAAACGGTCGGGAGAGGGGCGCTTTTTATTGCGCATGTTGACATAGAACGTTTGTTTCCTTTACATTACTCAAAGTTGTTTTTGGCACCATTACACGTGAAATGCATTTTAATGGCTCCGATATCCTGACGTCTCCCATCCGCCCAGTTTTAGCCCAATCTGGGCAAATTTCAAGCTCAGAGGGGGAAGAAACGAAACATATGCGTTTGCCGAGCTTGCGTTTTATATTCAGACAGCATAAGAGCTTGTACAATCTGAAGGAATAAGGATCTACGCATCTGGCATGCTTCGCCAGTGCTTCGACCAACATTTCCACTTCGGTCACCGTTTAGTGCATGATGATAAATTGTCTCCTTCAGTTTAATGTTTTCGGGGGCACTGAACGACGATCTCTTCCCGTCCGTCGACACATTTCCCTTTCCCTTTCCCTTTCCCTAGCTTTGACAGATAGACATTGCTAATGTTCCCCTATGCTTGCAGATTGCCCTCGCTCTAGTTCAAAACGGCAAGGTGGTTCTTGGAGTCTGTGGCTGTCCCAACATGAGTGGGGCTTCTCTCGAGTGTGATACGTGCGTGCCCGACGCCACGAGAGGCCCTGTAGAAGAGGCGAGCACGCAGGAAAACCCTAGGGATCAGGGGGGAGAATGCACGTCCTCTGAAGAACGAGGCCCTCTCGATTCAAATGTTCGGGGGCTGATTGTGTATGCCAGTCGGGGAGAGGGTACCTGGGTGCGGGGATTAGAAAAATCGGACGGTCTGACGTCCACGTCAGGAAGAGAGTCTCTTCAGTCGGACGAGTCGGAGCGTCGAGCAGCTTTAGACGCCGGTCGAGAAGGAGCCTTTTCTCACTCTGCCTGGCTCCAGCCTCAGCGGGTCAGAGTGGACGGTGTGAAAAGGCTCTGGGACGCGCGGATCTGCATATCAGACCATGAAACGTGGGGCGAGTTGCCCCTGGCGGCCGCGCTCGCAAGCACCCCCCATCCCGAGGACAGCGATGACGAGGGGGGGCGTTTACACCACGCCGAGGAGTGGGAGGCGAAGCAGCTGCCGCTGTGCTGTGGAAGGTACGTGTGAACACGGACGCTTTATGGAAACCGAGAATCAGGTCCTGAAAGGATGTTGCTCGGTTCAGTGTCTTGCTTCCTGATATGTGCATGAGTTCTGAAGGGCCGGTACACTTGAGACACGTTTCGATACCAAGGCACCGATGCACCTTTGGGCGCTATCTCTCAATCTTTCGCGACCCCTCCAGTTCCAGTCAACTGCAGCTCATTGTCGACCTCAAACTCGATCCCGAAAGCCTCCTTTCGGGCCAGAAGAAGCATGATCGACCACTCTGCTAAGGCGCACTGCTCTGTCAAATGACCTTTGAAGAAATCCGCGGATCAGAGTCGCCCAGTCGCTGCTTGTTTCCGTCTCCCACTTATCCGCATATCTACCCTCACAACGACATGGCCGGATAGGGGAAACTGCTGAAAACCGTCCCCAGACATTCAGATCTGTCGGCCACAGCAGCGCATGCTTCAAGAAGCATCTGAGTTCTCGGTCTGTGTTTAAAAAACAATGCACGCGTAGACCCCCTCCTCGCGCCCTTTCTCGTAGTTTCCGAACATGCACGTTGCCGTAAGGGTAGGCGCCGACTCAACCACTTTAAAAAGTGGCGCTCGAGTTCTGAGATTGTCGAAGCTTTATAACGCGCTGTTTTGGCATGACACGTCAGCACGATTCATATCTCTCTCGCAGCATCTGCAAACATATTGCCGTTGCGTTGGCGCTGCCTCGGCTGTCGACCAATGCACCGTCTCCAGATCGACGTTCGAAACTAGCCGCTGCAACGTTTTAACGCACTATCTTCACATAACCTTTTTTCTCTCATATACTCTGTCATATGAGAGTATCCTCACATAATCTCTCTTTTCCCGCAGCATCTGCAAATACGTTGCCGTAGCTCTGGGCGCGGCCTCGGTCTTCGTACAGCACCCGGTCTCCAAACCAACGCTCAAAGTGTGGGACCATGCAGCGGCGCTGATCTGCGTCACAGAGGCCGGGGGGCAGGTTACTGATCTTGAGGGGCTGCCGTTGCAACTAGGCACGGGAGAGAGCGAGTTCGCTCCGGGTGGAGGCGGGGTGATCGTAACTAATGGAGGGTTGCATGAGTTGGCGCTTGAGGCTGTGAGGAAGGGCCAGCAATTGCTCGTGAATTGAGGGTTCATATTGAAATAATACAACGGAGTCCTTATTGAAATAATACAACGGAATCCTTCTAAAGGTTTAGGAAAGCGAAGGTAACATTGAACAACCGAAGTGTTGCAATAAAAGCCTTGAGTGAAGAGGATGCTGGTCCTGCATGAGAGAGAAGGCCTGAGAAAGGGGGTTTCATTCCAAAGTCGAGCACCACTCACAAAGGAGCGCTTGGAGCTCAATTGACGACCTTTGCGGGCGACTACCGTCATGCTTGCCGCACACGGCCGGTCAGTCCGCGGCCGCCCCACCGGCACAACCCAGCGTCATTATGGAGTGGCCTATACTAATAGCGTCTAGACTCTATACCAATAGCGTTCCGAATTTGCAAATTCCACTTTGAAATCCGGATCTCCGCCTTTCGCATGTAGCAAATGATCTAATCATTTGAAATCATGGTCTTATTACAATCAATCATAAGCTACACTTAGTTTCTTGACCGTTTCACCGATATGGAGAGGGTCTAATCATTGCAGGGCAGTAGGGCCCCGGGTACATACCTAGTACATAGTAGGTACTAGGTATTACCGGTAGATACCGGTATACTGGTACGGTACGACAGTGGTACCTAAACTCTCGTGCGACGTGTGACCTATTAAACGGGCGCATTCGAGCTACCGGGGCGCACAAAACCAAAAATCCTAACCGAGAAAATCACAGGCTCCGCACCACCACTCACCCTATTAAACCACCTTACCTACCCCACCCGTCCCCTGGGCGTTTAACTTCAAGTCATATGCCTCTACAGTCACACAAGAGTTGCCATAGTGTACATAGTGAGTACGGTAGGCAGTAGGTAAGTACCGTAGTACCGTTCAAAAGTACTTGAAAGTAGTTAGTGCTGACTCCCGAGTCCCGAGTGGTGTGTTAAACTTGATGGGTATCTTCTGTACAACTGAAGGACACAGGTACGGTACCGGCATGTTCCTGATGAATTACAACGCGTAGTGCCTTGTACGCAGCAGGGACCCCGGACCCAGCGGTACAGGTACTGCCGCACTGGAGACAGCCCTCAGGTCGTGCAGAGTCGAAGAACAATGTTAAAAGTTTGGGCGAGTGCCAAGGAGCCTCTGTGAAGAGACCGGAGTCCACTGCCAGCAGAAGGTAAGGGTAAGTTAGTCGCAAAGAAAACAAAATTCGTGACAGCAAATGATCAAAGGGGATCAGAAGGCGCCTATAACTGGACATCAATGCCCGGCAGCGTTTTCCACCACTGATCAGAGCAGCTCAGCACTCCCTTACTTCTCCCACAAGCGAAAGCCTGGCACTGTTACAATCAGAGTCTGGATTATTTTTCGACTGAACGCCCTGTATTTTACCAGGCGGAGCTGGTTGAGAGCTTGGTTAGACACCCCTGACCAGATCTTGAGGAGATCTGGATTGCAGTGGAAGCTTTCTGTGGCATGGCGCCTGCGGCATTGACGAACCGAGCTGCAGAACAGAGTGCGACAGGGCCCTTACCCCAGTGCTCCTCTTGGAGCTTACATCGAACCTCCTCCACGGGCCCCCAGCACCCAGCTGCCCCTCGCCGGTTGCTGCGAATTCGGACGCTTGCGGATCAGCCCGCACCTGCTGACTTGAGAGGGGAAGGGGAACAGATTTGGGAGGAGGCGCCCCCCGCCGTGTGGGAAGAGCAGCTACTGTACCCGGAGGCATGGTTTGACCTCTTTTTCAAGTACATCAAGCAGTCGCGCGAGGGAATGTGGGGCAGCGGGGCGGGACCGTTAAGCTGCATCCAGGTGGGAGGAGTGCAATAGCCCAACTCTACATCTCCATTGAACTTAATCAGCAAGTTGCTTAATCAGCTTACTTGCGGTATGACTAACAAATGTTAGCTGGTTATAGGCAATAAATGTATGTCTGGTCCGTGCTGGCCAGCAATCTTAGGGAACATCCTTTTTTAAAGACAAATCTTTGCAACACTTTCTGGTATAGACCAACCATTTATCGCTCGACTTTTACCTCTACAATGATGCCTGATCAGACAGGACGTGGTTTGCCCATCCGTGTATTTTCCACAGAGCTTGAGTGTTTTCATCACGTTTTCGTGGTAAGACTTCAACCCGCTTATGCAGAGACCCCGTTCACCCACCAGCTCACCGCTGACCTTAGTGAAGGTTGTGAACAGTGACACGAGTACTATCCCGCAGCTTTTCTGCAGAGCGAACATTTCGTGGGTCAACTTTTACCTCGGCAAGACATCGTCAAAGTACAGTGATTCATCAGTGCGCCAATCGATCCTATTGCATGCAGAGCCTCGGATCTTTCCGCCACCATTTATGGGAGGCCCCAGAGTACGGGCCCGAGCAGGAAAAGTGACACGACTCCTGCATTTGTTTCTTTGCGCAGGGTGAACTCGGGTGGCTGAACTTCGACTTGGGCGCAGGCGCCCAGAAGGAGGCTGCTAAAGACCATGGCTGCAGCTCTTGGGTCGGGTTCATGATTTGCTTTCCGGAGACCATGGCGTCCTACAAGACGATGGGCGAGCTCTGGAAGCCATTTGCCGCCATAGACGACTGGATGGAGCACCAGAGTCCGCGGACCTGGTCCCGGTGGTCGAGTGGTTCAAGGAGCTTTGGCGCATGAGGTGCGTCCTGAGGGGGTTTGAGCGGGAAAACAAGGTCCGGTCAGCAGGCGGTCAGGCAGGCGGGTTTCGCAGGTTTCCTTTCAGTCGGGGTCATGTAAAGAGAACCCACGCACTCAAGATGGTTCAAGGTCGAGCTGCAACGCCTGAGGTGCGCCCGGTATTTGACCAACTCAATTAGCAGCCGTTTTCAAGTAGGCGGGCTTGGTGGAAGGCATCGAACTTAGTGGACTTGGTCCAAAGTGCGCTCACGTAAAAGGTGACACAGCAGACATTTGAGAGCTGATTTCGAGAGCGAATCTGATAATTTTTTCGATGTCGAAGCTGACCCCCGACTTTCTTTCGAGTGCCACGACGCTCTTTACTTCACTGACACGCTCGGGACGCTGTGGGTGGCCTTCACGCGGTTCAACGACTCGCAGTCTGCTGGCCCACAAGTGGCTCATGCACACGTTCGGTAGAAGCAACAGCACGTCTCAGCTACGCGCTGCTGGATCCTCAGAGTAATGCATATCCATGGTGGTCATTACTTCGCAGCTAAGAGGCAGTCAACCGAACAAGGTCGACGAAAGGCGTGTAACCTCCGATTAACCATGCACACCTTGCAGATCGGGAAACTTCAACTGGTGGTAAAAGAGATTCCGAGCGGTGCAACGAGCCGTGGTTTGAACAGCGACTGCTGACTGCCATTGTCTCCCAACGTCTCTGCAGTGCATCAAGCGACGGACTCGACTACGACCGGGCTATCGGTGCGGTGCCCACGTGCTTTGCCACGCGGCCGGAGCTTGCCAGCGCAGCCTCGGACTACCTGCTCGCCCTAGACAAGTACAATGCGCGTGCTACGCAGGTAGACCCTGCCTGGGTTCGTCGCATCTCGTGGGGCTCCTACCTTTTTTACAGGGTGAGTTTCATCTAACCTGCCGCTAACACAGGGCTTTTTGGCGGTTAACCAGAGTCGGTTACGGGCTGGTTCGAAGCTGGTTAACTGACCATAGACCAGACTCGAGCAATGACCAGGCTTTTAACATGGCTTTACTGCGGTTCTTGGTCAAAGAACCAGGCTGATTTTTGCTTATCGAACCTGGTTAGCAGCCAGACTTTCGTGTGTATAAGTCTGCCTGATTGGAGGACTTTGTTATCCAGCCGAGGCTGGTTAGTACTTGACTGGTTAGTCTTACCGTCTGCTGGTGACCTAAGCTAGTACTGCTGAGAATGGCTGTTGACGACGAAACGATTTGGGGTAGTAATGATGGGTCGGTACGGCTACTGACAGCAGCTTCACCTGTGCGAGTAGGGTGTGGTACAGCTGCTGACGACATGTCCGGAAATCCTAGTGTGGCCTCTTTTCGGGGCACCGTTGGATTTGTCCGTTTTCCAGCACCGGGACCTCCCGGCGGCAGTTTATCCGATGCCCGTCAATCTGCTCAGAACAAGCTAGAGTCGGGTTTGCAGACTTCGTCCTGGCACGTGAGCCACGTCTGCTATTGTGGTCCAAAACTTTGTGCCAAAAGCGATTCACTATAAATCAAAACCCGAACTAAGAGCGGACTTTAAAATATTCTTAGATCAAGTTTGGCTAAATAGTCCGGTTTCTCAGATCATAGCGCTCTTGATTCTGCCCTCGGATCTCAAACCAAACCGTACTGAAAACCGGACTCTTGATTCTGCCCTCAGATCTTAGACCAAATCGTACTCAAAATCAAAGTCCAGTTTTTAAGATCAACCCGTGTCTGAAAGTACCTGTGGCGCTCTTGGAAGTGCTCTTAAAACGAACTTACGATTTACAGCAAATCCAGCCTTTTCAGCGTGCCGACGAAGGCTCTCTTTGCACGCCGTTTCAACCGAACTCTTCACTTTGCTCGTGAGCGGTGTCAAAAGCGGCTCCGCTTCCGGCCTCCACAGGGCGTCATGCGCGAGGCCAACAGTCTAAGCGCGTACCAGACGCGGGGAACCCTGCCGACGCTGGAAGAGTACCTGCAGACCCGACTCTTCTCCTTCGGCGGGATCGGCATGAGAATGCTGACAATGGTGGAGCGCAGCGTCCGGTAAGCTAGCGGCTCCGGTAGGCCCGGGTAAACGAACTCTCGATGCTACGTTAGGAACAGCCGCACTCACAAGGATTTTTGGCGGTTAAACATAGTCGGTTTACGTGCTGGTTCAAAGCTGGTTGAATGTCCAATAACCGGACTCGAGCGGTAACCACGTTTTTAGCATGGCTATGACGCACTTATTGGTCGAAGAACAACACTAAAGTCTGCTTATCAAACCTGGTTAGCAGCCAAACCTTCCTGTGACTGTCGGGAGACGCTGGTGGGGCTAGTCTATGGTTAGGGGGACACGGGCTCTCTTGCAAGATCCTTTCCATAAGCACGTTGGATCAAGGATTTGAACGAGTGAGACATCTCCTCGGTGAGCAATTCCATTCTACTCTTCTTGCGCTCACTCTCCATAGAGTCAGGAACGTCCGTGCATCTGTTAGCCCTGTCTGCATCTTGGCCTAAGCGGAATGAACAGAACCGCTTGCGTCACGGCCGTCCGAGCTTGGCATCGAAACTCAGGACAATTCCATCCGTCCTTCATTGTCCCGACTCAGTAGCTACGCTTGCAAGCTGGCGTGGGAACAAGCGGGCCTCCGACGTTGATTAACTACAAGGGTCGCCACGTGGAATCTGTATAATCGTCGATCGGATCCGGCGCGCTCTGACCAGCTGTCGCACCCGCGGCACGCTACATTCATGGCCACGCCCCCTGAGCCCCAAGTCTTTAATCCTTCGGAAATATCCCGCTCCACGTGGCAGGCTGAACAGTGCCAGCTTTGCCCGCGCGCGCCTGCTGCTGGTGTATGCGGGCGCGGCCACCGCGCTCTTCAACGACTGCCTGGTCGCCGCCAAGGAGCCGGCCGAGGGCCTCTTCAACGCGGTCACTATCGCGGGGAAGAGCCACGTGGTGCGGCTGCATAACGTGATCCTCGACCTCTTTGCGGACGAGGCGGCCCGCTTCTGCGCGAGCGCGGCCCCGGTGAGCGCGTGTGCTAAACCAAACCCCTAAACCCCTAAACCCCTAAACCCCTAACCCCTAAACCCCTAAACCCCTAACCCCTAAACCCCTAAACCCCCTAAAGTACAGTTTGGAAGAAAGCGGGGTCACCGATGGGCCCATCTCCTACAAACTGAAACTTAATCTCCGCAGTGCAACAGCGGCCAATTCCTTCCTCTTCAAAGTCGCGCCGGCTTTGAACCGGAGGCCGTGCTACGGTTCCGCACATCAACGAAGCGAGGTGCTCCGTTTCGGCTCCGGTTCGAGAAGCACGGATTGGAACTTAGGTCAAGCCTTGTGGCCTTCATTCAGAGACACCAACGATACGTGATTTTCCAAAAAGAATGGAATCGTGTTCTAATTTTTGTAAGGACATCCGGAGGCGCCACAGAAACATGTCCCTCACGGATCGGAAAATGTGATCGAATCTGCCTTATACAACGAAGAGTACTTTGTGAACAGAAACTTCTTGCGTCTGGATTTGATGTGACGTGGTTTTGCAACGCACTGACGACGCTCTTGCCGGACAATGGTGAATAACGGCCCGCACGTTGGTCGAATATAACAAGGCTGATTAATTAACGTGGCAAATGCTCACTGAACAAGCCCCTAGCAAATTCGACCCGCGAGGGGTCATCACGTGTTTTGAGTCCGGTACTCTTGTGTGCCCTAACCGCTGCTTGCGATAAGATAGGCGCCCGGTGGACGGGTGGGGTTACTTGGTGGTTAGGGTGGGTTCGGGTGCGGAGCGCGAGTTTTCCTGGTTAGTTCCATGGTGTGATTCAGTCGGGGATTGCGGATCTTCGGGCACACACCAGTTAGGCCACACAAGACTTACCAGTATCATGTCTTGCGTTGTCGCAGAAGGACGAAGCTGAGGAGTTCGTCAACGTGCTGAAGGCGAGCGTCACTGGTGGCGCCGTGTGGCACAACACCACTGGCCGCTACCGCAAGTATGTGGAGATGACGCGGCAGCCGTTTGCGATTGCGGGCTGGCCGGAGGGGCAGCTGACGGACGCCCACAGCCGGTTGCGCGGGGAGGTGCGCGCGATGTTGCAAAGGATTGCGCGTGAGGATCTGCCAGGGGAGTTCCCGCAATCGGATGAAGCGGACCGGCGGAGGGCGGCTGGTGCATGACCTAAGCCTGCGCAGCTAACTAAGTAACAATGAAGATGTTTGAATGTACAGGGGGCCGTTTAAGTGATTATTCTGATCTGCGTATAAAGATATAGCGGACGGTGCATGACCTAAGCGCAGTTAACGGTGACATTTGAGTCCTTCCAAATGATGTACAGAGGGCCGTCGTGCACAATTTTGGTTTGTGTAGGAAAGGTATATATGTAGCCTCAGCCTCGCTCAACGTGTTTTGTACATTCAAAAGCATAGGCACTTGCTGGTGCAATTATGATTTCCGGGCCATCCTCCCGAATTGCATCGTAGTAAGGGAAGGCCGGCCGGCCGGCAATCATGTAGGCCTTAGGGGGGCCAGTCACGGCCTCAGATTGTACATAGTTGTACATGTGACTTCGCGCACATCATGATGATGCATAGGATCGGAATATCATGCACATAATGTTAGCGAAAGTTATATATAGGCATGATGTAACATGTGCATGTACATCTGGTGATGATTAATGGATGGCAGCTAGCAAGTGAGGAACATATGTTCGCTCATGAGACTGATTGATCCTGAGCTGCACGTGTTTATATGAGCCTATGCATCTGGCAGATCCTAAGTCGAGGCGCCCCGGCCTGGCATCAGTGTCTGGGTCAGATCATAGGATGGCGGGCCTCGCACCAGGTAGTATGGTAGTGTTGCCAAGGGGGCCGGGGTGACATGGCCGGGCGCCCTTCCAGTCACTGGCCAGAACTCTACGTGTCGAACGCCATTTGCTTTGCTGGCTCACGCGCGCAGCCTTTGCAGAGGCATGGAAAACTTGACGCATACAGGTGTAGCAGTGGCGACGCACAAAATGTAAAATCGATGGACTATTTTGTCGCCGCAATCTCTCCCCATGTTATGGTCGTGCGGGGGACCGTTAAAGCATGCATTGGCGAATGTCAGATCGTAGTGACCAATCAAGCGCAGACGTATGAAGACTGATCCAGACCAGCATGATTAGCTGATGATTTGCAACGAAATCGAAGTAGCACGCGTTTCTGGGGTGCAAAGCGGATGCACTAAGACAAAGGACCGAGTCCGACTCGACCATTCCGCATTTCCAAACTCAAGGACGTCGGGTCAGCCAGAGTCAGTAACGGCAGCTGCACAGTCGCGCCGGCTCTACTTTTCCTCTTTGGCTTCGACCTTTGGATATTGCGCCACAACGTCCGACCACGCAACCACACCGTCGGCAAGACTCCGAACGACGCCCACAACCTGTTTCGTCCCGATGCGCACTTGTTCCGTGGTTTCCCGTTCCCGCAACGTCACAGTGCCGCCCTGAAGGGTTTCGAAATCGACGGTGATGGCGAACGGCACGCCGATCTCGTCCGTCCGGGCGTACCGCTTGCCGATGGAAATGGCGGTCGTGTCGATCTGGAAGGAAAGACTTTGGTCAGCACCTCAGCTTTCATGTCTTCTTCGCTTTATGAAGTCAGCGCAACCCAACCATTTTTCCTGACCTATCTGGTAATCAGCAGATGAAGCCCCGAACAGTGCAGAGCAGACAAGTTCCTTTCTAAATGCGTAAACATTGCTGAATCCGGAAAACGACGCTGAGCGGTGCTACGAGTCCGTTGATGTTCCTATTATTGTGACGACTCTCCTCATGCTTCGTCTTTTTGATTTCTCGCAAAGCTTCTTTAGAAACGGTCCCTCCGCTTCAAACATGTAAAATTCTTTGTCTCGTCGGTACGTAGTAACATTAGATACACGTTATGATGGTCCAACAAAAGGCACAATACGAGCTAAAGAAAGGGCCAGAAGAAGCTTCGAAGCAGCTCGCTGCTCTGTAATCAAAAGACAGAACAACAACAACATTCTTCCATGACTTCCCTCACCTTGTTCGCAACACCGGAGGCAGTCATCGCCTGCGAGATTTGGTAACCCTCCTCGTCCAGCTTGGCGTTTGACACTAGCGGGAACACAGTCACCTTGATGGGCGCCACGAGAGGCGTGAACCTGGCCAGACGAAGGATCGGTGTTAAGCGGCGAGGTGTTTAGAAGTAGGACCACGATGGCTTCTGTCTCACCTCTCCTTAGCGCGACTATCCTACCACTTTCCTACTAGCTTCCCACAACTTTCGTACCACTTTCGCACCTTTTTACCAATTACCGTACGAGGAACAACGTCTGTTCGGTCTGCTCCGGACTCGGCTCAGGCGGAATGTCACTACCTAGCTTTGCGTTTGATATGGACTTTCTGACATCCAAGAAAACTTGACCGCCAAGCATGCAACCTGGTTTTAAAAGATGGATCAATTCAAAATAAGTAAGGACACACAAAACCCAGAGAACCGACTGTTGTTCGTTATCCGGGGCGTTGAAAGCGATTTACCAATCTGACTACTGAAAACAGGAAGCGTCTACTTAGTGTAATACAAGCAGACAGTCTGCTCAGGAACCTCAAAGTATCCGTGACGGGCCGCTGCTCGTCGCCAGCAGACGCAATCCAAGGAGGAGACAAGCACAACAACGACGTCACAACTTGGGACAAACTCGGGAACGAAAAAGGTGGGAAAGATGGGGAGAAAAACACTGAATGTTGTAGTAAAGGACTTACTTGAAGACGGTCCGCTGCTCATCGCCTTCCCGCGCATAGTAGGAGTGCTCGAAGAGGCAGTAGATGATGCGCCCGACGCCGAACGACGGCTCGATCACGGACGGCGTGATGTTCTTGCCGCTCTCCGTGCGCTTCTCCTTTGCAATCTTCACCATGTCGCGGGTGATCGTAAACGTCTGGAGGCAGAAATTCGGATTTACGTCAGCAGGCTGGGTCTGGGTGTGAGAAGAAAGAAAGATGTCGTTCAAATAACCAGAGCAAAAAGGGGCTTGTTTTGCTTAAGCTCTTCGTCAGCGCTCTTCACCATGTCGCGGGTGAACGTGGATGTCTGGAGGCACGAAATTGGGTGCACGTCGGCAGGCTGATTTAAGGTCTGGGGAAAAAAGAAAATTGTTGGAGATAAGCAGATGAGATCGTGGATAATAGTGCTTGGCTCTCCAAGCGCGTAACCTTTGCAATCTTCGCCATGTCGTGGGTGATCGTAAACGTGAGAGACACGCCATCGGGGATACGTCAGCATGAGGGTTGGTTGGGTTTTGAAGTTACCAGAAAGGGGGTCATGGTAGATGTTATGATAACCAAATTATGACAATGACCTTATAAGCTCTCCATGCGCATCTCCTTCGCAATCTTCATTTTTTCGAGGGTGGTCGTAAACGTCTGGAGACACGCGATCGGCAGCATATCAGCGTGGGGGCTGCTTTCAAGTGGGCGTCCTGAGACTCGGAACGCCTGACGTCACATGGCGAAATCGAAGCACGGACTTCCGCTATCCTGTCGCCGAAAAGCTGGTACCGGAGTCTGTGCCCCGAGCACTGGGCCCTGCTAAAAGTGGCCGGGTGATGACGTTTGCGTAGACGCCCTCTTTCAATGTTGGGGAGAAGCAGGGCAGTGAAAGGGGAACTGTTGATATAGAGAAAATAGAACCGGGGCAGAATAGTTTGGGCTGCTGTGAAAATCGTATCCGTTTTCTTTGGCCATAGCGAATGCCTGTGAAGGTGCGGAAAAGCCTGGAGCAACCAGGTCAGGCGTCTGAAAGCGACTCAATGGCTGTATAGCCTGGGAACTAAACCCTGTTCCTTACAAGCTGCAATTGAAACGCACTATACTGAAGTTTGCTTCTATTGCAGACGGGTACGCTTATAAAAGCCTACGTTCTTATCAAGTCCTGCTCACCTGGTTCGTTGTGCAGATGGTAAGCGGGGCTTCGCCGTCCTTCTCCAACTTGGCCTGCATAGCGAGAGCCTCCTCCTCTGACATCGCCTGCAACAAGCAAAGACGACAATCGTATCAAGAGGTAAAATGAGATGCGAGGCAAAGAGGTAAAGGTCCTCATCTGAATCTGACAAAGCCTGCAAACTTCAGAACGGCGATGGTTATTGAGTAGCGGCGATACGGAATTCTATCTTTGGAGAACGGTCGGAACCCCACAGGCGTAGAGGGGCTACATTGTGACCCATGATTCAGGGAGTTTGCGCAAACCAACCACGATGGGCGTCCGCAATACTGGTGCACGCCAAACTTGCGGCGCCGTTAAAAAGAGATTGCTGCGCTCATCATCGACAGGGAATCCAAGATTTTCTTCACACAAAAGGATCTTGTGGTGAAAACAATCCATGACAAGTGCGAGGCACCTCTGCATCTTATAAATCTACACGAGCGAGCGGATGAAGCACACAACAGACCGAGAAGCAACCAAGCGAGACGGCAATCAGATTGTCTACCACAATGATTAGTCGTTCACACGTGTTTGGACGACCAAGCGCGGCATCCTCATAGCCCAGCAGGCACAATGCAACATACGTCAGTCAACAGATTTAAAACAATCAATCATGATTATTGCCGGACTTGACACAAGTGTCAGGGCTGCTGGTGTAGGTTTATAAGAGTTCTTGCCAAGAGCAGAGTCCAATCTGAAAACTCTGCCGCTTTTCTCTTGTCTCTGGGACCAAGGTGTACGCACGTCCTGCTTCTTGTCTTTTATCATAAAGATACGACACACAAGTGCTCTGGCGACTTTTGGCTGCCAGAGGCGACGAGAAAACCGCAAAACCAGGTGGGAAACCGCAGGCGAACGACGTATACAGGTGTCTACTACTGAAGCAAACGGATCGGCATGATTCGGCACGAGAAAGTCAGAAGAACGTCCAAAGCTCCTGACATATCGATGCAAGATGAAATGCATCCGACAACCATTTCCCCCAAAAGTATCGATAACAGGCTAGGCTGCCTTGGAGACGATGCGAGTCTCCCAATCTATCCACTTTGATGCGACAGATAGAATTAAAATCCTTGCTAGCACAGGCAACGATTGAGAAATCCGAGTTGCTAACCAGACTAAGCACCGCCCACTTAAAACAAGGGCGCATAAAGATTCTGATCAGACCATCAGAAGCTCGCAAAAACATGAACGTGGCTGCGAGAAAACACTGGAAACTTTTTGACTCTCACACGGAGGCACTTTGTAGCGCAACAGAGAACAGGCTGTTGGTCATTTCAAACTTGCGAAAACCGACCTACCCTGATCAAACGCAGAAGCCGCTGAATTGCTCTCTTCGTTGAGAAAATAGGATCACTGGACAGTGCCTCAGCAAGAGCTATGCTAATCCACGTTTTCACAGAACGTGATCCGTCACCAAGGAAAGGGAAAGCGGTGGAAATACAATTTTACATCTTTTCCGGTCAACTTGTCAAAGGAGCTTCCAAATGTGTTGAGAGCGCTTCGGCGTCAGACTACGAGGTGCCAGCAAGGGTGCGGTGGCAGGGTTAGATGCCAAACCAAGCTCAAGGTCGTCATAACCGAGCACGGTCGACAGGAGGGAACTGAAAATATTCAGCTCGACTTTCAGAGACATCGAGAAAACAAGCTTCCCGGGAGCAAGGCCAATCAACAATGAAGGAACGTTGAAATTTTGGCTTTCCACCCGCGCCCGTAGGTCAAGGCTTAACCTCGAATAAGAACCGAAGCACTAGTCCGCCAATAAGCATGGAAATAGAGCAGCTTGCGCCCTCCAGGCTTGAACGTGACACTCAAACTCGAAGTGGCAACCATTGAGTACGTAAAAGGCAGCATCAGCTGGATGCCCAGCCAAAATGACGTCTTCGTAGCCACTTTATTCCACACAGAAGTTTAGCAGGGTGAAGAAACTTCCGGTCTGCTAGACAATATGCAACATCCGTACCCAGCGAAGCTCGACAAAAGTGGTCCGCCTAACGGGGACCGTTGCATCAGATTCATTTGCGACTGCTCGGCTTTCCACCAAGGAAACAGAGTCTCTGCTCAAGGGCTGAACATCGCTCGCCGGTTTATACAGGGTTACAGATTGCGTCCACTGACGGGAAGCCACGGATATGCGCTAGAAACGCCTTCTGGAGTTTGTGTCTTCAGCCTTACTCCCCCAACCGGTGATTGAATGCGAATTTGCGACGAGACTCGCTTTCCTTGACAGTGACGTCTATGAATAGAAACTAAGACAATAAAAAATCCCAATGCAAAAGCGCGGGTTGAAGCGGCCATCAGACCTAACGAGCTTCATCTGGCCCGCAGGAGAAGTGCACGACCAGGCCGGGCGTCCTCATGACCTTCTTTTGATGACTTTTGAAAAGAGTACAATGCGCTAGATAAAGAACAGAGTCAGCAGTATAGAAAGAGAAACCGAAAGCAAGAAGGAGACACGACAAAGTGCAAGCCACGACGAAAACAGAGAGACACGTAGGACGAGGTGATATCTGTGCGGGCGCACCTCGACCGCCTCCTTCTAAAGTTCTATTGTTCTTTTTGAGCGTCTTGCCAAGCACCTTGCCACTCTGGTAGGGGGCAAGAAGGCGACACGAAAACACGACGAAGAATAGCAAAAAAAGGCAGCCACAACGGGGCTGTTCCTGGGCATCCGCACCTCGAGCGCTTCTTGTTGTCCTTCTTGAGCATTTTGCCCAGGACCTTCTCGAAAATCGGGTGGGAGGCGAAGAGGCGACACAAGAACAGAACGAGAAAAACCGACGAAGAAACCGAGCGGAATAGAGACAAGAGGCAGCCACAACTGGGGCTGTTTCCGGCATGCGCACCTCGAGCGCTTCTTTGACGACAGTGTTTCCTTCTTGAGGTTCTTGCTCAGCACTCTCTTAATGATCAGGTAGAAGGCAAAAAGGCAACAGAAAAACATGACGAACCAAACGACGTACATAACGAGCGAAACAAGAAACAAACGGCAGCCACAACGGGGCTGTCTCACACCTCGAGCGCTTCTTTGACGACCTTGTTGTCCTGCTTGAGCGTCTTGCCCAGGACCTTGCCAACATTCAGGTAGGAGGCTCGAGGGCGACACAAGTACAGGACGAGAAGAATGAGGAAAGAAACGAGTGACAAAGAAACAAGAGGCAGCCACAATGAAACTGTTTCACACTCGAGCGCCTCCTTGACGACCTTGTTGTCCTTCTTGAGCGTCTCCCAAAACCTTGCTGTGAGGCGAAACGCTCAAAGCAACGTCCAAAACGGAGACATGAAGCAGCCACAAAAACTACAAGGGTACAAGTTTGACGTGCGCACCTCGAGCGCCTCCTTGACGACCTTGTTGTCCTTCTTGAGCATCTTGCCCAGCACCTTGCTGTCAGGCGCCACCACCACGTGCTCCACCTCGCGCGGCTTGTCGTACCGCTTGAAAGCAATCAGCGGCTGCTTGCTCTCCTCCTGCGTATCCGCAGAGACCGGCGGTTAGGCTTGCGGTCAAACCCAAAAAAAACTTCTTGAGTAACCAATATATTAATCAACTCAAAAATGAACCAATCAGCGGCTCTTTGCGACCCTCCTGTGAGAAAGGGCGGTCAGGCTTGTGGCGATGAGGGTTGCGCTTAATCAAGACGATTCTTCTTTTTGTGCATGACTCGGATTCAAAAGTCAATTGCTTTTCGCGCCTGAAACGTGAGAGGATATCGTCCAGGACAAACAAAATAAAAAGCCAAACAACCAATAAAAACGTGATGGTGCTCGGTGTCAGATCGTATGGGGCCCAGTCCGCTGATCCCATGCACTCTACGTAGTAGTAAGGAGGCACTGAAGTAATTGCTCTTCACCGTGTGCACTGCTCCTCGATCAAATTACCCCCGCTCTATGAGGAATTGCATCCCAATCGCGGACAAAGAAAAAACTGACAAGAGCTGCTCAAGAAACCATTAAGTCGTATGCTCGTTTCAGGCAGTATGGGGTCCAGTCTGCCAGACCGCCGCACTCCTGACTCCAGACCCCAGTCAAGTAAAGAGCCGCTCATCAGTATGACCAAAACAAACCAAAGCCAAGTAAAGAGCCGCTGATATACACGACCAAAAACAAACCCACCGAATGCTGTTTCAGGTCGTACGCTGCCCGGTCCGCGAGCCCGACGCACTCGATCCAGCCGTAGCTGCACTCAATCTCCGCGTCCCAGCAGTCCTGCGCGTAGTGCGCCATCTCGGACGCTAGATGCTGCCGGAACCGCAGCCGCGTCTTGTCAATGCCCAACTTCGTTAGGAACAGGTACGTGCGCGCGATGAAGTAGCCCAGCGTCTCGTTGTTCACGATGCCCTGCAACGGAAATAACCGGCAAGTGTGAGGGGCTCTTACCTTCCGGTACCAGATTATCGGACCCCCATCGGCCACTGACACGTTTTCTTCAGCCTTCGACTTACTTATTCGAGTCCTGGTGGCAAGCGAGGCACCAAAACAAGCTCTGGGTGACACCACTTGTTGCTCTTTTCTCGTATCTTAGGTGGATGACCATGAGCAAGCCCTAGCGGCGCGAGTTGCTACCCGGGTATCGCGTCAGGAAAAGAAAAAGAGGTTGTTCGTTTAATAAATGGGGATGCCTCAAATGTGATGTTACCGCGTGATTGTTCATAACTACACTTACAATCGTCCCCCTAGGATATTCGAACGTTTCAGGAACTACAAAGCCTGCGTTGTGGATTGTGCTGTCAAGGACGGCTGCATCATCAAAACAGCCATCCCGATCAACCTGTCATCCGCCTCATTTTCAGCGAAACGGGGCATGAAGCTTCTCCTCACCTGCGCAACCGCGTCCCCGATCTTGGTCAGCACCGGTTTCTTCTCCGCGCCTAGTTGCTCCGCCCGAGGATACAGCAGGAACTCGAGGTCCTTGACGTGCTTGAACTTGGGGTGGCTCTTGTCTTCGGGGTCGACAAAGTGCTCGATTTCCGCTAACGTAAACTCGCGCACCCGCAGGAGGCCCTGTCGGGGAGCAATCTGCGCAGAAAGGCGTGCTGTAAGTTGAGTTGTCAACTTCGAACAACGCCTCAATGTTGTCACAGACAGGAAGGGTGGTGTGACAAGTGCGCTCTCCAAAAGCAGGGCGGACGATTGCCAAACAACGACTGAGCATGCGAATTGTATGCAACCGCCACAGAAGAAGCTCAGTACAACAACGGTCAGGTTGCGACAAAATACGACCTCGATTCTTTGAGCTCTGAGCGAGGCCCTTGACGCTTCCAATAGACCGCTGAAAGGCGGAGAAAGCAGCTCAAGCCACCTGTCTCCTCACCTCGTTTCGGAAAGCCTGACCAATCTGCGCAGCGGCGAACGGCAGCTTGTTGCCGTTGTAGTACAGCAGGTCCCGGAAGTTGACGAAGATGCCCTGGGCAGTCTCGGGCCGGAGGAAGCTGCACATAAGAAATGACAAATTTCACAAAAGGTTACTCGTGATCAGAGAGAGAAACGGTACAGAAACCAGAAGCAATTACAAACGCCTAGAGCGAGGACGGGACACGTTCCTGAACAACATGTCTCACCTGCCTTCATGAGCGAACTACAGTGGTACGGAAAAACATGTGAGCTCTTGACCAACCGTGGGTCGCATGAATCGATGCGAGACCAAGAAAAAAGTATATGCGTTACGATGATGCGGCATGGGTCCTTCATCTTGAAAACAGAGCCAGTTTCAACAACTGTTGGGCGATCCAACGGGGTAACCACAAGGCTTCATTGACAAGCCCAACCCAGGAATCAATCGACAATCAAGCAAAAGGTCAGAGGCTGCGCTCGTCAATTCCTGATTGACAGAGGCACAGTGAACGTCCACAAGACTCGACACTGCTCTTTGCTACTTTCTTGAGGCTAAAGCTGTTTCTCGGCAGGCATATTTTTGGGATTCAAATCTCCAAACTTTTCCCCTTCCAGATATCCCTGGCACTCTCCTCCCACTTCTCACATGCCTAATTGAGCCACGCAACTTCGTTTATTTCGAAACAATGACTCACAGTCCAGAACTCACCCTTGCATAGTGCCCGTGGGTCCGATGGAGGTGGCAAACATGAGGTTGAAGGGGTAAGGCTTGGACAGTTCGTTCTTGGTTTCTGGGGCCACAATCTTGTACTTTGTTAGCAGGGCGCCGAGCTCGTCAGCGGAGAACTCGTCCACACGGGCCAGGACGTTCTTGTGCTCAAGAACGACGTCGGGGGCGAAGGTTGGGTTCTTCTCGAGCAAGTCTTCGACGGCGTCCTGGAGTAGGAGCGGAGGTCCTTTGATTTTAGATCCAGTCAGAAGGCCAGAAGATTCAGGAGTGAATCCAAAGAACTGAAAAAGTTCCAAGAAAATCAGGTTCTTGCACCCGGCTTCAGTGACTCTGGCAGCGAGGAAACAGGAGATCAGAGGTGAGCTCCAAACATCGAGTGTTATTTTTAACTGTAGAAATTGAGGTGTCCGCGTTTCTCTTTAACCTTCAGGGTGGTGACAAAGAAGCCTTACAAGACCACAGCCTAAATGAAAGCTCTGTTAGCAACTCATCAGGAGCAGCTCCAGAACAGCGCTGACGGCAACAAAAAGTTGCCATCGCTGGACCCAGACAAATCAAGCATCACATGGCAATATCAACCGTAGAACCTGAGAGAAATGACCACCCCCAGGATTGGGTGCACACAATCTGCACAAATTGGGTGCATGTTCTGGAACAGCCGGCATTTGCTGCACCCACGTATTCCGCAGGCGAAAACAAGTGTTTGATGAACATTGAAGGTTGATAAACTGCTCAGGCTCTAAGGAGTTTGAGCAGTCTCTGTGCAACAATTGCAACAATGAAGTTGAGCACCTTCGTTGTGCGGCCGTTGGTGGAGGTACGTCCACTTAGACATGGACATCTTGCGCACCATCAAGAGCAATTGTCTATCCCCTCAATCACCCTCTCGAACTACACCATTATCATCGAAGACTTTAGCGATGATTTGATGTCCAATCAAACTTGGGTTTGTAGCAAAGAGACTTCTAGACTTGAAGAAGTGCGCAATAATCTGCATCACGAGAATTCCCGCACCTTCAGCAGGTGGTCCGCCCGGTAGCACGCCGAGGTCTTGACGTCCTTGACCATCAGGTCCGTAAACTTCTCCACATGCCCGCTCGCCTTGAGCACCACCTCCGGTGTGACGCACGGACACTCAACCTCCAACATATTCTCCTCCATAACATAGTGCTGCCGCCAGAACTGCAGAATGTTTGCCTTAACCGCACACCCCGGAGGACCATAATCATACAAGCCAGCGATGCCACCATAAATTTTGAAAGCGGGGATGTAGAATAGTCGCCGCTCGAGTGCATTCGAAACGTCCTCCCTGAACTTCTTCCGGCCCTCGGACGAGTCCTTGCTGACCCCCGCTTTCGCTTTGTAGGCATCCTCTGCTGCTTTGAGCTCCAACTTCAGCGCCGTCAGCTTTGCCACCACTTTGTCGACCTCCGCTTTGTCCACCTTCTTCTCCTTGAGGGCGCCTTTCATGGCGCGCACCTCGTCGCCCGTGCGATTTACATCGGCCTGCTTGGCGGTGAGGTCCGCGTGCAGAGCGGCCAACTCGGCTTCAGACGCCATTGCGTGCAACTTGTCAGCGACTTCTCAACTGCGATTGCGTGAAGCCCTGTCAACAGAAGGAAAGTACTCTAAGGGG